AGAGCAGAAGGACGCCCAGAAGAAAGAGGAACAATTTGATCCAATTAGTGATAACGAGGAAGACCTATCTACTACTGAAGATTCTGCCGAAACTATCCAACTTCCTAGTGCGCGAGCGCTTGGAAAGAGAAGGGCTACCCCGGATCAGCTATTTGAACTTGACGATGATGATGATGAGGTTCCCCTGCCTGATAATAGCCACTTAGAAGAAGGGAGGACTACTCAGAGGCGTTCATCTGGGCGTGTTCCAAAGCGCTTGAGACAGGATGAGGATTTTGTATATCTTTAATAGAAACAAGAACCACATAAGCTATTCATAAGGAAATCAGTTAATCCTCGCTTTTTCGGTAGAAATCAACAGACACCAAACAAAGAATTATTCTTTACTCCTACCTCAGAATTATATAAAATTAAATATCATTTGAAAGCAGAATACTCAAAAATACAGGCGACTTCTACATAAATTATGCATACCTTGGGTCTAAGATGTTTTGCTTGTTTGCAGGACCGCAGGACCGCACCAAACCGCAGTGGTGCGGTCCCTAAAAATGTAGGACCGCCCAGCGGTCTCAAGGTCTGGGACCAAAGACCGCGCGGTGCGGTCTAATGCGGTCTTGGGTGCGGTCTTTCCGGTCCCGTGCAGAGGCCTACTGACAACCAAGGCACTAGTTCGAAGCAGAGGTCCATCTCAATGCGTTTTAGTGTTACCAAATCCGCGAATGAAAATGGCGAGAAAATATAGAACCCCGAAGAATACCCTCTTTTAGGCCCGACATCAAGATCAATTGATTTTTGCTTGATGAATCAGTCGCATGTGTGCCCGGAGTCTATCCTTTCGTAGGATCTGGTGAATCATACATAATAAGTATCATGATGATTGGACGTGGTTGGTTGGAACTTTCACCGCTTAAAAAAGCCCCCGCGATCATCGATCGTTGTATGCTGGTTATAATCTTAATGCTTACAATGTCAGCCCAAAAAGTTTCCACAAGTGATCAGAAGCTCTGATTTATTGGAAAAAGCAGCCGATTAGCTGTTACCAGCCTGATGATCTTGCTGATCTGCCACCGAAGTAGCACGTGATAGTTTCATATTGACCAGTCACGTAAACCTAAGATATTTGGTGATATCATACGTTGAGGTAAGTGTGGTTTTTTCACACAGATTCAGCGCTAAGCAACTTAGTAGTTGTAGTCTTTAAACCGTTCTACGGTCGGGACCGGTCGGTGATGCGAACCATGTGACGTGGATGGAGCCCACTTCTGCTCGGCAAAATAAGCCGGCCTCTGAATATGCGAATAGTCTATGCTATACCCGTTTGCAAAATAAGCCTCTTATGACACCACATTGAACAATAAAAGCTCTTTGGTAAGACCTAAGAGTATGAGCTGATTAATTTATCATTGTGATATCGTAACTTTATAACTGCTTCTGCTCCGTGCCTAGTCGTTAATTAATGCTGCATTTCATTCTATTAGTGAAAACGCAAAAGAAACTATAGGAGCAGTAAAAATGAGCGGAGACGGAATGGCCCAGAGATCTTCCGCCCCATATCCGAACTTTAATCAAATCCTATCCGGTAACGCATCCGAACCATACACCCTTGAGTCATTCGTCGACTATTTGTCTCAGAACCACTGCATTGAGTTACTGGACTTTCTTTCGGATACAAAGACATATATTGAAGCTTATCGCGCTTCAGCTCCTGACCTTTACGCTACGAATATGACATCAGACTCGCGGCGTCTAGGGAAACAATGGAAAAGTTTGATGAGCACCTATATTATGCGGGCGGCTCCGGACGAGCTCAATTTCCCAGAATACATTCGCGCGCCGTTACTTGATCATACGAATGTTATGATATTACCACCTAGTCCCGCCACATTACAACCTGCTATTCATTATGCTCATGAGCTGCTAACGGAGAGTGCTCTGTTACCGTTTATTCAGAGTATACGCTCGTCTGGAAACCTTATCCACAGAAACGGTGAAAGCAATGGAAACAATCATAAAACTCGAAACAACGGAAAAAATGGAAAATTTCTCAACAGTGGAGGAAATTCACTGTCCTCATCACGAGAGGCTTATAATAACATGTATGCTCTTCCTCGAGCTTCGTCGGAACGAAATATAAGGTACGTACGTAACATTGATTCACTAGAAAATCTCGAATAAGGTGTATGACTATCCTATAGGCAGCTTCAGGTCTCAGGACCTAATGAACCACGCGTTCAGGAAGGACAGATCACGGAGTCTCTTAGGGGCACTCGAAAGGGGTGGCGGATGTCGTTTGTGCGACTAAGGAACAACCTTTGGAGACGCCTAGCGTCCAAATTTACTAAAAACCCCCCATGAGCTTGATAAGCTATTATCAATACTACATACGAGTCGGCATCCTACGAATGGTATATAGTCGAACCCGACATAATATATTTGACACAAAAAGAGCGAATTGGACACAGAATAGATAAGTACAGTAACTTTTGGTACAGGACTTGTTCAATCACAGAGCATGCCTTCCATCAATAATGCTTGAAGTTTCCTCGAATAATACTGAAGCACGACGAGCTAATCATCGCGATTTTGATCCAATTCCGCCTCATATTCTGTATGGCATCTGGCAGTCTCGCGAATATTCCCCTATCTAGAAGGCTTTGATCAACTAGCAAACTGTAGATTCAAACTTAAAAGTATTCGGAGGGGAGGCTTCGGTATGATGATGAAATAGCCTCGTTGGTTTGCAGCCGAAGCTTGGCCCCCCGGTTGTAGTTTAATGACCACTCCGGCGGAGTAAAACATAGCGATGAGATATTCTTATAGCAGAGTGAGGTCCTCTAGGTCGGAGTAATACTAGCAGAGTGTTATATTTATAAGGTTCTTAAGAGGAAGAGAAATATAGAACAGAACCACGAAGTAAAGCAGAATAATAAGTCGAACAGAGACACGAAAAGCCTTCATTCTAAGTAGAGGTATCGAGGAGACCTTCTAGTAGTCGTAGCAAAGTGTCGCCGTCGAGTAGCCGGTATCTTTTAAAAGCGGAGATAAGCCTTCCATAATAACTATATGTAGGGTCTCAGGTTGTAAGAGCTATGCCATCTTCGAATCGACTTACAGATCGACGTACCTGTAAAGGAAAGTTCTCTAATAGGAACGTACTTGAGGTATATATACGGAGTTTATATTCTTCGCTCAGTCAATAACTAAGGTTACATTACTAGAGCGACTACTAGGTATAGGCGAAGGAGCGGATAGGGGAGATCTATAATATCTCCACTAAGAGGGATCTACGGCCTTAAATATATCAACGAAGGGATCGAAGGATATAGTATATAGAGTATATAGACCAAAGAAGTCGGCCGGCGGTTATAGAATAGCTATTCTCGATCTATAGTCGAAACAACAGATTATACCAGAACGAGCATAAAAGGCCTTCCCACAGCCATAACGAGGAGAACAAGGGGTATTGAAAGGCGGTGCCAATTGAACAACCTGGCAACTACCACATAAATATCAGACGAGTGTGCAGGGATCGGGACGCGGCAGCACGAACATGGGCGTGTCTTCAATAGGAGAGTCTTACCCGGAGCCTGCTGGTCACTGTGAGTAGTGCGTAAAGGGCAATAGTTGTCAGACTTTTGGGTGGTTGATAAAGTCCCTTTCACGCATGAAACGTATATGTGTAGAAACTGTCGGAATCTAGCCTATAGGCATCGATTATGAAGGATGACTATGCGTACTAACGAAAGCACCACGGTCGCGTAGGGTGATTGTGCGTACTAGCTAAAGCACCACAATCGTGTAGTGTGAAGATTGACTAATCAAGACAGGGCGTAACTAGTGGTAGAAGTACCGGAGATTTCTGTCCTTGATCAATAAAGATGTCAAACTTGATTTAAGTTAACTAGGAAACATAACAGTATTTATATCTTAGGAACATGATAAAAGATCACATGAAATCACAGAGTGTTAAATAGTCTCCTGCCTAGGTAGGCAATTCAATACGAGATCGTTGAGGATCAATCTAACGCGGGGTAAGGTGGGGTACTACCCAAATATGCTGACAATAGTTACCTTAGTCGTATTTGTAAACAGGTACAAAAACTATATATGCTAAGACGGCTGATTCCGGCCCTATCGGCACCACTTCGGATTCCAAGAGTACATCTCAATCGTACCGTTGCTTCGCAAAGCCTTACTGCGGATCCGATATATACTATTGAGTATCTTACAGAACGTGCCAGAGTGGGTGCCAAGTAAGCTAATCCGAGAGATAGTACTAGAGAGTAAGCTTTATATAAATAAATAAAGATTATAGTGTACACTATTATTCTTAGGGATAAAAATCTTATTATGTTATGAATGAACTACTTACAGGGTAGTCGGCCTGTTAACTAGGTAGGAGAGCAAAGCACTAAGTCAGATTATCACAGAGACTGTTTCTTAAAGAAGGAAAATCCCACTTCCTTAAGCATCGATTTAAATACATCATCTTTTGTGCAAACAGGAATCAAAGACGATTTGGGGGGGGAACTATAGCGATAGGCCACCGTATAGCCAACGTATCGTTTATACAGTGGACGCAGGTAATATGTAGTGTGCCTATCTCGAATCGTTATCACGGGGTTACCGGCTAACCGCTAGTTAGCTACCGCCTTAGTAGAATCCTCGGCCCGCGGGTGCCTAAGGCTCCAATATCAATATGGAGATAGCCTCATCGAATATCATAACATATAGATTGTTATTCCCCTAGGTTGAGGGGTCCTAGCACAGAATTTGCACTATGAAAACCTCTTACTTAGGGCAACAAAATGTCGTTTAGGTTAACCACCACCGCTATCACGGTTGCACCGGGTCAAAACCGGTATCGATCGATAGAGCGTGGAGTTAGATTGAATTTGAACGTATCCTCAGAGCTTCATAAACCCTGGATCCGGAGATATCGCAATAAATCTATTTCGCCAAGAGATAGTTGTCTCCCTAGTTATCTATATCTAAGAAGATCATACATGTATAACCTTCCCAACATCAAACCCATCCTTCAACCCCTTCTCATTATTCCACGGAAGTATGTACCCCCGTTGATTTGCCAAAACTCGTACCCCCCTCTCCCTAAATTCCGTCGAGTAATGCGTATGCCCAAAAACCCAAGCCTTAACACTGCTGACATCCGAAATCTTCGAAAGGATATCAGTTGCAAAGGCAGAGCTCCACGGGTTATTCGCATGTTGTGGACTAGATGTATTCTGCAGTGATGGTGCGTGGTGTGTCATGATCAGTATAGATCGTTTTTGTTTTTGATTTTTGCTTTGAGTTTGTAGTGACTGAATCTCGCTGAGTAGCCAGGCAAGATCTGTCTCGTGGGATGTATTGTGATCGTCAATGGTCCAATCCTGGATCTTTTTGAAGTCTTGAATTTTTGACTGGACAATCTCTTTTGCGTCAACTGGGACCTTGGACCAGAGTGTACAGCCGAGGATAGTAACGTTTGACTCCGGGACGTCATAGCTTGTCCGGTGGAGAATGGCTAGACGCCCATTCAAGCAAGGTTCCTGCTCGAGTTGTCTGGCGTTCGCTAATCCTGTCGCAAAAATTTCGTTGTAGAATGCATGATTTCCGAGGACAAGAAAGACAAGCTCGAACCGATCTGTTTGCTTTTGTAAGAAATCGCGGTAATTGTCGTAGTCGACTAAACGCCCGATGTCACCGGCGAGAATGAGATGTTTGGCGCGTACGGGGATCCCAAGGGATAGATATTGTTGATTGATCTCTAGATGGAGATCTGAGAGAATCTGGAAGGGGGTGGAATGTTTGTTGAAGATTGAGTGTATTTTCTCGAACATTATGTCGTTGGAGACACTGGAAGAGGGGTAGGGCTTTGATCAAAGCCACCACTGTAGGATTGGTTACCGCCCGGATTCTACATATCCATGAAAGATTGGCCAGCATCAGTCTACTAAACTAAAGCCAGCAGCAAATCAAGATCCATAAATGCAACCAATCGGACTCTCTTCTCAATATCTACATTATGCATATATTTTATCAGGGCAAGAAATACACGGTCGAGGAGGCACATAGCCATCCCCTGTTTAGTCTGAGTCTGCCCGCAGTCTCAGCGACATGTCCAATTCCATCTCGACATGAAAAGACTCCCATGTCTTTCAATAGCTACTCATACGTATATCCTACATCTACAATCACAAAGATAATCAAGACTCGCCATAAAATTCTTCATTCATAGCTTTTCCCATCGGAATTTAGCTGTCAACCCGCCATTCCCCCATCACCATCGAATCACCCAGGAAATAACAATAGAATACATGGAGAAAAGATAACCCTGATCGGGGGTAATATGCACGCTCGAAACAAAGCATTAGATAGAGGATGACATTTTTTGTTGCAAAAAAAGGGGGGAAGAAGGGAAGATAACCCCAAAAATCATTCTCCGGAAAAGAAAATTCGTTGCGTTCGTGATCCATAACACCAGACCAGCGGCAAGAGAGAATGGCAGTGACGGGTGACAGCAGTGTCCGGGTTAGGGTGAAGCCGGGGGGATTAGATAGGTTGCATGTGTTCAGCATCGAAGGGGATGTTGGAAACTGTGGTTTCTTTACCACTGGGCAGCGGCCTGGCTCTCGGGGGAGGGAGTAGCGGCTGGGGAACTGTTAAATCCGCCACGGCCACGACCACCACGACCGCCGCGGCCACGGCCACGGAATTCACCTCGGCCTCCGCGTCCACGAGAGCCCTCACCACCACGGGGACGACGGTGGCCCCGACCACGGCCGCTGTGACCGCCATTCTGTCCCTTAGCTCCGGGTCCGGCACCCTCAGCAGAAACGGTGTTGTTGTTCACGTCGGCAGGGGTGGCCTGGAGACCAGTCTCAGTCTCGGCGGGGTCACGGGGAACCTCCACCCAGCCATCAGTGGTGGCCGAGGACTCCAAGGAGGTTGGGTTGTAGGTCGTCTGAGCCACCTGGTTGGCAGCATCGGAAATCAAGGTCTGCGAGGGAGGTGCAACCTGTTCGCCCTGAGGAGTGGCATTGGCCGCCTCGGAGGCAGCCAACTCGTCGCTGACGGAGGAATCCTGAAGCTCGGTCAGGCTAGCATTGGCAATGGTAGGGTCGGAAACGGCGGCGGATTCGGTGGTCACTTCGGGGGTCTCTTCAGCGGGAGCAAACTTGTTGGATGCCAGCTTCACATCGCCATCTAGAAAGGTTGAATGTTAGCAACAGAATCGAGAGAAAGTTATCGCAGAACAGCCATTGAGGAAACAAAACTTACAGCTCAGCTCCAGAGCATCGCCCTCGACACCCACCACCTTCTCGTCCGCACCATCAACAAGCTTGACCATAGAGTCAACAGCCTTCTTGTTACCTCCATAGACCTGGAAGAGTACACCCTCAAAAGCACGGCTCTCAAGGGACTCGGTCTCACCCGCATGGCGCATGTTAGCAGCAGCGCACAGGAACTTGGTCAGAGTGAGCAATTGCTCGCGCAGAACGCGCGACGAGGTCTCCGTAGCATCAGCAATAGCATTGGCACGGACAGCCTCCAGCTCCTCCTGGTGAGCCTTGTCCAGAGCAGCCTTCTGGGTCTCCAAGCGGGCCTCGTATTGGGCAGCGAACTGCTTGTAGTGACCAATCTGCTCCTCAATCTGTGCAATGGATGCCTGGAGAGCGGGCTTCTTCAGGGCTTGAGCTTTCTGGTCCGCATTGATCTTCTTCTCAACAACGAGGTCGTCCAGGGATTTGCCTTGGTTCTCGGCGATGATGGCGTCGATCTTGGCAGTCGCGTTCTATTCAATGAGCAATTGAATGTCAGTATACTCATCAAAGGTACCGGAAATTGAATCACATGGAGCAGGGAGATTGTGGAACGTACCAGCTTCTTGACCGCATTGCGCAGGCTCCTAGAGGCGCAATCTGATTAGCTTCAGGTGTCGGGCAGAAACCGAACGCGTCATACGCACTTTTGCAACTCCTTCAAGTAAGTAGGCTCAGAACCGTTCGTCTCCGAGACGGGGCTCTCAGACTCAGCCTTGGGGGTGCCAGGAGCTTGGGAGGTCTGCTTCTTGGCCTTGTCGTTGGGTTTCTGAGTGGTGGCGGAGGCGGGAGCCATGATGGAATGTGGTGACACAGCTTCGAAAGTTAAAACCAGAGGGAAATGTGCTGTACAAGGTGCAAGCACGTCAGAGTCCAGAACCGCGCAGGTTTACTAGATGAGTGAGGAGGATGGGTGGTGAATGTTGGGGGGAAGAGAGTTGGAGAGAGAGTTCGAAGATCCGCAGAATCGATGTGGGTGGAAGTCGCCCGAACCCTTTCCTGATCGGTGGGCTGCCCGCATTTTGAGCCTACGGGGGGACTGTACTTTCCAACAAACAACCTTTGACTATACAGAACAAAGCTACAGAGATACTTTGAAATGGCTCCTTGTAAAATATCAAACATAAACTACCTAAACCTGGTAGTTCTCATCAATTCTGGGGTATCTTCAACTCCGCACACCAATTACGCCATAATGCTAGTAAACGCCAATCCGCAAACTCCAAAGAAACTCCGCTTCAATCCACGCACGCGACCACAAATATTGCTTTGAGACGTCGTTCAATCGATGTAAGGCCAAGAGATCTCGTTCATCCCTGGAATTTGCGCAAGGTTTTCTATACCAGAGGAGAATCAATTCCTGTCAGCGATGCCTTGTTCGACCACAGAGACAAACCCATTCCCAAAGATAAAAGAGATCATACCTCGGTGACCTTGCGAATGGAGTTTGCAGAGATATTCTTTTCGCCCGACTTGCGTGATCGAATTGAGGCTTCGCGCATCAATCTAATTGTGGATGGTCAGTCTGTTGACTCGTGAAAGCGTAAAGCTCCGATTTCATGGTGTGCAGCTGGATGCGACCGGAGCAGATAGCCTGTAGAGGGGTTGGTTCAAAGCGTACTCTTGCATGAATAGCATGTAGTCTAGGAAAATCTGTAAGACCATAGGGAAATCCCCGGTTAGCAACGAGATCTGGCGCGTTGCGAGACGCTGGGTAGTGGGACGTACCAGAATATCGGCATTCTTGCCGACACTGCGATTTGAATGCGCTTTGACAATGCGCTTAACCGTACCACGAGGGTAGAGCTTCTGCGTTGCTGCCATGATGCCGAGCGCGAGTTGAGAGCGTGGTCGATGACTGACGAGGGGATTGTTTACTTGCGGAGCTTCAGGCGGAAGATGTGGGGAATATTTGGATTATGTAATCACTATAGACCGGCATCCATGAGCTCTATGAAATGAAGTCCCAATTATGTATATACCATCTAGATCTAGCTAGAACGAAAAATAAGAAGGCGCCTTATTGGAGTCTTCGTCGAAGGAACCGCCAGACTGTAAAAGCTGCCGCCGAGCCAAGAGCCGCGCGCCATGCAAGGAATACCCAGATGGCAACCCGCAACCGTTGATAGTATCCTCGCAACATGATGCCCACGGCATACGAGGTTCCATCAGCGGTGCGGTCACCAGGACCATAGTACCGGCCAACACCCAGGCCACCAATTCCTACTTCATTGTGATCATGGCCCTCTGCACTCGGGGTCACGGGCAGCGCGGCGGTCTCGCTGTCTGCAGCAGTGTCTGTCGGCCGAGCACCCAATTTCACTTGTTGCTTATTGCGCTTTCGAAGGTTATATGTCAGGATACTCACGATCAGTCGGAGGTCTGGCGCTGTGAATGTGGGCCACTTCCATAGCTCTACCGCAGAGTGAGGAGGGAGCATATCCAAGAAATCGGCCAAGACTCCAAGTGTCAGGCCCCATAGTAACAGAGGGCGGGTTACATCGCCCGAATCTGCCTGATTGCTCAGTGTCCAAGCTTTGAACCGCGATATTAATGATTTTTGCTTTGTTGTGTCGTCGGGCACAAAGCCAGGTACCGAGGTACATTGCTGGGTTTCTGAGGGGAGTAGTCGAACGGCCGAGAATTGCATCCAGCCCATCAAAGATCGAACAGCCAGACGCTTCAGATACCCGCCTTGTCGAGCGAAGCGCTGTGACATGTCCACATATTCAACCGTTCGGAGGGAAGGAGAGAGGAGAGCTCGAAGCGGGATCCAATGCGTCGAAGCTACCTCGGTGGGCTGGAGTTTCAAGGTTGGGCAGTCGGTGCGAGTGGTCAGGAAAACAAACGGACAAAGGACCATGAGTCTATAAAGAAAGAGATCAGTATGAAAAAAAAGGTCATATGGAAGAGAAGCACAAGAAATACGCACGGCTCCGATCCCCAGCTTGTAGTCACTACTCGCTCAGGAAGGTTGCCGACATTGATCACATCGTCCGTCGTCAAGTCGAAACCAATTTCCTCTGACGCCTCCCTAACCGCTGCCGCTCGATCATCCGCATCTTCGGGGTCCCTCTTTCCACCTGGAAGCGCAACATGTCCGGTCCAGCGATCTCCCTCGCGCGAGGCACGCTTGATGAATAACACCTCCGGGTCTCCATGTTCGACCCACGACTGAGCGAAGAAATTCTGCAACTGTTCCTCAACGGACAAAGATGGATCATTGGTGATAGTATCCGAGCTCGGCCAGTGATCGTAAGTCGGCTTCACTCGTAGGATCAAGGCGACGGAGGCGCGCTTCTTACAGCCCGGTGGGTTGGGGACATGCGGGTACGGCCGACGACGTAACTCGGTTAAAACGCCATGGAGATGGTGGGACAGGCCCGGAGTGTCTTTGGAGTGGGCAGGGTCCGCCATAGGATGAGGGAACACGGCACGCGACACTGAAAGATATGAAACGCCGAATTGAGGCCGCGTATGGAGATATGTACAATTTGTCTGGGCTATCGGCAATGGACTGCCCGCGGAGTCTCGAATGAATTCCGACGGGACCCAGCTAGGTGGGCCGAGGCTGACTAACGCTATCGGGGAGATCCGAACTGATCACTTCAGGTTTATAGGTAGATTTGACGCTTTTCCAAATTGTTTAATTTGAGTTGAAGTACTTAGGAAGAATCGGGGTGAAGTATATTTGAATATCAGATTATTCTGTGTGGAAAATGAAATGTGCATATGGTAGGTTCTCGAGCAACTCTTCGTTACGGGGTCATGTACATCGGCAAATCTAAGCATGTAGAGCATCCACCCCGAGCGATCCATCAATGCAGTATACCTTGAACTGGTAGTCATTGAAGTTAACTTATGTCAATATAGTAGAAAACTTTAACATCGAATCTAATTCATTCTTTTTTTTAATGAGCACACATAGTTATCCATAGAGTATAGATAGTACTACTGTAGTGACTGAGGACCGTGACTTTTTTTTCAGGTTCACAGGTGTGGGGCATTGGCTGAGATTGAGTTAAAGACTCTATTGACCATAAGATTCCTCCATATACAGTATGGGAAGTACTGAGCTTGAATAACATATACGATCTTATATGAACCATCCAGTTGGAAACGATGCTCTATATATTGCCAAATTGTGCCTAGTTATATAGACCAACATAATATGCAACTACTACAACCGTCATACAGTAGACGGGCCGGGACTCACTCAACAGCCGGTAGGCGACCGAAACCCACCGCGGGCCCGGGGCCGTGGCCAGCCCCAGTTTTAACGCAAGCCAACCAGGCTCCCACGTCCAAAATCATCACTGCCCGTAACTCGTTGACCCATATCGCGACCGCCGGGCCAGGGTTAGTCCGGGCCTATTTAAGTTAGTCCGCGTCGCAGAAAGAAGCTCCGGTCTCAAGCTAATGGAACCGGAGCCGCTGATTGGCCGGTGAGCTGCAAGCGGCAGATGAAAGCTAGCCACTGCAGGGCGCACGTGCGTCCGACCTCGACGCCATCCCACTCACTAGCTACTCGCTTGACAATTTCTCTTCGTCGTCAAACCCCCGAGGTATTCACGAATTGCTTCATTTTCCATCATCCAGTGATCGCCGGTCTTCAGTTCACATTACTGCGGTATATTTGGGATCTTTTCCGTGTCTCGTCGTTGTAGCAATTGCGCCGTTTGCCCGCACTCGGAGGACATTTCAGAAACCACCGGCTCAGGCTACACAACTCCAACCACCGACCCCTCCCGTTCTCATCTGTTCTAACAGTCACCACCCTCCAGTTGAGACACCATGAGGTTCGGAAAGACGCTGCGGCATGCAGTGTACCCGCCCTGGAAGGGCAAGTACATTGACTACTCCAAGCTGAAGTCGCTCCTGCGCGAGAATGATGTCACCGGTGAGGACGCCAGTGACTCGGACGATGGCCAATGGACCGAGCAAGACGAAGAGGCCTTTGTGCAGGAACTTCTCAACGTCCAGCTTGACAAGGTCAATGCCTTCCAATCAGAGACCTCGCAGCAGCTCCGGGAGCGTACCACGGCGTGCGAGGCCAAGCTCCGGCCGTTGGCACCGACCGCGGACCAGGAAACTTCGGATCTTGAGGACCAAGAGAAGCGCACAATTGCCTCGGAAGTCCTGCAAGAGCTTGACAACATCACCAAAGAAGTCAGTGAGCTCGAAAAGTACAGCCGTATCAACTTCACGGGCTTCCTCAAGGCTGCCAAGAAGCACGACCGCAAGCGTGGTGCCCGTTATCGCGTCAAGCCCCTGCTGCAGGTGCGCCTGTCTCAAACACCCTTCAACTCCGAGGACTACTCCCCGCTGGTTCACCGTCTGTCGGTGATGTACTCGTTCGTGCGCGAGACCCTGAGCCAGGACATCGTGCAACCAAAGGAGCCGGAACGTGGGTTCGGACGTGATTTGTATTCGTCCTACAAGTTCTGGGTGCACGTCGACAACGTCCTCGAGGTTAAGACCTTTATCCTTCGCCGTCTGCCCGTGCTGATCTATAACCCCGGAAGCTCAAAACATTTGGACGGTCTGTCCGACGATCCAACCATCACCTCCCTCTACTTCGACAACCCCCAATTTGACCTCTATAACCAAAAGGTCGCTCGTGCCTCTGAAGCCGGCTCTTTGAGGCTGCGGTGGACTGGACAGCTCAAGGACAAGCCGCCTATTTTCTTGGAGAAAAAGATCGTGGCCGAGGACGATAGCAGCCGTGAAATCAGAGTCCAGCTCAAGGAGAAGCACATCAAGGAGTTCCTGGATGATGAATACCATCTGGACAAGCAAGTCCACCGGATGGAAGATTTGAATGACGGCGAGGGCTCTACCGAGGCTCAAACCCTAAAGAACAACGTGGAAGAGTTGCAGTCCTTCATCAAGGAGCACAACCTGCAGCCTATGCTGCGAGCCAACTACACCCGCACTGCATTCCAAATCCCCGGCGACAATCGCATTCGAATCTCGCTTGACACTAATCTCGCCTTGATTCGCGAGGATTCCCTCGATAGCGAGCGTCCTTGCCGTGAGCCTTCCGAATGGCATCGCACTGATCTTGACGATGCCTGCATGTCCTACCCCTTCGATGCTATTCGCACTGGAGAGATTGTTCGCTTCCCCCACGCTTTGCTGGAGATCAAGCTGCGCGGAAAGGCCCACGATGCTGAGTGGGTCAATGACTTGATGTCCTCTCACTTGGTCAAGGATGCACCCCGCTTCTCCAAGTTTGTCCATGGTACGGCCCAGCTCTTCGAGGACCACGTTAACAGCTTCCCCTTCTGGCTGAGTGAGCTGGAAAACGATATCCGTCGTGACCCGGAGACTGCGTTCCACGAGGAACAAGAACGTCTGGCTAAGCGTGCCGAGGACGAAATGGCCGTTGGCAGTTTAATCGGCGGCGCAGGCAGCCCCAGTGGCCCACTGTCTGCATCTCCCTTCAGCCGGTGGGGTGAGTCGGGCAGCCGCTCTGCGATGCGTCGTGCCTCTGGCATCAGCGAAACCAAAATTCAAACTCAACGCCGGATTTCTGTCGTTGCGCCTCGCCCGCGTCGTGAGCCCGAGCCTGTTGCTGAGCCCGTAGAGGAAGCTCAGGAAGCTCAGGAACCTCCGTCTCGCTTTGCCGCAGTTCTTCAGTCGATGGGTATCAACCCAAAGAACTGGACTGGTCGGGAGGTCGTCTCCCTCCCCCCGGTGTGCGTCACCCAGGCATTTGGATCAAGGACTCGGGTCCCGTTCGCGTGGAAAGCAAGGTTTGGCTCGCCAACCAGCGTACATTCATCAAGTGGCTGCACATAAGCATCCTCCTGTCTAGTTTGTCCCTGGGTCTGTACAATTCTGCTGGCAAGCACAACCGGATCGCTCATGCTCTGGCTATTGTCTACACCTTCTTTGCTCTGTTCTCTGCCGCTTGGGGCTGGTACATGTACGAGAAGCGCTCTCGGCTTATTCGCCAGCGCAGCGGAAAGGACCTTGACAACATGTTCGGTCCGATCGTCGTTTGCATTGGTCTGGCTATTGCGCTAGTCCTCAACTTTGCCTTTAAGGTTCGTGATATCCTTCGCGTCTCACATACTTCCCAGATCTGACACTGACATTCAAAAACAGTACAAGGCCGTGTTGCAGCAGGGTTATGACAATGGTGTCCCGGTGCATTCCAACTCCACCGTCATCGGTGGCGTGCACGCTGCCTCTTTCCCAGACGGTGCCGCCCACTTGCTGAAGCAGCAGCAGGTGCTGTAAGTGTGAATTTATATTGGAATGGAAGAGTTGGGACAGGTTCCCATTTGCAAGTCGTCCCCTCGCAGATTGTACATCGTTACCTGTGTACATAGACTTTCTGCTGGGATTGTGTCTTTCTTTTTGCTGCATTTCTGGAGTAAGCGGTGTATGTATTATGAATAGCTTGCGTCGATATTGAAGTTTTCCTGATGCCATTGTGATTCGTGACTTCCTAGTATATTGTTGTAGGACGGTGCAGCGTTGTTGAGATTAACCAACATCATTTATTCTTTGAGAGAGCGATGTCTATCGTAGTGGGGTACGTATGATTGCTTCAACATTCGAGCTTTACTTCTTCTATCTCATTGTTTCATATGTATGTGGGGTAATTAAGTAGCTGGACATGTTCGAGCGGTGAAAACGTAAATAGCAACCGCAGATAAGGATTCTTAACCGCGGAGAATATTCGGTGTCGGGAGGCCTCCCGATAGCGCAGGTGGCTTTGGCAGCTTGAGGAGGACCTCAGCGCTATAGCTCTGGAAATACTGCAATATACTATTCGGGCTCAACTCTCCCGTCCCTTGTAGAGATTGAGAACATTTTCAGAAACCCCCGATAGAGCCAGACGTACTAAATATCACAATTGATTGATTAATCTCTGTTAGAATCCCCCGCATTTTCCTATCTATTGATGTCACGAGGTCCAGCCGCATAGATCGCTAGGCGGGCTTTAAACCCGGTCCGTGAACACGGTCCGTGAATCTGGTCCGCCACCGGGGAGTGCTTCGACAGCTCGAAACTGCACAATATGTTAAAATCGCAAAACAAGAGAGCAGGGAAAATCTATCAATCGAGTAGATATTAATTTGGGTCCAACAGACATTCCATCGCAAGTATAACTTGATTCTAAAACACATCATTTTGTCGATTGTCTGAGATGGCGCGGCCATTGTGTGAACTATATCACCACGTGACCGGCTCAACGGTTCACGGCCCGTGAGCGAGAGCGGAGTGGCTTGCTCTTCAAGATAAAGTAGTCATTGGAAAGTCTAGATGAATTGACATATAAATGTTCGATTCACCCCAGAAACTGGAGAAGCTACATTATCTCACGGTTACCAATTCTGCATCCCTTCACCATAGTCCACCGCGATTCAATTGCCAGGACTAGTTCTCATTTTGCATATCATGACCTCAAGCAACCCCTCATACCTCATCATTGGTGCCGGTGTCTTTGGCGTTTCAACCGCCTACCACCTTATCCAGAAATACCCCAATGCCTCTATAACTCTCGTTGATCGAGATGCATACGACGCCGAGTCTCGGGTAGCTGCATCCTGGGACTGGAACAAAGTCGTTCGCGCCGACTACGACGACAAGATCTACTGCAGACTTGCTCTGGAGGCGCAAGACATTTTCATGTCTGACCCGCTCTGGCAGCCTTACTTCCACCAGACTGGCGTCTACTGGACATGTCGCAGTGACTACGCGCAGAACGTTATCAATCACCACAAAGAGCTAGGCCGTAATGACGATATTACTGCCCTGCCCGTTGCCGAGGCGCGGAAGCTTTATGGTGGTCTTTTTGACAATGCTGATTATACTGGCGTCAAGGAGGTTCTGATTAATAAAGCTAGTGGTTGGGCTGCAGCTGGAGATGCTCTTCGCGCTGTGACTAAGAAGTGCCTGGAATTGGGCGTCAAGTATGTGACCGCCGAGGTTGCCACACTTGAATTCAATGGTCGGGGCTCTTGCACAGGTGCAAAGACGAAATCCGGTCAGGTCCTTTCTGCCACGTATGTCATTGTCGCTGCCGGTGCTTTCACGCCTACGTTGCTGGAGTGGAGTGCTGCGAGCAGTGGCAATGCGGGTCTTCGGGCTGGAGAGCGCATTTTGGCTGCGGGTATCACGACGGGAATGGCGCAGCTTAAGAAAGAGCAGTATGCCAAGTTTAAGGATATGCCTGTTGGGTTCCAGGGCTATACGCCCGAGGAGGGTGAGTTATCTATTCTGTGTGGCTTGATGGGTATGTTTGTGGACATGCTGCTGACGCTTTCATCCAGGCAAGCCTTTCATTGGTAGTATCCCGCCTACTAAGGATGGAGAGCTCAAGTGGTGGGGATCTAAGATTTTCACAAACACTCGTGAGGTTCTGCCTGGTCGTTATATCTCCTCACCTCCACCGACGCACGACTACAATCAGTGGAAGGTTCCTGGTCCCCTCAAGCAGGATATCATCGAGTCCCGCAATCTGTGGTATGGACCTGCGAGCGCGGACTGGGAGATGACGAAACACCGAATTTGCTGGTGAGTACCTACCTGATTGACACCTCTTCACTTTGCGTTCAGAACTTTGGATATCTAACATTTAAAAGGGACGCTTTCACCACCTCCTCCGACTTTATCATCTCTCCCCACTCCGCCTCCAAGGGCCTATACGTCGCAACCTGTGGCTCATTCCACGGCTTCAAGTTCTTCCCCGTCCTGGGCAAGTATATTACCCAGATGCTTGAGGGTGAATTGGAGTCTGAGTTGGTGGAGAAGTGGGCTTGGGATCGCCAGCGCCCTGATTCTTCTCAGAATGTGGAGTATCCTAACTCTGAGATGAAGCATCTTTTGGGACCTACGGCCAAGCTGTAGTGGGAATTTCATGTGGATATGGCTGCGGGTTTGCGTAATGTATTTGATGAATAACATGATTAGCATAGAGCAAGACATTTCTTTTTATTTGGATTTATTCATTTCCATTTAGCCTGGTAGATTAAGCGAAGTTGGGAAACTTTAGGAGTGTCGATTGGAATGGGTTGCTTCGGTTGATCGTTCAAATCGCCGAACTAGTCATGGAACGAGTCAAAATCAAATATGCAATTAAGATCGGTAAGTATTAAATTGGCCGAATAGCGATAGATACGGAGTAATTGCCCTGCATCAAAGCAAGCGCCGAGTGAGTGATCTACGAGTGCGGGGTGAAAGTCACGGAATTATATCCGGTCGGAGTTAGGCCGAATGACACCATCCACTCAGCAAATGGGTATATATAAGCCTCCACGTATTTTGTGACAATTGACACAATCAGCCACAGGGGTGTACTACAAAGAGTATACCGAATATATTCTAACACCATGACTGAAGGTGAACCCGAACCCAATGGGGACTACGACCTCGAAACCCCTATCACATCTACCTCGGGTCTACGCCAAGGCCTAACATCCTACGGGGATGCCCATTTCTCTTTATTCCTCCGCAAGGTGTTCATCAAGGCATTGGGATATTCAGAAGATGCCCTTTCAAGACCTATTATCGGCATCATCAACACATTCTCGGGATTTAACCCTTGTCATGCCAATGTGCCTCAGCTTATTGAAGCTGCTAAGCGCGGTGTTCATTTGAGTGGTGGGCTAGCTGTGGAATTTCCCACTATCAGCGTCCACGAATCATTTTCTCATCCGACGAGCATGTTTTTGCGGAATTTGATGAGTATGGATACTGAGGAGATGATCAAGGCGCAGCCGTTGGATGCTTGTATTATGATCGGGGGTGAGTAGATTTTACCCTGCATTGGTCTTCCTTTTGAGGCCATTGAACGATTAAGTGTTCTTCGATTATTTTTAACTCTGCATAGGTTGTGACAAGACTGTCCCTGCGCAGTTAATGGGTGGGATATCAGCTAACAAGCCGATCCTACCCTTAATCACGGGGCCAATGATGCCTGGTAGTCATCGTGGTCAGAGGATTGGAGCATGCACAGACTGCCGCAATAATTGGGCGGCGTTCCGAGCTGGTGAAATTGATGTTGAAGAGATTTCTACTATCAATGAAGAGCTTGCACCAACGGTCTGTCCCCATACCAATTCCTCCGGGCTATCGAGGAGTGTGACGATGAACTAACATGCAGACCCTTGATAGATCGGAACATGCGGCGTTATGGGAACAGCCAGCACCATGGCGTGTGTTACTGCGGCTCTAGGAATGATGCCTCTACGAGGTGCATCTGCTCCGGCCGTGTCTTCTGCACGACTCCGAATCGCAGAAGAAACTGGCGCAAACGCGGTGGCAGTTGCAAAAGCTCATAGAAAGCCCCAGGAGATCCTGACTAAAGAATCATTCCTGAATGCAATCACCGTCTTGCAAGCAATCGGCGGATCGACTAATGCCGTTGTTCACCTGTTGGCCATCGCAAACCGACACCCGGACCTACAGGGAGTGATCACCTTGCAAACCATTGAAGAAATTGGCAAAAATACTCCACTCCTGATCGACCTTAAACCTAGTGGAGACAACTACATGAACGATTTCCATAATGCGGGCGGTATGATGGCGCTGTTACAAGTTCTAAGGCCACTGCTGCACTTGTCTGCGAAAACTATTAGTGGCCAGACTCTAGGGGAGGTTCTAGATGCAGCCTCGTCTAAGAAACTTTCTTTCGAGCAGCATATCATCCGGCCACTTTCGAATCCTCTTTATCCCTCGTCTTCTCTAGCCGTTCTATACGGCAATCTCGCTCCTAATGGTGCCGTGACCAAGGCTTCAGCGTCGAAATATCGATCATTACTTTCACATACCGGGCCAGCAGTGGTGTTTGAAAATTCGGCTGATCTGGCACTTCGAATTGACGATCCAGATCTTCCAGTGACCAAGGACAGCGTATTGGTGCTCAAGGGCATTGGCCCAATCGGCAACCCAGGCATGCCAGAAGCAGGACTCATTCCTATCCCGAAGAAACTGGCCGCTGCAGGTGTGAAGGATATGCTGCGCTTATCTGATGGACGTATGTCGGGTACTGCTGGTGGTACGATTATCCTCCACATCTCGCCCGAGGCAGCGCTTCCTGAGTCACCGTTTGGAGTAGTCGAGACGGGTGACTTGATTACCTGTGATATTGAGAACCGAAGACTTCATCTTGAGATTTCGGATGAAATCTTGCAGAATCGAATCGGGGAAAGGAGGAAGATTCTTGAGACTGAAGCAGGGCCGGTTCAAGCACGGCAGCAGCGAAGAGGGTATCGGGGTTTGTATGAGCGGTCGGTTAATCAGGCACACGAAGGGACTGACTTCGATTTTCTCACTGCCAGTGGTGGTGCAGGTCAGTAAATTAGCAATGGATTAGATGTTAACTCTATTATACTACTATTCTTCTGTTTCGCTGAGACCTTTTTTGAGACCTCTTTTGAAACTACTTCGTAGGGGAATTTACAGAGCCAGTGGTGATAGGCAAAGAGGGAGAAATGGATAATAGCTCTTGGTCAGGGTCAATGTCAAAGGTGATGGATGACCTTAGTCCCTACCAGGCGAGGGAGGAATAGAGCATCAAAAATTGCCGATCTAGGAGGTGTCATGATGAATTCTTGCGACGAGATGGCTCTAGCAGGATGTAGACCTACAATGAACAGAAATAGAGTAGTTCGGAAGTTTGAGAAGTCTTGATCAGCAAGGTCAATTTGGGTGGGAGGAGGTGGAAGGGAAAGGAAGGCAAATGACTACATAACTTTATGCATACAGTACAACTGCCCGTAGTGCCAAGCTTTATAAAGTGGGGTAACTCATAGGGACTAGACCAGATCAGGAATAGAGCCAATTCCAACTGGCATGGGAGCAAATATCGATCACGTGGTGTGCCCTGAGCCCTACCTTTCCCAATCGGGTTAAATCCCTTGCGCGCGCGTCGCGAACGCGTCTCAATCGGACAAGTCGATCATCAACCCCCGGACATTGCGATACTGCCAGAGGGGTTGGATAGGCCCCGGGAGTTTCTGATCGTAATTGCACCTTGATTTATTGAAATTCAACGTGAGGGCCTCCTCTCAAAATGAGCTTCGATCCCCTTCGCCCTCGGGGCCGGCCAGCCCGTAAGTCGCGCTCTTGAACTTCCTACAATACCTCCAACTGACACCTTGATTGCTGGAATCTAGACACTCCGGGAACGACAGTACTGACATACACCCCCGATGGGCGGCGCGTCATCACCGGTGGCTCAAACTCGGCTATTCGAATCTACACAGTCGACCAGGACGGAGAGCCCAAGACGGTTGATGGGAGTATTGATGGACATTTCGCAATCGGCGCTACGGTACGGTAGTATGCAATTGGCCGAATGATGACCGGGAGAATTGACCAATTGATTTAGAATGAAATACTACTTCTCGGTGCTGAGGATGGAACTGTCTGGTCCTACGATGCCGTCTCCGGCAAAATGGGGGGCCTGCTTGTCCGATGCGCTTTGCCCGTGAGAGATATTGCAGTATCTCGCGATGGTGTATGGGTTGCGGTCGCAAGCGAGTGAGTTTCATTCCGAATAAACTGATTCCAAATAGAGACAGTTTCTAACGGGTTACGTCTTTAGTGAACTTACGGTCAAGGTCGTTAAAATCGAGGACATGACACAGGTGAAGTACCTGCGGGAACAAGGGAAGGGAACAAAGCATGTCACTTTCGACCCCAACGGGCGCTATGTGACTGTGTCTGGAACGGACGGCATTCTTTATGTCTACTCTTTGACCAACGAGGAACCAGAGGTGCTCCGTAAACTCGACGGTGTGATTCGAAAGCTTGAGCCCGATGCGGAGGCAACAGCTAAGGCTGTCTGGCACCCAGACGGTACCGCATTTGCCGTTGCAGAGGCCACCAGAGATATCTCAATCTATTCAATCTCGGAGTGGAAGAAGGAGAAGAGCTTTGCTGGTGGTCACAGTGGGGACATCACATCACTGAGCTGGGCGCCCAATGGAACTTTGCTCGCATCTGCAGGAGCTGATGGACGCATTGTGCTCTGGGAGACGAAAACACAGAAAATCATCCAGCGCTATGAATTTGGAAACGTGCTTAATCTCGCTTGGCACCCTACGAAGAACTCTCTTTCATTTACCACCTCGGATGGAGAATTGTTCATCTATGACAACTTTGTTCCCAAGGACTACGAGTCTCAACTGCAGAAGCCCCTGCAGGCTGCCCCGATCTTCCCAGGCCCTCTGACCGAGATTTCCAATAATGTCCCACGCACATTGGCTGAGCGCTCCAAGGAGGCATTCCAAAGACCAGCAAGGGCAGGCTCGCCCGATTCGCTTGATGACATCCTGGGTGATGATGAGGATATGCGTGATTTTGTCGACGATGACGATGGAGCGGGCTATGCAGAGGAGCTCAATTTGTACGGCAAACGACCAAATGACTCTCTTGAAGATCTAGACGGCCCCGACACCAAGCGTGTCTACTCGGGCTCCTTGCAACCCAAGGCTCATCTGCCACTTCAGCCTGGTAGTACACCGTGGGCTGGCAACAGGAGATATCTGTGTATGTATTACTGATTTGCCAACGAGGATGACACTTGCTAACCTCGCCAGGCCTGAACTTGACGGGTGCCGTCTGGACTGTGGACCAGGAAACACATCACACTGTGACTGTAGAGTTCTATGATCGAGAGCTTCATCGAGACTTCCATTTCACGGACCCATATCAATACGACAAAGCGTGTCTTAGTAAGTCGCAATCCAAACTAATACAATGTCTTTTTACTGACTGACTACAGATGAGAACGGCACGCTTTTCTCCAACAACCCATCTGATGGCAGTCCTGCCACAATCTTCTATCGGCCACATGAGACGTGGACTGCACGAGCAGACTGGCGAACGCAGTTGCCTGAGGGAGAGATAGTTCGAGGTTCGTACTAGATAATGAATTTGAGATACAATTATACTAACTTGATAATAGCCCTGGCTCTGAGCGAGTCATATATCGTGGCAGTGACCACGAAGGACTATGTGCGCGTATATACTCTGTTTGGCACTCCCTTCCGTGTGTACCGACAGAAGAGTCAAGCCGTGACATGCGCTGCTTGGCGAGACTACATTATGACCATCGGGAACGGACCCGTCGGTGCTGATGGTCGACATGCGACCCTGCAATACACTGTTGAAAATGTTAAGCGTGATGAAATCTGCCAAAATGAGGATGTGGTCGCCCTGCCCACGGGAGCGCAGTTGCAGAGTGTTTTCTTTTCAGACTCGGGAGTACGCTACCTACAGATCCATCAAGAGCGTGAACCGATCAATGCTAACTATTCTGCAGGACCCTTGTATTTACGACTCAACTGGTGTCTTGGTGGTGCTACAGCATTGGCGCACACCCGGACAGGCCCGCTGGGTGCCTCTTCTAGACACTAAGCAACTTTCTCGACTTGCAGGCGGCCGAAAGGAAGAGACCTACTGGCCCGTTGCCGTCGCGCAAGAAAAGTTCCATTGTATCATTCTCAAGGGTGGCGACAAAAACCCGTACTTCCCACGACCGCTACTCAGTGAATTCGACTTCCAGGTCCCAGTCTCCAGCAACCCGCCCAAAGAAAGTGAATCCGAAGATGCAGGTAACGATGGCTCACGCTTCGAGGAGTCTTTCGTGCGTGGTAACATTCTTCTGTCGCTCTTCCGGGACCTCATTTCCTCCACGAATGCAACGGCTAGTCAACGTGCTGAGCTGGCGCGCAAAGAACTGGAGCTTGACAAGACTCTACTTCAGATGCTGGCCATCGAATGCAGAGAAGGTGAAGAGCGTGGTATGAAGGCACTTGAACTAGTGACTATGATGAATGACCGCAACGGCAAGATGATTGAGGCCGCCGCCAAGGTCGCACAGCGCTATGGCCGAGGTGTTCTGGAGGACAAGATCCGTGATATGGCGGAGCGACGAATAATGGGCATGGGTGATGACGATGAACTGGCTTGAGTTGGGAACTGGTGTTGGGATACCAAGGATACATTGTGATACATTATTATTTGAGCAAAATTGGACCTGCAAGCATTCAATACGAATACCTTCATTGTCAGATCGTTTACAGTCAAAAAGCTGCCAATAGCATAGTCTTCTTGTCACCTAAAACACATTGTATACAACAGCGATGCGATTGGCCCGGCGAGAAACCGAGAAACCGGAAAGGCGGAGATCTTGACCCGCCCGCATCTTCAACTCCTCTTCACTCTCCAACAAATCCACCCCATGGCATGATCGCACTCTCGGGCACAACTGCTCACTGCAAGGCAGAATGCCGAAGCTGCCCTCGCATTCACGCTCCCTTCGCTTGGCGCTGCAGCCATCGAGAGCGGCGGGCCGCTCGGTCACTTCCTCGCCGCGGAGAACCCTCGCACACCCGCGCCATGGTATCTTGAATGACCCTTGGCTACCTGCGCCCTCGACGGTGCAACTTCCTACGGCATATTTCTCACCGACTGGAGTACGCAAAGATTTGAATGGGCTATGTGGCGGTCCTGGGCAGAGCGACCATAAGCCGCCAGATGAGCGGGTCTTGAAGCTTGGAAAGAGTGAGTATTGGGACAACTTATCTTCCAAAGTCGTATGGTGCTAACTAGCTCTTCAATAATTACAGCTCTTCGGACACTGTCTCCTCTTCTCCCCACGATACTTTACAATACCCTCCCACCCGAAATCCTTGCTCCGAGCGTTAACCTCCACCTCTTCCCATCAACCCACCCACATCTCCCCACCGTCAAGGGACGTACACTATACCGCGCCGCATTATGGACTGTCCCCGTAGCATGGAGCAGCGTCCCACTTGTGGGAAACGTGAAACTACAAATTCTAAGCGAGCGCATTGTGCGCGCGGGAACAATCCTCGACCCGAAGCACGAAGACCAACATGACTGTGGCGACGAGCGGCTAGTCGTACGATGGAGAACGGAACCGCGGACAGATAGCCGGCCATTCCACGATTCACAGAAATCATCCGGATTGCATGGCGACAGCCAGAGCTCGTCGCATTCGTCTAAGGAAGGCGCAGGACTGACGCCGGCACAAAGTCACCTCTCGTCCTCGAAGAATGGGACGAATAGAGGACTCAGTGTGCTTCTTGGTGGCGAAGAGCCCATTTTTAAGCTCTCCAAGGAAGGGCAGTTCACGGGCCTGTTCATCTTCTCGTTTGATGAGAAGGGCCGCATTCTGACGCATACTATTGAGCATGCTGACGAGGCGGAGGGCTGGGATCGGACTTCCAAGTTTGTCACGTTGACTGACTGGCTTATCGGCAAGGCGCGTGAATCTCTTGACCCAACGCCAAATCCAGGGTTGGCTGTGTCGTGTGAAGACTATGGATCAGCACCTGGTCATACCGAGTATCATCCTCGGCGCTCATAAAGTTGATCCTTAATTGGTAACCACAAAGAGATGTGATTTTTGCTCATCATTGCATACAGAGCTTTCATAGCATGACAAGTCTGCAGATTTTCTGAAGGGATCGACGCTCTTCAAGGGAAAACCACTTCACCATACTAGGATAACATGTGTACCACCACTGTACTCACCTCCGTCTCTTCTTCTACTTGGATACACCTTTGCCTGAGTCCGAGGCCCATATCTCTCTTTAATCCCCGCTCCTGGTTTATCGCCCATGTGTACTATACCCTCTGTCTGATGTATTACTTGAAATGAACATATTTAATCCTCGAAAATAACCTAGACTAATACTGGTGTTGTTGATTCCTTTACGGGATAAGTAGCAACTCAGGGAATTGAAACGTCATAATGTTGCTCAATTTAAATGGAACTTTTTTGTTGATTACATCTAGACATGACACCACCACGCTAGATAATCGTAAACTGCGCTAAGAACGGCTATTCTTGACACTGTTTAGGGTTGGTCCATGTTCTAGCGTCCATGAGTGAATAGACTAAATCCAAAACATCGAATCAAAGGTAATCATGAAGGTCAGCGGTCCCCTGATTCTGTACACGGTCATGAAATGCACTTTCGTACCTCGCATCTTGAGGTCGCGCATGTCTACCTGATACTATACAAGGTGTTTGCGAGGCCTTTAAGAAGGTAAATCTGGATTGCATTCAAGCTAATGAAGAGTTCCCATATTATAGCGGTACCCTTCCCAAGACAGAATGCTCATCTGGAAGAGCCGATCATTTTGGGGCAGAGCAAACGAAAAAAAGACATCACATAAATAAGAACAAAACCAGTAGATCGCGAATCACATGCTGCAATACTCACCCTCGCCGCACGCGAAAGCAGTGAAACCCGGCAAACGTATCCCTTAGCACTGGACTTGCCCATTAGCAAGAGTCCAAACGGGGCCAGATACAGCATCGAAATCGGGATCGGTATCAAGATTGGCATCTTTAAAGGCCTGAGGAACGAGACCTCCCGCGTGGGGGTTGTTCCCGTTGGCGATAATCGCCTCGGCATTAATATTGGTGTTATTAGGGCTTGCCAAGTCAAACTGCAGTGTAACTCCCGCAGGAAGGTTGAAATCGGAGTAGAGTGTGCATGTACGGTGGCCACTATTCACAGACTCGGGCGTGGAGAATTTCCAGACGTAGTTCGCACAGGTGTCTCGCCGGTTCAGACATTCCTGAATACAGTCGCATTCCGTCCGAACCTGCGGGAAGGTCAGGTCTACTTCGGTCACGACTCCTGTGACATCGAACCCGCGGGTGTAGCGGATACAGCCTCTGTCTTGGGTGTTTAGCCCTGGGCATATGAGACGAAGCCCCGAGCCCGAGTCCTCGCGAATCCGGACAGGATTTGAAACAGCGCCAAGGGCAAGGAGGGAGGCAAAGAGAGGACAGGCGATGCGCATTGTGTGGGATGGAGAATAAGTAGTAAGTGAGGTTTCAGGGTAGGATCGTAAAAGGATACTCGTCAAAGCGTAGTCAACTGCAGTAATAGCTCGAAGATATTAAGCTGAAGGTGATAAAGTTACTGCTATTGCCGCCAGAGTTATTCTTATAGCCCAACACACAACGAATCCCTGACGTAGAATTTACCTGTATACCTCGAACGTGTGACAGAACAGCAAATTATTGGCTACTAAATTTTGCGCCCCAAAGGATCCGTCAGGATTAATCTTGTGATAGTCTGGAAATAGAAAATGAATGAAGCTTAGCTGGTGCTTAATTTAGGCTGTCAACCTTATCCCGAAGTTTAAATCGCTGGTTGCAGTGCTCTACTCGAAGTCATAATATAGCCCGAGAACGGAGGATGGCCCTCTCGACCTCTGACCATACCACCTTCTCTGACAACATGGTGCTATGTATGCATCAGTGGCTTTTTTCGGCTATTAGCTTATTAGATATCGGATACGCGCCGAGGAAGTATCTACGTCCGCGGGGCATCGTCGATGACAGCTGTGGGAATCAAATAATCATGCTCGCTACTGGTACGTAGAATTATGTGGTTAGATCCAGACTCTGGCTGAGAATCGTCCCATGTTCAATGGTTCGCGTGTTCCCTCGTTTTCGCTTATAACCTTGTTTCTCTACTATCTACCTAATCTGGAGCCTCTGGTATTTTCCGAGGGCCATGAAAGACTCCGGCCAACCGCAACAAGGCGCTAGACGGCGCGAGGTAGATCAATGACGAGCGTCACAAATTGCTCTATACATTTGTCATAGTCGAATAGATTTAACTGACTACCTACTTAATTCAAACTTCCAATGGGTTTAGTACATACGACCATAGGGTGTGGAGAACAGGGCTTCCCGTCCGCTCAGCCGTACTTAAGCCACACGCCGGCCAGTTAGTAGTATGGTGGGTGACCACATGCGAATCCTGGCTGTTGTATGTTTTTTTTCGTTTTGCTTTCTATCGTTCCTTAGGGTATTAGCTCTTGCCGCTTTGCTCTTCAGCCCCTTCAGGCCCCTTCACCTGAACGCCCTGAACATCCCTAAAGCGCTGGCGTGGCCCTCGTCAACCTTTCCTCTCTCCCTCCTAGTCCTTTCCTCCATTTTTTGCTTTCCAGTTAATCTTTTAACAATTAATTCATGGAAAATAAATTCACTGTAATTACTAAACTTAACTACTAATGTAATTCCCGGCTTCCCTGGTACTATGTGCTTTGGGGTGTGTAGCTCGGAAGGAATTGCGTTATCCCCACAAAGACGTTAGGAAAATTCTGACTAAAGACGAGGCATAGACAACTAGTTACGAATGGCTAGCTCCAGGAAGAAAGAATCGGGAATAATCATAGTTGAAAAACTCTCACGTGGCCGAGTGTATGGGGTATTTCATTAGTAAGAGTTGAATTTAGAAAGGTTTTTTTTTATTATTCTTTACATATAAATCCCACGTGATCTGGATTAGATAGGAACAGTTGCCTAGATTTAACAGTTTTCGTAGATTGTGGTGAAGTTGAATAACCTATCTAGAATATACAAGGTGAGAAGAGTGAGAATGCCCGAACCTATGTAATAGCTGGAGAGTATGATGGATATTGCTGAACACATTATTAAATCTCACGAAAATGGAGTCTATAAGACGAAGTTTCTTGGTCGAATTGCTTGAAGCCCTAAAGCTAGACCGATTCGAGAATAATATTATAGCATCTCTTCTTTAAAGTAGTTTGACAATCCCATGATAGCCTCTCACTGAGGCGGGATATTGAGCGTTGCCGTATTCGCCCCCATATGCGTTAACCTCTGCTCCTTTGTCTAAGAGAATTTTGATATTCTTTTGATGGCCGATCGATGGAGCAGTAAGTAATGTTATCGTGTAGACCGACCTGCGCGTTAACGTCCGCTCTGTCGTCGAATATTAATTTGACAGTTTCCTGACTGCCACTAAATGAAACGGCCTGGTAACACTTGCCAAGATTACCGCGGCATACGTTGACGTCTGCACCCTTGGACAAGAGCATGCTGACAATCTTCTGGTCGGCATTGTTGGAGGAGTGCCAGATACGTAGGAGGATATTCGTCTTGGCGATGTTGTTGTCGACAAGTCGACAGCTAACTGACGAGGTGTGGTCTAGTATGATATGAACGGGAGCGCACGGAAGATCAGTTTATTCGCGGAAGAGTCTAACATTAGCCAAAACCATTGCGTCGTATAACTATGGAGATTGTTATGAGCCCAAGAGTACCCAGTATGAAAAGCACTTCATGCTGTAGTAGTTACCAATTGGGGTCTTGCTGATGCGCTGTTTGATAGAACCTAGGGCGTTCTGCCGGTCTCTAGGGATTTGATAGACTACTTCGATACTTCGTGTGTATGAATTCTAGCCTGTGAAACTCGTCTGTATTGAGGTCTGTTAGAATATTTGTATCTGGCTTGATCCGCTGAGGTGTGGGCGTTGCCGGATTGCCCAGGTCTGATTTACCTTCCTTGGAAGGGTCGATGTGATTAGACATTCTTCACCATTGCAAATTTCTGGATGATGCTGGTCCATTATGACTAATGACCGGGACCTTGAAGACTGGTCGGGGAAGATGCTTCTATATCTGTTGGATCTATTGTAGGCAATAGCTGTAGTAGAAGTCGATATGTTGTTTTACAGATGAGAAAATGCATCTGATTAACCTTCCGATAATAACAGCATGCGGCATGCAACGGGATATAACTGCGTTTAATGAAACCTGGGGCAACCCGGGTCTATAACTGTCATGTTCTGAGGACCCGTTGAGCGGCTGATGAACTGAAGACGTTTGAATCTCTATCTAAAAGATTGAGGAAAGCCGATTCCTTTTACTTAAATTCAGTCGTGGGCAGCAGAGACAGTCTGTAGGTAGTAACTGTGCTGCCTTCTGCCAGTGTAGATCACGCCATGCATGAATTCTTTCATAACCTGATCTTGACAATACTCAAAGAAACCTACACCAGGAGAACAGATTTCAAAGAGACGAGCAAGTAAGATTTGCCTGCGCGTAGTCGAAGGCATCCAAATACCCCATCAATTGGACCACAGCGGCGCATACGACCAGGATGTGGAATATTGAATGGGATCCCCATAGGTCGAATTTACCAGGATACCGACTTTCGGGAAATCTAGTCTTCAGAACCACACATATATATTAGGGTCAACTTGTTTCGTGCTCGAAATTAGGAGACTTACTACATAAAACGAAGTCCCAGATAGAAGGCAGCCTGCTTTTGCCAGAGTATAGGGCAAAGCTTTTCTCATCATCTGTGACATGCCGAACACGCTAAGTCCATGAATCAAGGGTGCAACACCGGACAAGCCAGTCGCCACGAACATTAATGCTCGAAAGAGGCGATACTTCGGGCCTTGAAACTTGGGATGCATTGTCATAAGAATAGTCAATGCCCCAAAAGTCCCAATCTATCAATGAAGGAAAGAAGAGTGTTAGAAATTAGTACTAGGTCTAGGGTAAGGAAACACAGAACTAAACGTATAGAGATCAACTAACCATAGACCAGTAGATTTTCCGTAGCAAACTTTCACACCAGAAAACCATGTATATTCCTAAGACAAGGTCACCTAGGATAAAGATGACTACACCTAGCATATCTAGTCGTAGGCAGAAATGTTCCATATGCTGGGAGTGGTTCAGCAAGGTATGGTACGTCGTCGATAAAGATAGGCACGTGACGGCTGCCAACATAAAGATAGAGAAAACAATGATATCGGCGCTAGTGATCCCGGAGTATCTGCTAGTAAGGTACTGCTGGATATACCACTCGCCGAGTAGGAAGAAAACGGCCGGAATAAGGTGAGAATAGATATTGGCTGACTCGTTGTGAATATACGACCAACTGTGAAATGAAACGCGAGCGGAGCCTGAGATGGGCCGGTAGCCACGGAGAATCCATGGGTTAGATTCACGTCGGAACCATTCCGGCATCTCATCAAACGAGAGAAGAACCCGGCGTTCTGATTTCTGGGCCTTGGACACGGTGTCGCTGATAGATTCCATTTCCTGCCCTTTGTGCGCCTCTGGCAGCTGCGGGGACGAAATTCGAAGACGAGGGGTAAATGCCATTTACTGTGGTGCCTGAAGGTAATGCTATGTGGAGGGGCCGGACTTTGAGAGTAGGTGGAAATGTAAGATGTAGGAAGAATTCCCTAGTTTATTGCCCTGCTGCCCTTTTATTCGGTTGATGTTGCTTAGCGCCAGCCTGGCTGTTAGCCCCTTTCGAGCCCAAAATGCGGCAATCGGGCACGATACGTTCAACTCCACGATCCTCCCGGAAGAGGGATCCAGCAGGATGCAAGCGAGAATCTATATATTTTCAGGGTATTCTGTAGACTATATATGTAGATAACCTCTGACAAGAGCCTAGAACCGTATTGGTCTCTTCAATTGACTTCATGACCCTTAGGACTGTCCGCACTCCTGCCACGTGATTAAACTACTCTGATTTTATTTTTACTCATTACATTACAGCCCCGGCGCCTCGCGTGTAGGTGACAGAACAAGCAGGAACCTACCAAATCAAGCCAGGTTGGTCAGCCTCAAATTGTGCAATTAGTCCTCGCGAGGGAAAAAATCATTACCCTTGCAACAAATACATAGATCCTAGTGGACACCGTCACGGGCGCTCACTTGTGCTCGTGCCGCTCTCCAAATCCTTCCACTGGCAATTAGCCGAGTACATGTGGTCTGCATATGCAAGCTATTTTAGTATCAGACACTATCTCACAGCCACTACCAGAATCTTTAGGACTTTGTTTGATTGGATGTATTCGAGATTGCCTGCGCTTCTGACTTAAGAGGCATCGAGAAATTGAGTTGTGAGTGGGCACGAGCAAGTCGCTTACAACGCAGGCTGGAAGACAACACTTGCTGTAGTTTACTTAACTTACTCTTTATTTGATTTGTTACTTTGCTCACCTTGTTATAGCAATGCGCGTATTACTCCAGGAAGTTGACCTCGTCCCAGAAATGCGCAGAACAGGTGACTCGAAATAACGATGTGCCACCTTGCAGGGGAATTGACGCAGCTAATGCAGGTGGGCTGATCTTGTTCCTTATATGGTTTAATTAGGCGTGCGGAGTTGATTTTGAGGGAGGCGCAGTTAGGGGATTTGAAGTCTTACCCCAACAGTCAGGTGATGTATACGCAAGTCGCTCAGTCAGCCTCCCCGCTACTTCTTATGCTATGTTTCCTTTCGGTTTGACAGACCTTTTTTCTAACCAGTAGCAAAATTGCCGCATCCCAACTGGCACGAAGACTTAAGTCCTCCCCGCGGCTGTCTCGGGTTTGAGATGGAGGGGCAACATTACAGGGACTTGTGTGTTGTGCTCCAAAAGTAACGGGTTCGCAGACAAAGCACTGGCGACGCGCGCTGTCGTACGTCGCGGCCCTGAAATGAGAAACGTTGGTAAGCAGCTCAGATTTTAATGTTCGCATTTTAACTAATAGTAGTGTCCTTCCAAGGACCTGCAGTCTGCGCATCCTATCCGACAATGAAGGGTCGGGCCGAAAACCTAAATCTTTATTTGTAGTGCGTTTGTAGTGGACATCGTGGAAGGTGGTCATGATGCACACGAAAGGGCTGCCTGTCTCAAGCACACGAAGAGTCAAATCAAGTTCTCAAGTGTTGAGTTTGAGTGTATGAAGGAGGTCACCCGTCATTAGAAAGTTACAATAAACTTGTCACTATGGGACAATATTGATGGGCGATAACAAACTGAGATCCCCCAATGCCCGCACAGAACTCGTACAGGGCAGAAGGAACATGGAATACAAAGCTGTGCATGTGTTGATTCCTGAGATCATACTCGAACATATTGTGCCAAGTAGAAGTGCAAGGAGTTTTGGCTGTACTGGTGTTAGCGCGTTTTAAGGCGGAAGAAAGAAGCGATTTGTCTGAGCTATGGTCGCGCCAAACCCATAAATAGCACGCTATCCTAACAGGGTCGTAGACTTAACACGCCAGACCGTCCTGAGGTTCTAGGTGTGAATGTAGCACAGCCTGATCTGATCAATACACAGCACGCTTCCGCTGATCGACCAATATTCTTCCAGCCAAAAGTAAAACCCCGAACCCCTTAGTTTGGATGCGCAGCAATGGATGACAATACTGCTTCCCAAAGCTTGCTGCAATCCGTGCTCGGATTATTCGCGCGGAAACGACCGCAAGGATCGGCAAAGCCGGCGTCACTGAAATCACGGAAACGCGAGGCCTGGCTACGGACGGATGCATTTCTGCAGCGCGATGATATTGATGAAGCCGACCCAAAGAGTGTTGCAAGGACCTTACGTGCATTTGAAAATCTTGTTGAAGATGACTCTGATCGAGAGACAGATATCGTAAGTATTTTTGACATACAGCAATCTCCAGCCTTTGGGTCTTTTGGCCACTCACATCCTGCCTTTTCATGACAGTTTGCGGAGCAGAGCTCCCAACAACCCACACACGAGCCGTATCCGAAGCTTCGTCGCATGATCGAGAGTCCGAATCGCGATTCGCTTGCCGATCCAGGCACATTCATTCGCGTTAGTAAACGGCGACGATATTGCGACGATGCCATTCAGGAACTTTTGCATTTGGAACAGGAAAAAAAGAAGCGCCGAATTCTGCCTCGTGAAGAGCTAACTCAGGAGTCCAATATCGAAGACCCTGATGCTGACTTTGCTGTGTTGATGAGGAGACACCTGGTGTCCTTGGACAGTGCATTGCGAAGAAACTGGATTTGCGTTTGCCAAAAGTGCTCAGGATTGAGCGTGAGACTGTCGCTGCCACGAAACAAAAGGGACCTCGAGACAGAGGCGAGTTTTGAAGTGTTCTTTGGCGTGCGTTCCGCCCCTGCAACGACATTACAAGAAGCTAAAATCACGGTCAAGTAAGCTCTCAAAGATTTCCATGATGACCTCTACTCGCTAACACTGTCTGTGCAGAGACCTACACACTAGCACATTGAGGCGCTCATCTGAGCCTGTAATCAGCAGCCCACCAGACTTTGCCCACATATGCCAGAGCATCACAGAATCACTCGGTCAACGAAATTGCTTGCATTTTGCTCTCGAGGATGGGATATTTCAGAGGCTTCGTCCTCAGCCAAAAACATTTGGTAGTGACCGAATGTCTCAGACAGTATCCTTATCGGCATTGTTCAATCGCCAGCAAGAATTGCTTCGTGGCGAATCGGTACTGCCACTCAAGGGGAAGCGAGTCTTGGCTGTTACACTAGCTTCAGCGCTTCTTCCGTTCTTGGAGACACCGTGGCTGCAATTTTCCTTCAATCACTCAAAAATCCAGTTTTTTGAGCCGCGACAGAATGAAGAAATCCCTAACATTACGAAACCTTTCCTGGCTCTGGAGCACGTTCCAATCATCTCAGCCCGCAGTAAAAGCACCATAGACAGCTCTGGCGCCTCGAAACACATGGTCCATCCCAATGCCAGTGTGCTAGCGCTAGGCATACTCCTGTGCGAGCTTCACTATTGCACACCCGTGGAGCTGATGGCAAAGGACCTGCATGTCGCCAGGAACATCAACGATGATTATTATACCTGCCTCGATAAGCTTCAGACTCTGGAAGACGATGCTGGTGTGGATTACTATCTCGCCACGAAGGCATGCCTTACTGGGGAGTATTATCCTCTTGGACAGCACGCTGACTTCGAGGATGTCAGCGTTCAGCGGCTCTTCTACCAGAACGTCGTCAAACGACTTGAGGCCGTGATATTCAAGGCTTGGGGTATTCGATTAGAGAATTTGGGTTCATTTGATTCTCGACAGAATGAATCCTGCTGGGGGCCTATCGGTCGAGAAGTTGTCCGCCTCCACACAGGCAAGGTTGATTCCTCTAATATAAATACCACAGCAAGGGCAAGTTCGCATCGTTCAATGTCTGACGCCACCCCCGTCAGCTACGCATCCCTCCACTCGGATATCATGCTACAAATATCGTCACAACCTTCTTCGGGGTCGCAAGCCCACGGACACCTCGCCGAGCCCCCGGAGAAGAGCTTGCATTTTTTTGATGCAAGCCACCAGATGGGTCCTGAACAAGAGTGAGGCGTTTTACATTGGCTATAAGATGGCTTTGTCGTACTAATGACCTGCCAGGAATCCACTCTCAGAGAAATGGATGGGCAATCTGCTGTCCTCGATCTATCCCTATGTTAACCCTGATTCCGACCTCGCGGAACCGGTGCGAATAGCGATTTTGGACTCCGGCCTCGACCCTGAAAACCCATTCCTGGTCGAGGACCAACAATGTGCCAACCCACGAATTAAGGATGCACGAAGTTTTGTACATGGAACAGAGTCGCACGACATTCGAGACGAGATTGGGCATGGCACTCATGCTCTTGGTCTCCTTCTCAAAGCTGCCCCAGGCGCTGAGATCTATGTTGCCAGAATTGCGCGACGAGAGACTATTGATCCCAATACGTACGACGACATTGCAAAGGCAAGGCTGTCATTATACTATAACAGACAGCTTAGACTGAGCTAATAATTTATGCAGGCCATTAATCATGCGGTCGAGCAATGGAAAGTGGACATTATATCAATGTCATTCGGAATTCGTAAATATGACGAACTCATGAGTACAGCTATATCTAATGCATTGAACAAGCGGACGTTGTTATTCGCGGCAGCATCGAATGATGGAGCAAATTTTGGCAGAGCTTTTCCAGCTCAATATCCCAGCGTCTTTTGTATACACTCGACTGATGGAAATGGCAATCCCTCCAATTTCAACCCTACAGCAAGCGAAACTGACGTCAACTTCAGCCTACTTGGGGAGCATGTCTCGTCTTACTGGCCGGCTGGTATGAACGGACACGATCAGACTGTCAAGGTTATGTCAGGAACATCGGTCGCAACACCGATTGCTGCTAGCCTAGCCGCGTCGGTCCTATCTTTCGTTCGGCAACAAGATCAGCACATTGCTGTAGAAAGCGAAAGGCTGGGACCGTGGCTGAAAAGAGACAATTCCATGGATGCGGTCTTCAAGAGTATGGCCAGACGGCGGGGGGTAGGCTATGACTACATTACACCTCATATGCTCTTCGATAGTGGTTCGACACGGGAGGATGTTTACAAGAGAATTAAGGATATCAAAAGGAACATGTACAAATAGTAGTAGAAGCATGGGAATGGCTTGCTCAACCACCAATCGTACATGGTTTACTCATGTTTGTCTCAGTTGTAAGTCCAAGATTCGCCTGGCGTGATTAAGCGGGAACGTAATAGACGCTGCCGTTTTCGGTTAAATCGAGAACAGCCTCAGCAGTCCTGATATCAGCTCCATCCACGTCTTCAACTAAAACACATTCGTCGTCACATTTCTTCTCACCAACAGTCATAAAAGCGCCCTTATTGTACTCTTCGAGCTTTAGTCTCCGCCCAAACCTAAGCCTCTTCACGCGGAAAGCAAATACAAATTCTGACTCGCGATTTGACTCCGTCGCATCATCATTCATGCTACTCCAGTTGCCTTTTGGTCCAAAGGTCGTTCCCAGCGCGCTCACGTCGATGCCGAGGTTCCCTTTTGCCGTCGTGCTCTGGGAAGTCGAGTATTTGATCTTGGCGCCCTTGACGAGCTTCATGCCCGTGACCATGAAGAGCTCGCTGAAGAGTGCGAACCTTTGCCTAGGTTCTCTCAGCCATGTCTGCACGGCCGGTGCCTTGACGGCCTCTTCCATGTATTCCTGGGTCGGCTCGAACGCCAACGTCGTCACAGTATCGAACGCGAACGTATTTGCCGCTCTTTTCGAATACTCAACATTCACCTCTGGACCAAGGGGCAGTCCCCCAGTAGCCAGCTGTAGGAATTGTGCATAGACACCCAAGCCGAGTCCTGTCTCCGTTGAAACTGTCTTCTTCCAGTCGGTCTCCACGACAGGTGGGAATTCATCAGCTACGGCAACAACGCTTGCTCTGTTCAGAGGGTATTGCGGTAATGACGTGGATCGGATTATAGATCCAAGACACAGCGGGCCGATTGGCGGAGGAGATAGGAAATCGGATGTCGGACACAGAAAATATGTCTTGGTGAAAGGCATAGCTTCAAAATTCAGGTTCAGATACCGGGCTTTCCTTATAACCGAGTGGAGGGATCGAAGGAGTAGTAGAAGAGTGTGTTGAGGGAGGCTTGGTTTCTATACGCACTGCCTGGTGTGTGACAGTCACTTCAGTGGCTGTGGGTCGAAACTTCCCATACGCTGTTTCTTCTCATTTATTCTGTCACACTGCCAGACCAACCTAGCTCGTAGGCCAATCAAGTCGTGCAAGTTGAGCCGAGCTACTGATTGCGAGCCGTTAGCGCGCTGTACTTGGACCTCATGTGCCGCTGCTTACATCCGTAAACCATTGAGACAAGGTTGAGGCGGGGCATAAACTCGTCACTCGAGGCGCCCAAGAGACATGCTGTTTCACATTATCTGACACAGAGTTTATGCCACAATTTCACAGCCTACTCGCGATTTAATTACCCACGACCCTTGGATCGTTGTCTTTTCCATACAGACAGGGATCGGCTTCCTGGATCTTGACGCACTCAGGACTCGCGCCCGCCCGTCCGCCCGCCCGCACCGCACCCTCTCGCCATGGAAAGTCTCGAGGGTGTCGGAGACGAGCCTATGCAAGATGTCTTCCTCAAAGACGATCTTAGCCCGACCATCGCCGAGCATGCGACACAATGTCAGTATCTTTTTCACAAGTACATGGCCACGCCAGAAATCGTGCCAGACCCTACTATCATGGACGATCAGCTGGCACGCTTTTCTCTGTGGGCATCAAACATGGATGTTTACGGGGCGCCCAATGTCTCGCTTGATTACAGACTGAGATTCAGTCCTTTGGCCGCGGATATCATACATCAGCTCTTGAATATAATTTACGATACCTTGCTGTCTTGTGAGTACTTTCCGTAACACATTCGGATGGGTTGAAGATCAAGTCTAATGGGAGTCTCGACAACAGTGAAGCCAATCGACGAGCGACCGCCAAAAAGTCCGAGCAGGAAGAGACAACGCATTTCAGTGCATAGCAATTTGGGAGTTACGCGGAGAGTGGACGACGATACAAGCGATTCAGAGAGCGACCTCGATCCAGCAGAAGAGAACATTTTGAAGATCACCGAGACAATCGGCGGAACGTTAACGCGGCTCTTCCGTCTGTCCAACGCCGTTCGCAAGTCCGCTAAAGCTAACCGGGCACGCAAGATCGAAAGTTACAGAGATGACGAAGAGGCAAACAAGGCCATAGACGAATTGCGTCTCTATACCAAATGCTATATCGAATTGCGATTTCCGAAGGCGCCGAAGGCGCTCCGCTCAGCATTGGTTGAAGCCAACACACTGCGACTTCGACGGCTGTATTATCAGCACTCGCATCGAAAGCGCATTGGTCTGAGTATCGAGAGCCCGGAAATGATTCCGGCCGTTGCTCAACTCCCCAAAATGGAGGAAATTTCGCCCGCTGTACGGTTTGTGCCGAGCGCGCTGCGAAAGCCTGCGAGGACTAACAACCCAACGGCCCCTTCGCCCGCGCCAGCAACGAATGCGACTACTGCTCGACAAACTGCTGTTGCGGCCTTTTACGCTAAATCCATAACTGAGGTTCCCCAGGCTAAATCTGTTCTTGTGAACAACAAGTTGTCGTTCCCTCCCATACCGCGTGCGCAGCAGTGTCCATACTGTGGCGTCATTATTGAATTCAAAAAAAATGCAAGCTTATCGCTGTGGCAGTAAGAAGATCATTCCGGTCGTTTCATGGGTACATGTGGCTAATCTACACTAGAAATCATGTCATCGGGGACCTGGAGCCCTTTATTTGTGTGTTTTCACACTGCCTAGAAGGAGGTCATCACGGGCACGGGAGAGGTCCGCTCACATTTGAAACGTCGAAAGCCTGGTCCAGTCACATGCAGACTGCACACGGGAATATATGGGAATGCCGGGCTCCGTCTCACGGTCCAATCGTCTTTGACCAAGAGATCCAGTACCAGGAGCATTCAATCAAGGAGCACGGTGTGCCTGATGCACACGCCCGGACCCTCAGCAACGCCGCACGGCGACCAGACATCGATAAAATACTGGAGTGTCCCTTTGGCGACGATTTTAGACCCTCGGGAAAGGTTGAAACCAATTCAGTCTTCTCGAGCGAAGCCCTCCAGTCACACGTCGCCGGTCATATGAAGGAAATTGCTCTGCTCACACTGCAAAAACTTCCCAGCGATGATGATGAGGACGCGGAGAGCGTCGATAGCGACCAACCGCTAGAAGACTATGGTCCGGCTGGTGCTTTTGGAATTACACGCGCATCTATGTACAGCGTATTAGAGGATGAGGACCTGATTTGGGATTTCCAAGACGATGATGCGGAGGCTGCAGACGGCAATGTGGAACACCGCGAAGAGGAAATCAGTGCACGGGTGACAGTACTCGACCTAGAGGACAAAGACGACTTGGGGACGACGAAGCTTCACCACGCGGTACAGGCCGGCGATTTGGGCTTGGTTGAGTCCTTGATCCGGAACGGCGCAAATGTAAATTTAAAGGATGAAGATGGCCAAACGCCCCTGCATTACGCTGCGGAGCGGGGCTTCATTGAGTGCATAGAAGTCTTGGTCAAGCACGACGCGGATTTATTTGTCACTGACAACTCTGGGTTTTCTCCGTTTCTTTGGGCCGTGGTTGCCGGGCAAGAAGGCGCCACTACGGGACTTTTGCTTATGGACGCTGATGCCAATTCATCCAGCGCGGATGGAAAGTCTGCGCTCGCTTGGGCGGCTAGTTTGGGATGGTCTTCGACTGCTAAATTGCTTGTTGAACACCGTGCCAGCATTTCTGTTACCCGAAATAAGCAGCAGATTTTGCCTTTGGAAGCAGCGGCAGCTTCTGGCAACCTTCCCACTGTCCAATTGCTCCTCGAATGTGGTGAGAATCCGAACTATCGTGATCGCGATGGTTGGTCTGCGATACATTGGGCAGCAGAGGAGGGCCATCTGGAAATTGTGCGATTGTTGCTGGATGCTGGGGCCAACCCCAATGCTGTCAGCTCTTATGGTACGTCACCATTGCACTGCGCTGCAAATGGAGGACATGTTTCCATTGTGAGCTTGCTCCTCTTACAACGAGCCGACCCAATCAAGTCAACATGCCACGGCTGGACTGCTCTACACCACGCCGCCTTCATGGGGCACTCCCATGTCGTCCAGTGCCTTTTAGAAGACGACCGTGTACGATCCACGGCCTCGCAGCAGGACAACCATGGCTGGTCCGTTCTTCATTTAGCCATCCACAGTCGAGATTTCACCATTGTCCGTATTCTGCTCGACAAATCTGTCATTGCAGAGCCTCATACTCTATTCGACGAAAGCGGCCTCACTGCAGAGGAATGGCTGGATCGCGAGCCGACCAGCCATGCCCAGATAGCCACCTGCAATTTAGCTTTCAGCAAGTCGCGCTGTTGCCGGGCCGTCACAAGCCTTCGCCAAGCTGTTACTATAGGCAATGTCCCCATGATCAAACTTCTTTCCAAATTGGGCCATGATATTAATGGCATGAACTCTGGAAGGAGGACTGCGCTCTATTACGCCGCCAAGAATGGCTTGCTTTCTATCATGGATCTGCTTCTTGACCTCGGTGCGGATCCCAACATTCTCCCTGCGGGGCGGAAGAATTGGGAAGACTTTATCCCGCCTGGTGACGTTTTACTGCGGCTCAACCGTGCAGGATACTGGAAGCGAGATACCGACCGTGATGTGGACCGCCAGATTTGTCAGGCATTAAGAGTGCAACTCCAACCGTCTGTGCCGCATCAACCAGCGCGGTTCTCAACGCACGAGTCGACCTTACCAATATTAGACAAATCTGTCTCTCATGGTGTGGACCGCCAGTCCTCATCGATTTCAGCTTCATTGACGACACCTTCTCTGGATCATGCAGATTCAAGTAATCCGACACGCTTGCCAGCAACTACACACCAAGCAAATGACAATAAGCGCAAGGTAAGGTCAGGTCGGATGGATTGGTGGAAACAGCTCATAGGTGGGAGATAGCAACCTTGGCTCCTTATAAACGAGAGTGAGGACCCAAGAAATGGCTCTGGGTGTTATTGGCCTTGAGCTTTGAGAACCAGGTTAAAGATGTGACATGGCCCATGTCTAACTTCAGCAGCAGCTTCGATCCAGTAGATACGAAATTTATGGATAGAGAGGCCTCTGAACACAAGAAGGAAAACCATTTTGGCGCTCATGTCTGTGAATGAAGATCCAAAGATACATGAGACGCTTCCAGTGTAAATAAATGAATTTCATTTGACTAGAAGCTATTTGAGTATGAATCCCAAGGCAATACGTAGGCACAATTATTAACACAGCCTTTTATTTTTCTCGTGACTTAGCTTTGATATTTCTCACGCAGGAATATTACACAATACTCTATGAGTCAAGGATGCGATTCATCACATGTCCTACACCCGGCAAAGACTGCAGATGCTGCTCCACTCTTTGTCTCGGGGCGCCCCTGGGTAATGTCAAATCATACTTCTTCCCAATGATAAGACACTCCACAAAAGTCTTGCAAGCCCGCTTCTGCAGCGACCCAGGGGGTTCCTTCGCTATCAAGGCCCCTATTTCCTCCGGGATAGCCTCACCAATCAGCCACTGATGATCAGTTGCATTCTCTTGGCAAAGAATCAAGCATGCTGCCGGGGGAATGTTGAGGAAGCGATCCTGTCCCTCTTCATGGGCCTGCTGGGTGAACAGGAAAATACTGGTCAGAAAGAGGCGTAATCTGGCGGAGTCACGGCTTTTGCTGATGACGAATAGCTCGTTAGCACACGCCTGATTCACGTCGCCGAATAATTCAACCTCATAACTGCTGTCGATGTATCCTTCAAAAAACTCCGCGATTACACGGGACAAATACTTAATCGGTTCTGATTCCTGTTTGTCGATCATTGCGAAGTGTCCCGTCATGAGTAGAGCCATTCGGAGTACGTTCTCTTCCCGGTTCCCCTTGCGAACACAGCTATCGAAGTCGCTCAAAAACTCGCGGATGCCAAAGTGGAAGAACTCCAATGTGTCCCTTTCGCAGGCGATGGCGGCCCAATTTGAGATTGCCGTAGCTGTGATGGCATCTCCTTCTCTCCATCCGTGACGGAGAGCCGTGAGTTTCGTATCCATGCCGGTGAAGACTGTGATGGCCAGCAGTGCCTGAAGATCTTTAGGCGCGACCTTCTGCAATATCTGTGTGGACAGGTCGCCCATGGCCTTCAGCCTCTTTGGACTTCTAGCGACAACTAGCCCCAAGAAAAAATTATGGTACAGTTTCGCCCATTCTCTCAGTTCGTCCGTTTTGTGTTCCTGGACCAGCTCCTGTAATACAGATAGACTGTCCCAACGGTTCAGGACCACGAACTTGAGATAGAGGGACATCAATTTGAGAACGAGAGGAAAACGGAAGGAAAGACCCAGCCCTTTCATGACCAAGTCGACAAATCGCGACGAACGCTTAAAGCGAGCGAGGAAAACCTGCTCCTGGAGGCCAAGTAGCTCATTTACCCGCTCATCCATTGGATCCGTAGGTCCCCTCAAGGAAGCAATTCCTAGAAGAGCTGGCAAGTTGTCCACGCGCGCCCCATGCTCAAGTAGATCCTGCGTCATTTCCCTCGAATTTACCAGAATGGCTCGCATCAACGGTGTGTCCGTATTGCCATGCTCCGCCTTGGCCTCGAGACGGGCGCCGTGTTCGAGCAACACAGACACGACGTCCCTGTGTTGTCCAGTGACCGCGATATGGAGAGCCGTCAACATGCTACGATCTTTGAAATTGACACTCGCACCATGGTCCAGCAAAAGTTCCACCATTTCTCGGTGACCTTGGTTGACAGCCCAGGACAGCGGCGTCCGGCCGTAATTGTCCTTTCGCGAAATAAGGCGGGCATGCTTGCTGATCAACAATTTAGCCCAGGGTACGTTGCCAAAGTATGCCGCGAGATGCAGGAGTGTGAACGCTGGCGGGCTTCCGCCGTTCTTGTCTTTCTCCCAGTAGACTTTCCACCATTCGACACGGATCGAAGAGTCGACTCTGAAGAACGGACGTGAGAACTCGGTCGGTGTATCTAGCACGTGAATGGCGTGGTGAAAATGCAGCGGCCAGTACTGGCTGGCATAAGATAGGAAGGGATCGGGGCCAGACATTTTGTGAATTCCTCCGGCATTTCCGTATCCGCGTTCAATGTGTGCTAAACAGGTCTGCATGAGAGTTCTGTGAGTATGCTGACCCATATGGAACATGTTGATCCCTTTTATGTTGACTTGATCGCTCTGGAAGAACTCCCTCGCCGATTCATGAATCAGGTTGACGACATTTCCTTCAATCTTCACGAGCAACCCGCCACATTCGAGTCTATTCTTGGTCACTTGTGTTGCTGGAAGAGTCCCGGCCATCTTGATCCCTGCGGCCGTGGTCAGTTCTTCCAATGTGAGGGGTCGAGCAGCAAGAACAACCCATTGGAGAATGGGAATCAACGCTTCCTTGTCGGCGATCTGCTGAAGCAGCCGTTGATAAATACCACTAAGGCCTTTTGGAACTTGGCGGAGTACTTCATTGATTTTGCTCCAACTCCTGCCCTGAAGCTCATTGGCAACGAATCCAACCCACAGAAAGGTCCCATCGGCGCCAGCTAACAAGGTCTGCTGAACCTTCGCGACCATCTCTTTGGAAAATTTTTGCTCAGATGCCAGTTCCGCAACTTTGGCAAAAATGTATCTCTTGACATCTTGCGAAATTTGCTTGTCGGAAGTGTCTAAATGAATCTGTTTATATTGGCCGAGTTTGCTCTCCAAAATAGCCGGCTGAGGTCGGGAGAGGATGATGAGCTTCAGTCGTGGCCGTGTCTTTTCTCCAGACTTCGACAAGGAAACCCCAATTGCATCAAGAAGCTGGCCAAGTGATTCCTTTTCGCATTCGTCAAGGCCGTCCAGAACACAAACTACCTGGGAAGACGTGCTCTGCTGAAGTAGGGTCAGGAAAACCATCCACAACGACACAAAACTGGAATTGGTATATTTGGTTGTTTCCGTCCCCTCGAAGGAGTGTTTAATATCTTTGGCCAGATGCGGTTGGAGGTCGATCCATTGATGCAGAATACCTCTCATGATGGTCAAAGCAGTGTTCCGATTTTTGTCGCGGCCACTGCAGAAGTAGTAGAGGAGAGCACCATCAGCAGCAACTACTTGCTGTAGCATCTCGGTGATATAAATCGCCAGCATGGTCTTCCCTTTTCCAGGACCACCTGAGATCCAGAGTAGGGAGTGGTTCGTATCTGCCAGCCACTCCTGATATTGAGGATGCTGTACAAGCCACTCGCAGGTGCCGTCAACCCTGCGTCCTTTTAATGCAATGAGAGATTTCCGATCAACCTCTGGCCTTGTCAGCAGTAAAGCGTCAAGAACAGGCGCAGCCTCGACATGCGATTCCGTGGCCAAACTTATCGTCTTGGACACCCTAGGTATGAAGGAGAGGACCTCTTTTGCGTATGCTGCAGCCGCCGCTGCGGCGTAGGCGTGCCAAAGCTTGGACCTATGCGAATATGCGTAGTCGCAAATTCCTCGGATGACCAAGGACTGGGCGGTATCTCTCAACCCGGTTGCCTCCGTCTCAAAACAGAGAACACCATACTTATGTGCGAGCTTGTCCCGGGTCGCTCCATGGCGCGTCAAATGATGGCCGGAGGCAATCAGGCCATAATGAACTATGGGGACCTGTAACTCCCGAGGGTGCCGGGATCGGATCCTATCTGGGTCGCATCGACTGCACCCGCTTTCTTCGGATTCGATGGTTGCATGATCATAATTCGGTTCGAAGAGGATATCTTCCTCTGGGCCAGGACGGGCAAAGGTAACGGGGTCTTTCTGCAAGATTTCGGAGATGTAGCGGGCCATCTTACTTTCATCAAAAACAGCAGCAGTCTCGGCCTTCCCCATAGCTATGAGAAGCAATGGTGTCGGCTGATCTAACGCTCTGCCGCTAACAAACTGATCTTTCTTTCGCTCTCCGTTCGCATCATACTGGACGACACCTGGCCCGCCAGCTGTCGACTTTCCGACAACAACATCACCAAGACGAATATCCTCCTTCGTATTTGGTACTCCTCCCGCAATGCCGACCATGAAATCAAGACGGACAGATGGGTAGCTTGCGTGCAACTGCGTGGCCACGTCAGCTACCGATGTTTTACCACACACCCTGGAATTCGGATACGCCACAACGACATTGTGGCCTTGAAGACTCCCTAGAATATAGTTGTTCTTGTCCGCTGAGTTTGGATCCGTAGGTATATTGTCATGGACGCGATCAAGTGTTGCTTTGGCTGCGGCGACCTCTATAGGCAGTACGCAAACCCATCCAACTACGTAGTCGTCACGGGACGCCATTTCTGGCCAAGGCGCATATCAAGGAATAGGATATTCAAGGAGCGTCGGTGGGAAGGCGTTATATTATATATAACGAAGCCTAGACTGTCTGCGTATTATTTGGGGCGAGGTTGACCTTCTAGAACACCACACACGTTGTTATAGGTAAGCAAAGCAAGATAGGCTCTCGATCAGTGTTCGTCTTCAGCCTGCGTATAAGCGACTTGCTTAAACCTGTTTACGCCTCAACTTCTCCATGCCCCTGAAGCTGGAAATGCAGATAGCCCAGAACTTATCTATTTATAGTCTCAAAGGTCCTGGTCTGTTAACCGTATGCAAGCTAATAGCATCGACGCGTTCTTACAGCCACTAACAGACGCACGACACGTACTCGGCTAGTTTTCAGTGGAGGGGCTTGGAGAACGGCACGAGCACGGACGAGTGAGCATCCGTGATGGTGCGACTAGGGTATATGCATGCAGATTCCCCTCTTTTGCTGTAAGGGCTAAGTGCGCAATTTGAAGCGCTAACTATCCTAGCTTAAACAACCCGATTTGTTTCCTGCGTGTTCCGTCACATACACGCGAGCCGCCGGGGCTTTAGTAACTTACTAGTTAAATTGAAAGGGGCCGTTAGTAATAATTAAATCAGCAAGGCTTATTAGTTAACTGACTAGTTAGTTATAGTTAGATCCGCAGTTATTGTTTTGCCCACCAAATTGCCAACTTGGGGCCTCTTTGCAATTCAGACCTGTTAAAATCCGATTGGTGCACCTAGATGAGCTCAGCAACCCATTTCCGATATCCTGTTAAACCCCAAAAAATCATATGACCCACCATCCTGGCAATAACTAACTAACTATGGCCCCTGAAAGTTAATCATCAACTGCACTCACTAACGTAATTCCCGCCCGACCTGCGCACCCCAAAACACATAGTAAATGCGATAAACTACGAATTCATATCTCAACAACTATGTTTTATTTTTACTTGAATATTGGAATATAGGGTTTTCTTAGCCTATGAAATAGCATATCTCATTTTGAGGTAATTTAGCTGATTATTTCGGTGCTTTACCATGGTAATTTTAACACAAGGGACCTGTATATCTATATCTTTCTACAAATACTTTCGCCAACTTTCCTATACTTCTCTAGTAGGTTAGATATACTATCCAGGCTACTTCCTGACCGTAAGGATTTTTACCTACTTAGTTAAACGGTTCTCAGCAGCATTATTCAAGTTTAGGATTGCCAGTCATCGAAGAATTGAGAGAGTTTGGGGGAGATAACCCAGCCACCTGGAAGATACAAGAAATATATTTAGAAGTCCTAACTTATATAGTTATCTAGTGTGTTCGCAGGTAGTCTCTCTTATTTATTAGGAGAACAGCATATAAAATTTCGGAGTTATTGTAGTTGTCACCACAGTGGTTCATTGATGCCTGGTCCCTAAGGCACTACATTTCTCTTTGTGTAGTCTGTGTATTAGATTGCCTCATGCCTTTCTGCTTGCTTCTTTCCTCATGCTTAGTTATTTAGTTGAATACTACCACTTGCTGATCCCTTGTGCCTGAGTTGTAACAGTCGTCATCGAGATCCACGACGACGACGACGACGACGACGACGACGACGACGACGACGAAGAAGAAGAAGAAGAAGAAGAAGAAGAAGAAGAAGAAGAAGAAGAAGAAGAAGAAGAAGAAAAAATAGTACTCAATCTTAGTTATTATAGGGGTAAGTATGAATTGTTAGCCTAACGGAGCGAGATAAGTGGGGGGGCTGAATGGAGGGAGACCGCTACTAGATTTTCCTGGCGCGTATTTCTAATTTATCTATTATCGCTCTCCATGCCAGTCGCTGGCGACCGAATCGTGTAAATGCACATTTTGTAGGCCTGCTCATGCTCTAGGCGGTCTTCGGGTGAAGAATATTCGGGTTGGTGAACTGCCGCCTGAGGCCGCCTGAAGGAAGACTGGCTAAAGCGACGAGCCGCCCAGCACCGAAACGACGGGCCCTGGGTGACGTCGATCATACTTTTGGCTGTTGTATGTTTTTATTTTTTTTTATTTCTGCATTGCTTTGATCAGTGTTACTATACTATAATAGGCCGTCAAATTTTAAATAGAGTTGTCAAAATTAACAGACAGCGCGACAGTTTGCATAGTATCCATATAGAAAAACGTCTGATGCAGTTTTACCGTAAACTAGGTTACACTCTCAAGTTCATTTTCACCTTCACATCCTTCGCAGGCTGGAAAGTTCCCAATGTTGTCCAATTCTTGGGGACCACCAGGTCACTTTCATCGGCAGAAGTGATATCCCACATTGACACAATACTTGCCGTAAACGCTAGAATAGCCCGCTCAGTAAGAGCGTTATTCTTGGATCCGTACAGGCCATCTGCAAACGGTGCAAGGCTAGCAGCACTAGCCTGCTTGGCACCCGATACGGGGTCCGTCACAATAAACCGGAGCGGATCATACTGATCTGGGTTCGAGAATCGCTGTGGGTCATTGATGTAGACACCATGTGGCATAATGACCTTCTCACCCTTGCGGAGCTTATATGTGCGCGGTTGAGTCGCATCTTCCACGGACTCGGTGAGGGTCATGTCTGATTCAAGTTTTCTGAATGAAATGCCTGCGGAGTGCAGGCGGATGGATTCGTAGTAGCATGCCTTGAGAAGCGGGCATGAGTCCAGCACTTTGTCAAGATCCATGTCCAACCTGGGTGGTTCCTCGAATGGGAAGCCCGTCTCTTGGCGGCTTCGTCGAGATGACTTTACGCAGGCAGAGATCTCCTTTCTGATTTCTTTGAGGAGCTCGTTGTCCGCGAAGATGTGGGTGATTGTCCAGAATGTAATCTTGGAGGTGTATTCAATCACGTCCCAGTATAGTGATAGCTGCCCTGCTGCGCTAGCGCCGGGAGAGAGTTCCAATTTGCGGAACGTTCTCATGCGCTCCTTTACCAGATCCGATACGTCTTCCAGCTCGCGGAGCTCGATGCCGGGATCGATCCCGTCGTCCCAGGCACTGAATGCCCGGTAGAAGACTGACATGGTATGAAGGAGTCGATCGCGCGCGGCGAATCCCGCGGAAATACTCGGGGTAGTAGGCACCCATCGACGAAGTCCGATAAACAGTGGGACAAAATTCTTGTCCAGCGTCCATAGATCAGTGAGGAAGAGAGGGAAGTTCTCGACAAAAGCCTCGCCCATCAAGAACGTGCTCAAATTATGGCCCACAAACCCCCTGATGAGCTCGAAGAGCCTTGCCTCACAGGTTGACTGGTTTTCCTCGGACGCGGATACGTGGCCATCACGTTCCCATTGGAATTGGTCAACTGGGCTTCGGCTGAAGCTGACCAAGTTTGGGACGTTGCGCTGCAGCATTTTGATGATTGTGGTCGATACATCGCTGATGAATGGCTCTCTACTCATGATTCCAGATACGTCATCACTGACTTCCTGGTGACGGGCTAGACGCAAGTTGCGCATGAGGCTGCGATCGCCAAATACGTTTTGGAGGGCCTGATCGAGTAGAGGGCCACTGGACGCATCCGGCGAAGAAAGAATAGTTTTCATCATTGATGGTGAGACCACAGTATCGTGAGTTTCACCGCGCAAGTAGACGCCGAATACAGACTCGGCCATAGAGTCTCTGTATCTTTCATTAGTACAATATTCTCTTCTTTATGGACGCTGGTACAAACCGTAATGACCCAATAAGACCCACGTGATTCCAGAGGAATGAAATGCCATGGCCTACCCATGGGAACCAGTAAGGTGCTAATCTTGAAGTTCGAGGTTCTGCGGGATCTTGGACACGCTGGCGACTCTGTAGCCCCGAGATGACGCGGGTTGCGATGCATGAGAACACGAAAACCGCGAAGGTAGTGGTCCAGGTTAATTCAGATAGCCCATCTCTCGCCGTTTGAATCAGTCCATGTGCTGAAATGTCGTGGGCCGCCATATTTGCGATCGGCGTACTGTGAGAGGAAATAGGAAAACAGTGTTGGATGGGCTGTCCGTGGACAGAGGTTTTGTTGCCCCTTTCGTGCCCCCAAAAGCTCGGATGTGAGTGGAAGGGAACAAGTGATTAGAATAGAGACGTTCCTCTATTGAACGTGTTCCAGAAATTGTCCATCGGGGATCCTTCGGATGATAGTCATGAGATTATCGCCTGAAGGGGCTTTGCTATTTTTAGCCGAAGATGCGAGGCTGAAGGCTTCACCGCCTTCTACTGCACACAAAGAGTACTTTTAAGTGGCCACATTTTTTGAGATTGTCATCAATCCTCACAGATCAATTTTCTGCTAAAGTTTGATATCATTTGACTGGCTGAAACGTGATTTTTGATTATTGTGTTCAAAAAAATACATGAGGTAAGAAGAATGGTGCTATATATTGGTGATGAGAGCCAAGCCGATTGGCCATTTTTTCTACTTTCTCTACATTACATTTTCCTGTTTTGACTTTTCTATCACCTTGCGTATTACATGATTAAAGACTATGAGGAGCAGACTCGATAGATGATTTGCATCAGCATTGACATACACTGCTTGTAGTTGAAAGTGATCCTCGATGCCTCATGACGGCTAAGCCTCCCGTCATTTTCTCATATATGATTAGATCTGTATCACTTCGCTTCTCCTTATGTAGTAAATGACATGCAGGCTTGCTATAAATGAGGCCGGCATACCATAAGTACAATCAGAGAATTGGCGAGTCCTATTCACAGGCTGTGTAATTTAAAGTCAAGACACAAGCCATCACAGGGTCTGCGCAATATGGTTCCAAAAGAATATCGTAATTCAAGCCTAACAAGTAGCAGAAGTCGCCGGATATTCGATAGGCTCAGCAGTGAGACGTAAGTGACCAGTCCAAGTGCCACCAAGAGTGAGAGTGCAGCAGCCACGAGTAGCACCGTACTCGTGCAGGCGATTAGCACACTTCTCCACGCCCGACAGAATAGTCTTTCCCTCGGTCTTAGTATGGCAGCTCGAGCCACTTGTCGTCGCTTTGTAGGCGTGACCCAGAAAGTAGTTGTTTTCAGTGTTGACCCCAACGGTCAAACCGCAAGAGTTAGCGTCGGACTTGCCCTCAATCATGCCAGCAATAAAGTTGTACAGTTTGGGAGATGAGCTAGTCGTGACGATGGTAGAGGCTTCAGAGCCGATGACAGTTGCCGTTCTCATAGTTTCTTTGCTCTGGGTGCGTTTACTTTGCGCGCTGGTTCCGTTATAAAGCGATATGTAGTTGAAGTTGATGAGATCAAAGTTCACGGTGAGACTGGAGCCCTCGCCTGCCCACTCCTCGACAATAGGGACATAAGTTACTGTCTGAGTTGCTTCGCTGTACTCGGCATGGCATCGGCTAACAAAGCCAAATGCGAACAAAGAAGAGATAATTTTGCTTGGGTTGACCATTGTCCCGATGCTAATCGAATGACAATCGCACAGATATCAAGCAGCGCAATAGCCAATAAGACCTTCAATTTAATGACACAAGATACAGAGAGAGGAAAAAAGAGGAAGCAAAGATAATGCAGGATGGAGGCATATATCTCTTGGGATATCAGGATATCGTCTTCTTTTTATTGTAAGCCGAGGGGAATTTTCTAGTCCCTTGTTATCGACCGAATGCGCCTTACACTAGTCTGAGAATTTAGGACAGCAAAGTTCGCTATTGGCTCTACCAATAACCCTAGGTATACTGAGCCCATAGTGTGGAGGTACTCGACTAGTGCGGTGGGGTTCCTGGGACCGCCGCGCATCATAGGTCCCTTCGAACCCAATAAAAGTCATACTATCACTACTGGAGGTTGACCTGGAAAGTGTTAGCTCCCGGCTCGGACCCATTCTGTTCAGCCTCATCGTCTCGTCGCTGGTTTTCGCCGTCTAGAATGAACGTCATTATGGAGCGATGTCCAAAAGATCCCAGATTGTATACGCGTCCTTGAAAATGCGTACGCGGCCCCCTAGAGTGTGGCTATGAAACACCCATCATTTTGCAACTCAACAGCTGTCTTTTATTGTTTACATATAGAATATGGAGACCTGTAAGATCGAGACCAAAACTAATAGCACCTGGCTAGAAACGGCCGCCTTTCTACCGGTAACTTCCATCTAGCGACAAGACGCCGCCTAACCATCACTATAACCCTTTAACTACTGAAAATGTAATTACCTGGTTTTTAACTGGGCAGTTAGTTATTAGCCAATCTCACATGTTATGATGTCTACAGCAATTTCCATGATAATTGTCTCGTAGGCGCTGCTCTTTCCGAAAGTGACGATAACCAAATAATTCTAAGTTTCAAGATACAACATGCCGTTGTTAATAGAACAAGATACATATGTACGAACTCACTATTCCACACCTTAACCACCTCCGCATCCTCCTCCTCCGCATCCTCCTCCTCCGCATCCTCCTCCTCCGCATCCTCCTCCTCCGCATCCTCCTCCTCCTCCGCATCCTCCTCCTCCTCCGCATCCTCCTCCAGTACCACATCCTCCAGTACCACATCCTCCAGTATCATATCCTCCTCCACAGCCGCCATAACCACCGCCGTCAGAATAGCCTATGTATACACGCGTTTGGTAGTATAGTTTCCTATCTTCCTTAGTACCGAGGATGGGATACACATCGAGCTGCGCCTCTGACGGCACAATAGAGTACCACGACCCATTATACCGGTCCTCCTGATACTGCTTCCCTCCGTTGGCATTAAAACGCCAGATTTCTGCTCTTGCCTCTGTCACCTTAAGCGCAGGCCGCCGCTCTAGACGCTGCCTGTCCCTCTGCGCCCCGTCCCATAGGTTCCTCTTAAGAGCCTGCTCCTGGGACGCAGAGTTATACTCACTGTAGCGACTTTTCACTTCACCCGCCCAATATAAACTCTCTTCCTCCAGCAACGTGAGTTTACTCACCAGCTCCTCACGGTGCTGCTTTTGCGACTGGCGGTAGTAACGTAGTTTCAGTAGTCGGAATGCCGGCTTGATGGACTGTATAGACGCCTGCATACCCGCCAACTTCTTGCTCAGCGCCCTGGCTGCGTCTTGCGCTTCGCGGCAAGCGGTACGCTTGGTTTCTAGACGGTCATTTGCCTCGTCTAGCTCTGTCTTGAGTTGCTTGTGATCGTTGTCGTATTCAGCCAGCTTAGTTCTTATGTCCTCCAAGTCCTTTTCACACGCGGCATTTCGTCTTTCGATCTCGGCAGTCTTGTTTGCATTTTGCGGATCAAAGTATGACTCGATGTATCGCATCGCCCAAAGACTTGCCGTATTGTCCTCCCTGTTAGAGCGCTTTACTGCGCGAATGGTATCGACGTGGTTGATCCGTCGCCCCACGTGTGTTTTGCAGTACTTCTCGTATGCGACTGGCGAGAGTTGGTGTGTATGCCAGAGGAGATCGATGTCGAGCGTTGGGACAAGTGTGGATTTGTTTTCCTTCATGAGCTGTAGGAATTTAAGATATCGGGTGACATGGTCAGGGAACTGGCGTTCAGTCAGGGTCAAGGCCACAATCCGATCCACAAAGCCTTGATTACCGAACTGTCGTTGAGGGCTGTCCCATAGGTCGAAGATAGGAACCCCGAATGCACGACGGCAGAGTTCAAGCACTGGGCTCCCATAGGTCCCTCTGGTCCTTGTCTTACAACCCGGACAGACGAAGTCGGCGCAGCCAACACGGTATTTAGGCCATTTGATCATTGGGATGACATATTTTCCTTTCCTGGCGCATTCTAGTGAGCTACATTTATAACCATGTATATCCATGCCATTCTTAGTGACGTATGCGGGGTCACCAGCAGGGGTGAACTCGACAATCTGATAAGGGACATCGGGATACTCTTCTCTCCATACACGTTTGCTGTCATCTGTATTGGTAGAGAGCATTTTTGCCAGAGGAAATTCGATCTCTGCTTTCCAAAGGCTTGGAAAATGCGATTCAATGTCTCTCTTGAAATTGAACGGTGACAGGAGATGAGCATAGAAGATAATAGCCACGTCCCTGTCAAAGTATGTTAGTGTATACTCCCATGCTCTTTGAAGGATGCCTGGCAACACGAAAAAATTAGGATTGTCATACCATGGTGGGAGTGGCCATTCATCCTTATGTGCTTGGAAACCATGAGACTTAATCCATCTTTCTAGAATTTGAAGGTACATGGAGTACCGGATCTCGGCGCTCATAAGAAGGCACTGCACGTTCCATTTCGCCTCTTCTTTTTGATCTAAGACGCGAGGCGGAGCGGGCGGGAATCCTTGCGAGTGTTTATCAGGTTGCTCGGCATCATCCAAAATACATTTGAACTTTCGCATGAGCTCAACATGGTTCTATACGGGGTTAGATGGCTTTAGCTTTGCTTGAGTATTGGATTGAAATGAGAAAAAGAAAATGACGCACTGCAATGCGCTCCCTTGAGCTAAACTCAGGGCTGGCTGGGAATGTCTCCAGTAAAGTCCCCATATCCATATCAAAGGTTTGACCTCTTTTAGCTGCCGTGAGGGATTCTGGGAGGACGACAGATATGGGAGAGTGTCATGATGGGGCGAAGGGGTTGTCGTGTTTATAACTATACGAGCAAATGCGGCTCTTTGCACACCAAACCATCCTGGACTTTCCGTCAAACTCTAAATACGAATGTGCATGCTGACACCGTTTTGGGGCGACTTGGCCAACTTGGTCACCTTCTCTCGCAATTCTGAGGTTCTCGCTTCGGTTTCACACCATCTCGACGTCAAGATGCGATACTCTAGTAGTAGATAGTGCCTACTGGCCCTTAATACTAGCAAAGCCCACCTTTGCGAAATTATTTGACGTGACCGATCAATATCATGAACTGCCTCGGACTGATGCTATACTTAGATTCTGGTATTGCGCCCGATGAGCCTCACTTTAAAGGGTATAGTGTACGTTCTCATCGTGCAAGGCTCACTTGGAACGCGGCGAATTTTCTCTAGTTACCACTAGAGTACCACCCACGTGGCTGTTCTCCTCTCGGGCAATGGGGCTTTGTTGTTCTTTGGATAGGTGCTATTTTTCACTCTTGATACCCCGCGTCTTACGCGTCCTCGATAGGCCACAAGGCGCATTTCTAGAAAAATTTCCCCACAGGCATTTTAGCTTCGTACGGTTAGAAAACAAGGATCGGGTAATAAGATAGTGGCCAATATTGTAATCTGCTGATCTGTAACCGTTATACTAGCAATAAACAAAATTCCTTTATGGTAGAAAGGCGATCTGCTACCTAAAAGATAGTATTTGAGTAAACTAAACCAAGCAATAATATCGACAGAGTAGAAACGTTGTAGCAGAATCCATATTTCGAGTGAATATTTGATAGGAGATGCATCTATGTACAAAACAGACCGACCTTGATTATACAAGCAAAACTGTACGGTTTCTTGAACACTAAACCGAGCAAAGCCACTGCCTATTTCTCGCTCTGCAACATCTTGGTCAGAGCTGCGCTATCATGCTCGTATTTGAGAATCTTAGACTGTGAGCCCTGGATCTTGCGTAGAAGCCATTCGATACGCGACGTCAGCTCATGAGGATGTTTAGGTAGTGATCCCAGCACCTGGAGCTCCTGCTCGTATTTGCTGATGCTCTTGTTCTCCTGGCCAATTAGCTGTCCGAGGATCATAAGATCGAGTCGGCCCTCGAGTGTCTTGTTCTCAATGAGTCGCTGGAAGGCAGCTTGGTAGACGGGCTTGCCGGGTTTGATCCATCGGGGGAAACCCTTAACAGAACCGACGGAGATAAGTTCGGCTTGCTCCAAGGCTCGGAGTGTAGCCTCGCCGTTGTCTTTGAACAGGTCTGAGAGCAGGACCTTGTTGTAGAGGAGGGAACCATCCTTGGCGTGGGCAAGCGATTTGATCAAGTGCCAGGCTTGTTCACGAGTCCATTGAGGGGTGACGGTATCGGTTCCCAAAATGAAGATCTTCATGATTTCTGAAGCTGACTGATCGATGATACGGTCCACAGCCGCTATTCAACAAGTTAGTACACGGTTGTGAATGGGACTGGGAATTGACAGACCTTGAGGAGTTTCTCCAGCCTCGATTCGATGTGCCATGAATTCAAGGTCGGTAATACGACCGCCCAATACCTTGATACAGTCGTCTAAGCCAGCCAGATTCCGTGTCGGCTTTTCTTTCTGACCATCGGCACCGCCATCTGCTTCCGTATCAAGGTGGCTCAATACAAAGCGACGACCCACCTCAAGGGAACAGTCACCTAGACCAATAGTACGGAAGACCTGATTCGGAAGGGCCTTGCTCAAAGGCTTCGAGAACGACGAGTCCGTGGTGAGGAAGATGACATGTGCAATGTTCGCTGTTGTCAAGCCAGCCGCCCACTCGGTGAGCTTGTCAAGAACAATATCACCCTCAGAGTCATACACAAAATTGTCAATGACCACGACAGGTCTTTTCTCGGGGTGTGCCTCGAGGTATTCGTCGTCGCTCATGTTTGCATCCTTGTCTTCCTTACTTCGACCCTCAAGCGCTACCCGCTTCATAGCGACAGCCGTGTTTTGCCAGATCTTGCTGAGTTGCGCGTCCAAGGTCTCACTGAACCCGGCCTTGGTACCAATCATTCCCTGTGCAGCCAAGTCGATAAAACTGCTGATGCTGTTCATCCAGGAGAAGATGGGTCGGTAGCCCACTTGAGCTGCGGCTCGAGAGATCTTGGCAGTGTCGCCTCGAGCATCCTGTAGCTGCTTACAGTCAATGATGACCTTGTATTTGTGGTCTTTCAGAGCTTGGTCCAGAACCAATTCTCGCTTTCCAGAGCCGCGTGGTCCGTGTATAACAATGAAGGTTTCCACGGTCTCTGTTAACCACGCTTGCAGCTGTGAGATATCATTCTGACGGTCTTCCCAGATGGCGGCCAAACCTCGTGGGTCCGTTCGGCGGTCTCCAAAGTACATCCTATTGGCTTTGCTGACTTGTCTGCGAACCCATTGGATGACTGGATTGTCTTCTGTATGAAGCGAAGATTTGACCTTGACCTTAATAAAAAATGTGCGGACAGGATCGAAAATTATAACTGTGATGGCCGCCACCAAGGCTGCTATAGCAGGGATCACGATACGAGGGTGGTTGACAATCCAATCTTTGATCATAGACAGTTTGATCTTCCGCTCGTAGTTGATCTTGAAGCGGGTTCCAGTCTTGCCACCTCCTTCTGCCTCGCGTACCACATACCCGTGCATACAATTTCTTGCCATCACCGCGAATCGGGGTCGGCTGAAGCGCAGTGTGGCATATCTCGGCTCAACCTTGGAATCACTGGGTTGAGGGTGGATATCCAGCAGTTTTCCAAACGGGCGGAACAGGGTGTACAGAGCTTCCTGTGTCAATTCAACAGCCCGGCCCTCTGTAGAGTCTGGCAAGAATTCGACCTTCAAGGATTGGCTAGGGATCCTTGCCAAGTCTTCAATCCAAGGTCTTCCTTGTACCAGGTCTACTTCCGCGCTCTGGAATGGATTGTACCAAGGCTTTATCGGATTCTTGCTCAGATGGTCTTGCACCGCTGCTCTAATATCTTCATCGTTCATATCAGGTTTTCGGGCGTATTTGATGAATGCACCCCCTTCTTTGTATCGTGGAACCACTTCTTTGATTTCTAGACCAAGGCTAGTTGGTAAAGCACGCTGTGCAATGGTTGTTGGATCGGAGGCCGCGAGATCTGGATTGTTGATTCTTCTCAAGATACCCTCGAGAGGCTGTATGTTACTGAGTGGACCCCGCAGCAACCATTGCAAGCGTTGCGGGAAGATGTCTTGATTATTGATTAGTAAAGGGAGAGGATGATTCGACCTGGGTGTATTGATACTGACTGTTTACGTAGAGAATTCCTTCGTTCTGGTCGAGTTTAATATGCCCTGACCGTATGGACGACATTGAACGTCGGCAGACTGGTGAGATTCGTCCAAGTGGAGCAGCTCTCCATCCCGAGCTAGAAGGTTGGTAGACCCGGCCGGCAGAGCTCCATAGTGAAGTCCTTGTAGCCGGATAGGCTCTCGAAATCAGTGCAGGCCTCATCTCAATAATGGCACATCTGGCCAGGCACAGGAGTTGAAGAAGATCAGGGTTTCGTTTGATCGCTGGTGATGACGTCGCGCGACGCTCTTATCGATAAGCATTGTCGATCGTTATCAGCAAGACACGTGACATTTCACATTATCGCTCGAAATCCGCGTCTTGGTGCCGTCGCCATCTTTGCGATCAGCTATTTCTCACAAAAACCAAACATCAAGATGGGCTGGCTGTGGAATTCAGGTCCTCAAAAGGACACACCAAAAGAGGTGCCCGCTGCGACAACGAGTGCCCCCGAAACAATCCCTCAGATCGCATCACCGCCCAAGCAACTGTCTCCGGACGAACAAGCCGACCTTGAATTCAAGCAAATCCTTGCAGAGCTCCAACAAGCAGATGCTGAGCTCTCCGGTAACCAAAGACAAGGTCCGGAATCATTCAGTGGCTCTACAACCGCACCAGCCAATCCCGACACCGGCGCACCCCTAGCCCAGCCCGCCTCCTCCATCGCCCCAGAATCCCTCTACGCAGACAGCATGTCCTGCCGAACAACTTTCGATTACGCTTTCTTCTGCCAGTCTTTTGGTGGTCAATTCGTCAATGTCTATCGCTACGGAGAATTACGGTCCTGCAGCGAACATTGGGATAATTTCTGGCTGTGCATGAAGACCCGTGGATGGTCGGATGACTTGCGAAGGAAAGCCATCCGCGCGCATAATCAGAAGAAGGCTATCAAATACAAGACTGGTCCTAGTAGCGAGGATGTCTGGGATGTCCGGCTGGAACCCGCGAAGGATTCCTTCAAGGGTGATTTCGCGGCCCTCGAGAAGGAGATGAAGGCTGAGGAGGAGATGAAACAAAGTGCTTCCTCATGATGAGCCTCAGCTTGTTTCTTCTACCATGAGACCACGGTGGGACCACCACGTGTGTTTCTGCTGTGTATATAATATCCCTCTAGTTTGGTGTGGGGTCTGTACAATATTTTGATACTCTGGAAGTCTGTCGATTTCTCCTCTCTGAAATGATCACTAGCGTATCGTTCCAGTTCGAGCTTCTCTGAAACCCAAGCCTCAAACACACAACTCATTTAATTCTGGCCCTGCAGTCGATCCGATTGTGGTAAGGGAACAGCTGACGGCATTCTGACTGGTGCTGTGTTGGTATGACAGTCTCATGCATAAGCTGAACTGAGATTGTCTCACTAGTATGCTTCAAACCTTATTAATATCTCAAGTCAAAAGAGCCTTTTCTGTTGCTCTTTCCAATAGAACAAGATGCCAGCGCTTAATGCCGCATCCTCGTTGGTCCGCGTCAATTCTTGGCATAATGAGGCTGAACGATTCCTGGCAACCACCCCCTCTTGTGCACTTAGATTTGCTCTAAAATAAGCTTCTCTCCAAGAACCATCGAAGGTCGTGCCGAGTGAGTACGCTTTTACAAACTTACTATTACGAACTGTGAAAGCAAGGTCAGTAAACAAAACGATATACTCTTGCACCACCGCCTACAACTAAATTAGAGGACGCGCAACTGTTTGACTCTCGCACTCACGATATTACAGATTGAATCCCGAGGAGTTCCTGAGTTTCCAACAACAAATATGATATAATCGAAAATCATGGAAGCTCTCCAATCGTCACCCTTCTCAAATGACCAATACACAGTGGGATGGATCTGTGCCCTTCCAATCGAACTGGCAGCAGCCAAAGGGATGCTTGACGAAGAACATGGAGCCCGACCAACCCCCCAGCAGAAGCAGACCAAAATGCGTATCTTCTTGGAAGAATCGGTAATTTCAAAGTGGTCGTCGCCTGCTTGCCCAAAGATCAGATTGGCTCTGTATCCGCCGCAGTTGTCGCACGAGATATGGTCTCCACGTTTCCTAAGATTCGAATCGGCCTTCAGGTAGGGATCGGTGCCGGAATCCCAGATGAAGACAACGATATCCGACTCGGCGATGTGGTTGTCAGCAGTGATAAAGCTAGCGGAGGTGTCGTTGTCTATGATTTTGGGAAACTTCTTGCAGATGGCTCTTTCCAGAGCATCTCAATCTTGAATCGCCCACCTAGGTCGCTAAGCTCTGCAATTGTTCAGCTCGAGGCAGCTCATATGACACGGGAAAATCACATTTCACCCTACATCGACACTATGCTTCAGAAGTATCCCTTCATGCGAAAGGCTGGTTATCGCCGACCAGCGCAGAACACGGATCGCTTGTTCGAGGTCCACTACAAACATTCCTCTGGTCGGACATGCAATAAGTGTGATCCATCAGAGGAGGTATCCCGAGAGCCACGCTACGACGAGCATCCGGTTATTCACTATGGGACAATCGCCACTGGTGATTCTGTTATCAGGCATGCCCCTACCAGGGAAGATCTCAAGCAGAAGCATAATGCGATTTGCTTGGAAATGGAGGCATCTGGATTGATGAACAACTTCCCTTGCCTGGTGATTCGGGGGATTTCCGACTATGCCGATTCTCACAAGAATGATCGCTGGCATGCTTATGCCTCTGCCGCTGCCGCTGGCTGTGCCAAGGAAGTTCTCCAATATGTGCAGCCAAAGGAGATCGACATGGCATCTTCCGCGAAAGATGTGCTTGGTCAAGGTACGAACTTCAATGTCATTGTATGAAAGATCAATACTGGGCGAAATTATTGATTCCTGTATCTAGTTTCCAAAGATGTATCGGATATGAAAGCAGTGGTCATGACAGAACAATAAAAAAAAGTCCTCGACTGGATCAGCCCTCTTGATTTTAGTGCACAGCAGAAGTTGGCCTTCAAGATGCGTCAGCAAGGCACAGGGCTATGGTTTCTAGATTCACCAGAGTTCCAGAGCTGGCTATCTCAGCCTAAGCAAGTCTTGTTTTGTCCTGGAATCCCAGGAGCCGGAAAGACGATTATGAGCTCGATTGTGATCGATTTCCTTAAGAATAAATTTGCAGAAGATCTCGAGGTTAAAACTGCATTTTTGTTCTGCAGCTATCAGTCCCAGCATGCGCAAAGATCAGACGACCTGCTGTCCAGTATTCTGAGACAGCTTGCGTACAAGGATAGCGGGGAGCTATGCTCGCATGTATATGATCTTTACAAATCCATGCCTCCAAACGATTGCACTGCTCTGGATCACAATCTGGTTGCCCCGACACTATCATGCACGGCAAGCTCATACAAGAGAATATTTATCGTGATTGATGGTCTCGATGAGCTTGGCCCTTCGAAACCGGAGCAACAACAGACACTACTGTCAGAACTTTTCAAGTTACAGAAAGTTTTTCCAGTGAACATACTGGCCACTTCGCGGTTTGTCTCTGAAATCCTTGGTGAATTTGAAGAATACCCGCAGAAGGAGATTAGGGCAGTCGATGAAGATGTGCTCAGTTACGCAAATACAAGGATCCCACTTTTAGTGCGTGGTACCATAACGAGCAATCCCGCAACCCAAGACGAGGTTCGAAAGAGCATTGTGACAAGCGCAGATGGAATGTGAGTATCCAGGATGAGGATCTCATTAACGGAATCGTTGACTTTATCTCAGGTTTCTGCTTGCCACGCTACACTTGGATCACCTCATGGGATTCCCGACTGTGGGAGAATTGAAAGAGGCCCTGCCGCTTTTGTCTCGTGGTGAAACGGGTCTTTTTGGAGCCTATGACTTGGCGATCGAAAGAATCAAAGCTCAGGCCCCGTCTTGCGCGCGATTGGCAACCAAAGTTCTATCCTGGCTTACCTACGGCAGGCGACCACTTTATGAAGATGAGTTGCAACATGCACTTGCGACCCGAGACAATATGAGCGAACTAGACCCAGAGTTCATGCCGCCGGCTGAAATGATCGATTCATTCTGTGCGGGGTTGGTTATTCGGGAAAGAGATACCAAAATTGTTCGACTCGTCCATTATACCACCAAGGAATATCTCCTGGGCAGCGCACTTCTCAGCAATGCAGAAGCAGAACTTGCCAGGAGCTGTCTTGCCTATCTTTGTCTGCCAACCTTTTCTGTTGGTCGTTGCTCGAGTAAATACGATTACAAGGAGAGATTGAATATGTATGCCCTCTACGACTATGGTGCCAAATATTGGGGGGCTCATGCGGCAGCTGTGATGGCTGACTGCACTGAAATCGAGGTCTCCGTTCACAAGCTCTTGAGCATGGATTGCTATGTATCTGCTGCTAGCCAGGGGCTAATCCTCCCTCCAATCAGCCAAAAAGAAAACAAAATTACCGACGTTTCCATGTGGGGACCGTGGAGCCGATGCCCTAGCCAGGTCACAGGCATGCACCTTGCAGCCCACTTTGGGCTAAGGGACGTCATGGCCTACTTATTGAACCATAATGAAGACCTCCTCGCCATGGATTCCAGGGGCCAATCACCTCTCGTCTATGCAGCAGAGGCGGGGCATACAGAAACAGTCCGGTTCATTCTTGCCGCTTCTGGGAACAAGAGCATAGATACCAAGGACGCAGACGGCCAAACACCACTTTTAGCAGCAATTTCCAAGGGGAACAATACCTTGGCCAAACTACTCATCGACCTTGGTGCTGATATCAATGAGCAAAATGAGCAAGGTCATTCAGCATTGAGCCTTGCCGCAAGGGTGGACAACGTCGTTCTGATGCAGACCCTTCTGGACAAGGGCGCCAATGTGAACGCAGCGAATATGTCTGGAGCTACCCCCCTTCACGAAGCATCGAGGGTGCACAACGTCGATTTTGTAAAAGTTCTACTCGAGAAAGGAGCCCTGGTGGATCCTCTCGAAAAAACCCCGACCCCGCTGCAATATGCTCTGTATTCCTGCACAGTTAATAAATGCAGTTTTGAAGCTGAGGAGACCGTGAGACTGCTGTTAGAGGCTTGAGCAGATCCGAATTTATATGTTTCGTCGATTTTCTTGGGTAGAATGCTGGAAATCCCACTGCTGATGGCGGCAGAAACGGCATCTAGCCCGATTGTTCGGCTCCTACTCGATCATGGGGCGGACCTCAATCCACGGCCTGGGCAAAAATGGTCTCTTTTATTCGGTGCTGTCAGGGAAAACAGTGCAGATGTTGTGAAGCTTCTCTTAGACATGGGATGCAATCCACATGACCGAGACCATCGCATGAAAACACCTTTATTCTGGGCAGCATTTCGTGGAGACCATCAGAAGGTCGAACATTTAATGTATCACGGCGCCGATATTAATGCTCGCGATGAGCACCTAGAGACCCCGCTGATGTCGGCTGCTGGTGAGGGAACGGTTTCAACTGTCGAATTCATGCTTCATCAAGGCTCAAATGTAGCCGATGAAGACATTGCAGGAAATACAGCGCTTTTTCACGCCGCTAAGGGGGGCCACAAGGAGGTGGTCTTGCTCCTGTTGGAGAACGGGGCAAATATTCATCACAGAAATGTCGTCTTGGATACCCCTCTGTTTTGGGCTGCCGCGGCAGGGCAAGCCGCGGTGGCGGAAATTCTTCTCACGCACGGTGCTGAGGCAGATTTACGTAACATGTTTCTTGAAACGCCGTTCCTTTATGCAACTAGTGAGGCGCATACTGGGCAAGAGGAATACACCATGACAGTTGAACTTTTGGTTGAACGCGGAGCCGACGTTGATCCTATTTGTCGTGACACAGGTGTGTTGGGCGCGTACGATGTCCTGGTGCTTATCGAGTCAAAATCTGCCACTTTCCTCGATTCAATGGTAGACTTGGAGAGAGAAAGTATTGTTAGGAAGTACTGGGGATGTCAGACTCAGTCATTTGACCGCCCACAATTGCTGGCGTTCTTGCGTCAGTTAACTCTGTCAGCAACCGCAACAGGGAGCCAGGAGTCGCTATTTCGGAAACCCCATACACTAGCAAGGAGGCGAAAGTGGCAAGTTGGGAAGGCCACTCCACTCATATGGGCTACCGACAGACGATGCAAAGAACTTGTTAGCATGTTCTTGAGACGGGATGTGAGAGTTGATATCAGAGACGAGGGAGGAAGAACAGCTTTGATGAATGCGGTGAAGCTAGGAGACACACAAATGATCAGCCTTTTCTTGACACCAGGATTAAAAGGACAGCCTACCCATGTGGAATTTGAGCAGCTCATTCAGTTGGCGGCCCGCAATGGTCACAGTGCTGCGATCCGACTATTACTATCCAAAACAACAATTGATGATACGGTAGGAAGTTCGGCGTTATTATCGTCAGCGAGATGTGGAAACAGAGAAGCCGTTCGACTACTACTAGACAAGGGTTATGCGGCCGATACTCAAGACAAAGATGGTCAGAATGCTTTTCATCATTCTGCAATTGACGGGTCCCAAGAAATCGTCAATATGTTGATCGAGGCTAACGCGCCATCCTTTGATGCGAAAGACAACCATGGGCGGACGCCCTTATTTTGGGCAGTGCAAAACCAGCATCTATCAGTTGCCGTGGCTCTGCTCCGGGCTGGGGCGGATCCTAACGCTATGGAACAAGGAGGCTCGTCTCCGATTCTGTTTGAGGGCCTGGATCCTACTACTCCGAAAATTCCCCCTTTCCCCAAATCCCGTGACGCGAGAGACCTTATGAGAAAACGCGAAGCTCTCATGAATCGTGCTGAGCCTGGTGGTCAAACACCTCTGTTCTCTGCAGCTGGAAGTGGGCACCACAGCATTACCAAAATATTGCTTGATCACGGAGCAAACCCAAATGTCAAAAACAAGTATGGGGAGACTGCCTTGTGTTGGGCTGCAGGTCTAAGGTGTGAGATAACTGTGAGACTTCTGTTGGATAGAGGGGCCTTCCCAGGCCCTGTGGGTAATTCAACCCAGGCCCCCCTACTTTGGGCAGTTGGATCTCAAGGCCACGGATTTATTGACGCGAGGATTTGGAGAGAGCTAACATGGAATCCATTTGGGCACTCACCCAGTGATCCCGATGTCATTGTGAGAATATTGCTAAAACACGGCGCTAATCCAAATTTTCATACTCGGGGTGTTGAGCCGATTCTTTCAGCAGCTCTTTCCACAGGAAACAAATCATTGATACGGCGTCTCGTGAAAGTCGGTTGTGACCCAAATCTACAATCTGAGGATGGAGAAACCCCGCTCTATCGTGCCGCAGCGATGGGCCTAGAAGACCTTGTACAGTTCCTCTGTGCGCATGGTGCGAACCCGAATCTGGCGAATAGATTTGGGCGAACTCCGCTGATGGTGGCTACCGTGCGAGGCCACTGGACGTGTGTCCTCGAGTTGCTTGCAGTGGGAACAGTGAATAAAGATGCGACTGATGTTTTTGGCCGCAGCGCGTCATCCGAGGCTCGATTAAGAGGAGCACCACTGGTCAAAAATGTCCTACTGGATGGCTACGATAATTTGAAGACCTTGAAAACTTTGGATGTTCAACAAACTATACCCAAGCTCAGAGAGCGCTATGGTCTTACACTTGGAGAGCCTTCGATACATACACGCGGGACATGTGATGCTTGCGATATTGAGACCCACAAAGCCGACACATGCGACATCTGTGCGGATGGTAACCGTAACTTCTGTCAAGAATGTCATGAGGCTGTTCATGCATTCGAGCAGCAGGAATCGTCGAACCCCATCATTTAAGAGACTCAGGGAGCCTTTGATTTCCAACAACGGGCATCATCTACTCAACACGACAACATATCAGGGATGGGTGAAGGAATCAAAGAAGAAATGTAGGGAAAGAGATGCGAAGGAACATGTGATGTTTTAGGCCCGAGCGAACTATACCAGACTGGCAACATTTGCAAATTATACCCTCAATTTCTGCCCACTATATGAGCACGCTTCTCATTCATTCCAGCATCAAAAGTCAGGTCAAACTTGTTTCATCATCTACAAAATCAGGACAGGGGCTTCCACGAGATTGAAAGTATTAAAATATATTCTGAACATAGGTATTATTGAGAGACTCCACTCCACGTATAACCGTATAAGCTGAAAATGTCGCCCATGAAGCATTTTTAGCCGAAATGTTTCATCAGGTTCCATATAGATAACTTATGATTTCCATGCTCGATGTGAAATTGAATCGAGCTCCATTTCTGCGGTTGAAGGATCGTATGCGCGCTTCATACCCAGTCGAGTCCCTTCGTTACACCCGCGGAGCCAAAAGATGAAATATTCTTAGCTGTCTAGGCCAATCTCATGAATATATTTGGCCATTGTCCCCACAACCTAGAATGACACAAGCCAGTAGGTGCCTTATTTGGCGTCCGAAGCGCCGTCACTTATACGGTATAGTACGTAGGTACAACCTTGAAAAATATATATATATATTTGTTAAATCTATATTCTATGTACACTGAAGCTAGTAGCACTTCTTCAGCCAAGCCCTGCACTACCAAACTACTGACAATAGTACGTCGCACACAAGTCGATAATCCTGGGCATACACATATTGATCAAGCCCGCTCTACGTTTCAGCGCTCGACAGCTGGGCGTCCTAGCATACAACGAATTACAAACGAATACCCCGGAGTAATAAAGACATACGACAACAGCAAAGCCCGATATTCGGCCGCAGGTTCGTCCCTCACTCACCGTCTCCCAAGATCTCCGAGGAACTACGATTTGCCCAGCTAAAAGGCACAGCTGTCCTGTACTGTCGTCTTCGTTCCCAGGCCAATAGCCCAGACCCGAAAACACCCGATGCAGGCAGCACTCCGCCCCGTCGACTCGCCCGCACGCCGGTGAACCTAAAGTGGACTGGAGCCATCGGGAAAACCCGGGTAGAACTGCACTGCAGACTTCAGTCAAGTGCTGGAACTTCTGAAGCAAAGTGTCCACCCCCAGATGCACACGCACCCGTCGTCTTATGTTCACCTCCCGTTTGATTGGGCCTAGAGAAGCGGGGATCATGTGATACCCCACTTGTGTGGATCTCGGGCGCGGCGGAGTCAAGTAGATCTGTGTACATACTGTATGTAGTATGTATGGATGAGGATAGTCCTGTTAGTATGCACTCCGTACCTAGTTGGTGGTACTTGTGCAGATGGATCGGGGCCATGCAGGGCCAAGAGTGATGGGCACACGATCAATACTCGCTTCGATAGAACCGAGTTAGGTGGCGAAAGTGGATCGGAGAAATGCATCGTTTGATTTTAATCTGTTTGTCGGGTGTTTCTGTTGTGAATGGGCTGATCTCCTGTCTGTCTTGTTTAATCCAGAGGCAAAAGAAGAGAGCCGAGTCAGATATGAGTCAATGGCTAGGCGAAAAGAGGATAAAAAATCCATCGTTAGTATATCCAATAACTCCGTACTCCATATTCCATTCGTTCCGGCCGATAAACGTGCCAAAGGGCCAGAGTGGGCGGATGAGATGCCCGCTTGGATAGGAGAAGTAGACACTTTCCCGATGAACTAGCGCGGAGAGAAGGAAGAAGTAAAAAAAAAAGAGGGCTGCGCCGTAGCAGTTTAGGAATTAGTCGGCGCTGGACCACGATGGAATGAGAAATGTGTTTATGTATTCCGATTTCCTAAAGGTTTGTGCACGTCCATCTACGAGCTTATCAGGGCCATCCCGCTTCACGTGTCAGAGCCGGAGGGCATTCCTCCGGCTGAATGCTTATGCTTAAGTCCGAGGATGAGGGGTTCTGATCAGGAATACGGACACTACGCTGTAGTTCAGTACTCCTGAACGAAGTACTAGAGCAAGGTAAGTTCATGTATCTGTATCTATACTCGTACTAAGTTGTTGTACACTTGTACTTAATCTACGGGAAGGTATATTCACCAAACTGTATGCAAGCCTAAGCCAAACTTCTGTCAGACCAATCAAGACACGTGCATAACCACTTAGCAAATACATAGAGCCTAGACGAAAAAAAATAGTAAACCATCTTCCCCCTTGACCCATTCTTTTTCCCACCGGGCGCGGAGCTTGGTGAGTCTGGGGAATAAGAAAAGAAAAAAGAACGTCAAAGGAGGGGCTATGGGCCATGGCTGGTGGAGGGGGAGGGTCGATGATCCGGGGCAAGATGGATAAACCCATAAACTCCCCCCTCCTCAGACTTAAGAGTCAACCCGGGGTGCAAGACATAAGCAAAAGGGAAAAAGAAGATTGGACGAGTAAGAGTGTAGGTAATTTCGAGCAAAGCCGCGATAAGCAGTTTGGATGACCTTAAAGAATGAGCTGGGGGAAACTGGAAACTGGTCGGGGCCAATCCGGTTGCAGGGCTGGCATGCCGGGGGACGGCTGGGCAACCCCGAAATCGGGGGGAATTGGGAGTCGGGATTGGGGGGAATTTAATTGGGGTGAACTCGGTAGTGTACTGTTAATAGAGGGATAATGATTGGGTTGTTAGGGGCTACAGTATTATTGGAGGGCTTCATGGATGGGTGTTTGGGAGGATCGAAGAGGAAGATCCCGGGCGGCTGCTTGGCCGTTGTCGGAATGGTAGGAGGTACTTCCGTATGAAGTGCTTTTGATGGGCGGAGAATGGGAGAATGGAGCGGGGAGGAGGGGAGAGGTGGTTTAATACAGATTACCAGGACGGTTTGAGACTGTATTGGGGGGAGATCGTGGCTTTGATCAAGTCGGTGCACGTTGAAAAGTGGAGAACTGATTGGTTTAAGGTAGGGGAAGTGCTCCGTACGGAATACGGGAAAGGAAAATACATAACTACTATGGTAAGCTTAGCTTGGGAGAGGAACCGAGGACTGGTCCATGGTTACAGTCTGAAGTAGTAAATAGTCGAGGACTCGACTTTACCCAGGCTCGAAAATTGAGGATACGTCGCCTAGTTTTGGGTTTGTTGTACAGTACTGTACACTCCTGCTACAGGACTACAGTTTTCGTCTCTTCTTGGCACTTCTCTAACCCGTGCCTGCCAAGTCCATAGGATTTTCATCTATTGTCTTAGGTACTCAGTATATCCATGTAACTATCTGTACTTGTGACAATGCATATGCACTCCAAGCCTCCGTGTATGCAGAACAAATACCTGTATACATTTGTACGAAGAGCAAACCAGCGGCTCGGAAATTAGGGGCGATGAATTGGATTAAGCACTGCATCCTTGTTAATAGCCCCACCAACCGCCCGGCCATTCGGGTCCGCAGGGGAAAATGTCCAGAGTACGTTACTATGGTAGTATGTATATATATGGTATAGGAGTCAGCTTCGAGCTGCCTAAGAAAGAAGAAAATTAATTACCGAGTGTTGAAATACACGATATCTATCAAACGAGGGGGAGACTATGGAGGAGCAGTTTCGGGACGAAAAGGGAGTCAAAGACAGTGATTTTCGTGTCTTGCCTGTTTGCGTCGGTGGGCCAATGGGGGCGTCGGAATTGCCGTGGGCCCACCAGCCGAACTGGTCAAGGGGAGAATCATCGGAGGCTCTAGAAGGAGATGTTGGAGTAATTAGAATCCTAAGTAGAAAAGAGGGGACTTGGTGAGTAGTCGGGTATATCAAGGATAATAGTTAGCTATATACTCCGAGAATGTACTTCATAGTAAACTTGTATAGAGAGAAGAGTAGATGGATTGTAGGGTAAAATAAGGTATCAATACGATACCATACACCCCCAGAACGGAGTCGTCTGTATTTCCACCAGCTCCACCCGAGGATCTTGACGTAGGAGAAAGCTAATCGTTTTGGTCCAGCGGTTGTAAAGCCTTGATGCTGATTGGTCCCCATCCTCTTATCTTTGAGGATTTGCCTGCCGTAATCATAATGATTATCATTACTCGACCCATTAATTATTGCTGAGCTCCCTCCATATGGAATGTTCCTCTCTACCCCCCCCTCCTCTCTTGTGCGGACGCTTTCGTCCATAAGAGGGGGTTGGGTCCGGGGAATTGTCGTATTGACCGTAAAGAAACAAAAGAATTGACAGTTCTCTATAAGATGCTTTCAACGAAGATGGTGAATGTTGTCCCTTTACAGACTGCAAGAGTAGACCTCAATACGGATTGGTATTTACTTCTGTACAATCTAAGCAATAAACTCCAAGATGCATTTGCCACGCCAACCCCACAGCCCGTAATTTTCCCGTTTCCTCTCTTGGGGTCCATCGGAGCAACTGCCTGCAATCCCCGGACCTGCTTGCTGCGCTGCCGTAATCGCTGCCCATCCTTTTTTTTTATTCCCACCCCTCCTTTCCAAATCTTCTCTCTTCCTTCTTTCCCCTTCTTCCATCTTTTCACCTGAAATCCCCTCTGCAGACGCTGGGTTTAACATTCGCGATTACAATACTCCCACCCGCGCTGCCCACACCCCTCCTGTGACGACATCGACACTACGCCTATCGATCCGTCCCGCCTCAAAAATCCGGAGATTTCCCCTCCTCTCGAGGAATTCCTAACAAGAACCACCCAAAACTCTCTCTCAACCCTGTGTCTTTCCATTCTCTGTCGGCCCCCGGCGGAAGAATGGGTCTTACTTTGGAGGATATCTATGGCAAAGATCTAAGCGAAGACCAGGCTCCCCAGGAGTATTCGGAGTACCAACCGAAGGCCGGCTTCGGCTGGGCCAATGCTCTGCCCGAGAAGCAGGGTCTCTATGACCCCGAATACGAGAAGGATGCCTGTGGTGTCGGTTTCGCTGCGTGAGTCTCCCTCCAACCTACCGGACGAGCCATTGATCTCCTTAGACTAACATTTATGCGGGGGACTTCTAGCCACATTAAGGGCAAGCCTAGTCACAAGATCGTGAGCGATGGTAAGTGTTTTTGCAAACCCAGTGGGAGTCTTGTTTTGAGATTTTGAAAAATCCCAATATTTTGGCTCTGCTTTGACCAAGGAACTTTTGCGCTGACGTCGATGCCCGCTTAGCTCGCAATCTACTGTGCAACATGACCCACCGTGGAGCCGTTGGCTCGGATGCGCGAGACGGTGACGGTGCTGGTGTGATGACCAGTATCCCCCACAAGTTCTTCGTCAAGAACTTTGCCCGTGAGGTTGGCGTCGAGCTGCCTCCATTGGGCCAATATGCCGTCGGTAACTTGTTCTTCAAGCCCGATGAGGTTGCGCTCCAACAATCCAAGGCCAGCTTCGAGGAATTGGCTATCTCCTTGGGTTTGCGCGTCCTGGGCTGGCGTGAGGTGCCTCGCGACTCGACTATTCTGGGTCCGGCTGCTCTGTCTCGTGAGCCTATTATCCTGCAGCCCTTCGTGGTGCTCAAGTCTGCCTACGGCGACGGCAACAAGCCTGAGATCACCGACGTCAAGGAGTTCGACGAGCGGACTTTCGAGCTGCAACTCTTTGTCCTGCGCAAGCGGGCCACCCACGTTATTGGCCTTGGCAACTGGTTCTACCTCTGCTCCCTGAGCAACCGAAACATTGTCTACAAGGGTCAGCTCTCTCCCGTCCAGGTCTACACATACTACCACGATCTGGTCAACGTCGACTACGAGGGTCACTTTGCTCTCGTCCACTCCCGTTTCTCCACCAACACATTCCCCTCCTGGGACCGCGCGCAGCCTCTGCGGTGGGCCGCTCACAATGGTGAAATCAACACATTGCGAGGAAACAAGAACTGGATGCGTGCCCGTGAGGGTGTTCTCCGGTCGGAGGTCTTTGGTGACGAGCTCGACCAGCTCTACCCTATTGTCGAGGAGGGTGGTTCCGACTCGGCTGCTTTCGATAACGTGCTCGAGCTTCTCATGATCAACGGTGTGCTGTCTCTGCCCGAGGCGGTCATGATTATGATTCCCGAGGCCTGGCAGGATAACCCTGCGATGGATCCCTCCAAGGCCGCTTTCTACGAGTGGGCTGCCTGTCAAATGGAGCCCTGGGATGGTCCCGCTCTGTTCACCTTCTCCGACGGTCGGTACTGCGGTGCTAACCTGGACCGTAACGGTCTGCGCCCTTGCCGTTTCTACGTGATGGATGACGACCGCATTGTCTGCGCTTCGGAGGTCGGCGCTATTGACATTGACCCCGAGCGCGTGGTCCAGAAGGGCCGTCTGCAGCCCGGAAAGATGCTGCTGGTCGACACCGTCGCCGGTCGCATTATTGACGATGCCGAATTGAAGCAGACTGTCGCTAAGCGTCAGGACTTTGCCAGCTGGCTGGACAAGGAGCTTCTGAAGCTGCCCGCGATCAACAAAACTCTGCTTGAGAACAACGTTGATCTTTCATTCAAGCTTGACGACGAGTCGGTTCAAAATGACCCTCGTCTGCGTGCTTTCGGTTACTCCTTCGAGCAGGTCAGTCTCCTGCTGGGTCCTATGGGTGCTGACTCCAAGGAGGCTCTCGGGTCCATGGGTAACGATGCTCCTCTTGCCTGCATTGCCCAAGCACCTCGTCTGCTCTACGAGTACTTCCGCCAGCTCTTCGCCCAGGTTACCAACCCTCCTATTGATCCCATCCGTGAGGCCGTTGTCATGTCTCTGGAGTGCTACGTCGGTCCTCAGGGCAACCTTCTCGAGATGGATCCCACCCAGTGCCACCGTCTGCTCCTCAAGTCTCCCATCCTGAGCATTCCCGAGTTCAACGCTATCAAGCACATTAACAAGGCTCACAGCGACTGGTCTGTCCGTACCATTGATATCACCTTTGAGAAGAAGAAGGGTACCGCTGGCTACATCGAGGCACTGGATGCCATCTGTGATGCCACCACCGAGGCTATCGAGAACGGCGACAAGGTCATCGTCCTTTCTGACCGTGCCACCTCCGCCGACCGTGTTCCCGTCTCCGCTCTGCTGGCCACTGGTCTCGTTCACCACCACCTGGTTCGCAACAAGTGGCGTTCTCTTGCTGCTCTGGTCGTTGAGACTGCCGAAGCTCGTGAGGTCCACCACCACTGTGTTCTCCTCGGTTACGGTGCCGACGCCATCAACCCTTACCTCGCCCTGGAGTGTCTTCTCAAGATGAACCGCGAGAAGTTGATCCGCAAGGATCTCAGCGATGACAAGGTCATTGAGAACTACAAGGCTTCTTGCGACGGTGGTATCCTCAAGGTCATGAGTAAGATGGGTATCTCCACTCTGCAGTCCTACAAGGGTGCTCAGATTTTCGAGGCCCTCGGTATTGACGACAGCGTTATCGACCGCTGCTTCGCCGGTACTGCCAGCCGTATCCGTGGTATCACCTTCGACCTGATTGCCCAGGATGCCTTTGCCTTCCACGAGCGCGGTTACCCCTCCCGCGACATCGTTGAGATCCCCGGTCTGGCCGAGACTGGCGAGTATCACTGGCGCGACGGTGGCGAGGCCCACATCAACGACCCCGTCAGCATTGCCAACATCCAGGATGCCGTTCGCACCAAGAACGACAAGTCTTACGAGGCCTACGCCAAGGCCGAGCACGAGCAGATCAAGAACTGCACTCTGCGCGGTATGCTCGAGTTCGACTTTGAGCAGCGCACTCCCATCCCCATCGACCAGGTCGAGCCCTGGACCGAGATCGTCCGCCGCTTCGTCACCGGTGCCATGTCCTACGGTTCCATCTCCATGGAGTCCCACTCCACCCTGGCCATTGCCATGAACCGTCTCGGCGGCAAATCCAACACTGGTGAAGGTGGTGAGGATCCCGAGCGCAGCAAGCGCATGGAGAACGGCGACACTATGCGCTCTGCCATCAAGCAAATTGCCTCTGGTCGTTTCGGTGTTACCTCCCACTACCTTGCCGATGCCGATGAGCTGCAGATCAAGATGGCTCAGGGTGCCAAGCCCGGTGAAGGTGGTGAATTGCCCGGCCACAAGGTCGTCGGCCCTATCGCTCGTACCCGTCACTCCACCCCCGGTGTCGGTCTGATCTCGCCCCCTCCCCACCACGACATTTACTCCATCGAGGACTTGAAGCAACTTATCTACGATCTCAAGTGCTCTAACCCTCGTGCTCGTATCTCCGTCAAGCTCGTCTCTGAGGTCGGTGTCGGTATCGTCGCCTCTGGTGTCGCTAAGGCCAAGGCTGATCACATCTTGATCTCCGGTCACGATGGTGGTACTGGTGCCTCGCGCTGGACTGGTATCAAGTATGCTGGTCTTCCTTGGGAACTTGGTCTTGCTGAGACCCATCAGACTCTTGTTCTTAACGATCTGCGTGGTCGTGTTGTCGTCCAGACTGATGGTCAAATTCGTACCGGACGCGATCTGGCTATGGCCTGTCTGCTTGGTGCTGAAGAATTTGGCTTCGCTACAACGCCTTTGATTGCCTTAGGCTGCATCATGATGCGGAAATGCCATTTAAATACTTGCCCAGTCGGTATCGCTACCCAGGATCCGGAGCTCCGAAAGAAGTTTAAGGGTTCCCCCGAACATGTGATCAACTTCTTCTACTACGTCGCCAACGAGATGCGTGCCATTATGGCCAAGCTTGGTGTTCGTACTGTCAATGAGATGGTTGGTCGTGCTGAATTGCTCAAGGTTCGCGATGATCTTCGCAACTCCAAGCAGGAGCGCATTGATCTCTCCCTCATCTTGACTCCCGCTCACTCTCTCCGCCCTGGTGTTGCTACCTACAACGTCCGCAAGCAGGATCACAAGCTGCACACTCGTCTCGACAACAAGTTGATCTTCGAGTCTGAGCTTGCTCTCGAGAAGGGCCTCCCCTGCCGCATTGAGTGCGATGTTGTCAACACTGACCGTGGTCTTGGTGCCACTCTCTCTTACCAGATCAGTCGCCGCTACGGTGAGGCTGGTCTGCCCCAGGACACCATTCACGCCAACATCAAGGGTTCCGCTGGTCAGTCCTTCGGTGCTTACCTCGCCCCTGGTGTTACCCTCGAGCTTGAGGGTGATGCCAACGACTACGTCGGTAAGGGTCTGTCTGGTGGTCGCCTCATTGTCTACCCTCCTCGTGGCGCTGCTTTCAAGGCCGAGGAGAACGTCATTGTTGGTAACACCTGTCTGTACGGTGCTACTCGCGGTACTTGCTACTTCCGTGGTGTTGCCGCTGAGCGTTTCGCTGTCCGTAACTCTGGTGCTACTGCCGTCGTTGAGGGTTGCGGTGACCACGGTGCTGAGTACATGACCGGTGGTCGTATCCTCATTCTCGGACCTACTGGTCGCAACTTCGCTGCTGGTATGTCTGGTGGTATTGCCTACGTGCTGGACATGAACCAGGACTTCCACTCCAAGGTCAACATGGAGATGGTCGAGGTTTCTGGTATCGAGGACCCCTCCGAGATTGCCTTTGTCCGTGGCCTCATCGAGGACCACCACCACTACACTGGTTCCGAGCTCGCTGCTCGCATCCTTCTCGACTTCACCCGTGCTCTTCCCCACATCCTCAAGGTTCTGCCTACCGACTACAAGCGTGTTATGGAGGAAGAGGCCGCCAAGGCTGCTGCTGCTAAGAAGGCCGAGTTCGCTCTGCCCCAGCTTCCCAGCACCCCCGCCCCTGTGGAGAAGCCCAAGGCTCACGCCGATGAGAAGAAGGCCGACCTGCTGGATATCGAGGACAGCATCAGCAACGAGAAGGCCGAGAAGAAGCGCTCCGCCCTGATCCTGGACAAGACCCGTGGTTTCATGAAGTACAGCCGCCGCAGCGAGAAGTACCGTAACCCATCCACTCGTACCCGTGACTGGGCCGAGCTGTCCAACCGTCTCAGCGAGGACGAGCTCAAGTACCAGTCCGCTCGTTGCATGGACTGTGGTGTTCCCTTCTGCCAGTCCGACACTGGTTGCCCTATCTCCAACATTATCCCCAAATGGAACGAATTGGTCTTCCAAAATCAATGGCAGGATGCTCTTAACCGTCTGCTCATGACCAACAACTTCCCCGAGTTCACTGGTCGTGTCTGCCCTGCTCCTTGCGAGGGTGCCTGTGTTCTGGGTATCAACGAGGACCCCGTCGGCATCAAGTCGATCGAGTGTGCCATCATTGACCGTGGTTTCGAGATGGGCTGGATGGTTCCTCGTCCTCCCAAGGTTCGCACCGGCAAGAACGTCGCTATCATTGGTTCCGGTCCCGCCGGTATGGCTGCTGCTGACCAGCTGAACCGTGCTGGTCACTCTGTCACCGTCTACGAGCGCGCTGACCGTATCGGTGGTCTCCTCATGTACGGTATCCCCAACATGAAGCTCGACAAGAAGGTTGTCCAGCGCCGTGTTGACCTCATGGCTGCCGAGGGCATCAAGTTCGTCACCAACACCGCCGTTGGTCCCGACAGTGAGGTCAACTTGCAGTCCCTGCGTGCCTCTAACGATGCCGTCATCATCGCCACTGGTGCTACCGTTGCCCGTGACCTCAAGGTCCCCGGTCGTGAGCTCGAGGGTGTTCACTTCGCCATGCAGTTCCTGCACAAGAACACCAAGTCTCTCCTGGACTCTGGTCTGTCTGACGGCGAGTACATCTCTGCCAAGGACAAGCACGTCGTTGTCATTGGTGGTGGTGATACCGGTAACGACTGCATTGGTACCTCCGTCCGCCACGGTGCCAAGTCCGTCACCAACTTCGAGTTGCTTCCCCAGCCTCCCCCAGAGCGTGCCGGTGACAACCCCTGGCCTCAGTGGCCCCGCATCTACCGCATTGACTACGGTCACTCTGAGGTCAAGACTCACATGGGCAAGGACCCTCGTGAGTACTGTGTCATGTCGACCGAGTTCGTCGACGACGGTAGCGGCCGCGTCAAGGGTATCAACACCGTCCGTGTTGAGTGGACCAAGAGCGCCACTGGTGGTTGGGACATGAAGACCGTCGAGGGCAGCGAGCAGTTCTTCCCCGCTGACCTGGTCCTCCTGTCAATGGGTTTCCTGGGTCCCGAGGACCGTCTCCTCGGCGACGAGATCGAGCGCGACCCGCGCAAGAACGTCAAGACTCCTCCTGGTCACTACTCGACCAACATCCCCGGTGTCTACGCTGCCGGTGACTGCCGCCGTGGACAATCCCTGATCGTCTGGGGTATCAACGAGGGTCGCCAGGCCGCTCGTGAAGTTGATACCTTCCTCAGCGGTATCAGCTCCCAGCTCCCCGTGACTGGAGGTATCATCCGTCGCCCGGCTATCGACTCTGTCCCCCAGCCCGCCGAGATCCAGGTCGTCGCCTAAACGTGTTGAGAACTCATAGTTTAGGTGATAGATAACTAACGAGGGATGATGACTACGAAAGCATTTTTTGACTTTCATTTTACTTCATTGAAGAATTGCGAAAGCAAGATGCGCCCCCAAAATTTTTTAAAAAAGTTTTCACTAAAATGGAATGACTGGATCGGTTCTTTTCATTTCTAGACTGCAGCGCGGCGGAGGTTTTTTTCTTCTTGGAAATGCCTTTTTTTTGTTTTTTTCTTTTATGTCTGTTTCATGCTGCTGCTTATGTCCCCGCATACTTATGCTCATGTTTGATGTTTCTTTTTATCTGATTTCCCTTTGCTTTTGTGTTTTTTTTGTTTCTTTATTTTTTATGTTCGCAGCGTTTCTCTATGCAAGGTGTTTAGAGCGTCTGCTTGCGGTGCTTTTTTTTGGTTGTACATACCTCTTACGCTTATCTTTTACTCTTCGAGTATTCTATTTGAATTTATCTCTTGATATTCATCTGTTATTTATAGTCGCAGTAGATATTTTAAAATTTGTTACGTGTTTTTCTGCTCGCATGAAAGAATTGGATCACACGTGTATGATAAAGTAAGGTTATGATAGAAGGTTAGCGCGTACAACACGATAGGTTTATTTAGGATATCAGTCCTGCTATAATAATATTTCTGTCCTACATTTCTAAAGAGGTTTTTGATGATAATCGAAAAGATGGTCTGAAAGATAATACTGCAGCTATCTTTGGGGACGGCTCAAAAGAGCGGTACTTACAGGGTATAGTAGAACCCTTTTTCTGGTTGCTAGATCCATACTTCTAGAGTCTTCACTTCTTATCGTGCTAGTAAATAGATCCTTAAAAAGGTCTTTCCATGCACATGAAAATCAGAAATAGAAAAGTCACGTCTTTGTTTAGATTCCCAAATAAAGCCTACAAAACAAAGCCAACGAATACCATCCGAACAAAGCCCCTGTTTTAATAAAAGCCCACCTCATCCACCCTGAAAAAATGATAAATACCCCGGAAACCCCAAATCCTAACAATTAAACCCCCCTTAATCCAGGAAACGAATGATCGAGAATATACCCATCATTATTTTCCTCCTCCTCATTCACCTACTTCACTATCTTATGCAAGGCCCCTTTCCTCTCCATACCCTCGCTTACGCACTCGGCATCCTGCAAGTCCGGAAATCTCAGCAGAGACGTTCGGGTTTTACTAGGGCTGCTTCTTCGCTTAGTGCGAAGTGTCGTGTTAGTTCGGTTAACAAGCAGGGGAGGGACGGGGATGGGTGTGGTAGTGAGTATGGGATTGTGAGTGGGAGTTGTGAACGTGGTAGTCAATATGAAAGTGCAAGTGAGAGTCGTGACTTGAGTAATGGTGAGATTGTCGAGTCACTTGATTTCACGGATATGTCGAGGTCTTTTGAGTCTTTTGAGAGAGTTTGTGTTGGTGAGATTATGGAGAGGGAATGGGATGTTGACGAGGAGATGCCTAGTGATGATGCTGAAATATCACTAGGTGACTTGTTCAAACTTATGGAGGAACCACAGAATATTCTCGAGGGGGTATCATTGAGTGAGCCGGAGGAAGTTTTGCTAAATGAATCCGCCGAACTAACCGAAGAACCTGAAAGTATTCAGGCAGAAAAGCCATTAAGTGATACTATCAATCTGGACCAAATATCCCAGAGTTCATCTGAGGAATCACCAGGACGCTATTTCCTACCTGGGATGAAAAAGACAAACCAACAAGAATCTTCAAATGAGTATCTGCCCCTGAGCCTGATTATTCCAGCACATGCTAGGGCTAAATCAAGTCGTCGTTCTTTGCAATGCATTCCGCCTATCCTGGAGCGGAAGGCGAAGTTACCTCTAGGGCCTGCAGACTCTCCTCGGAATTGACAAACTTATAAAATGAATCGAATTAATATGTTTGATACCATGTTTCTATCCTAATATTTGAAATCATAGTATGGTAGATTAAACCAAAACGCTAGGCACATCGCGGTAAATTAGGCTTCGAAAACAGCAACTCTTGACGAAATTTCAGGCATTCGTTTCAATTACACGCAGAGGTTCAACTGAAACCCTCCAAGCAATCTTCATCAACACATAACACATCCAAAGGCAACCCACTTCAAGAGGCAAAGTTACTCAGTAGCTTATGCAGCAGCTCTTGCCTGTGTCTCTATCGGCAGGCCTAGCCAAGCACCCGCCAGCAAAATCCAAAGAGCCCCCAAGAACCAAACAGGGGCTCCAGAGGATACTGCTGTGCTCTCAAAGGTAGTGATAACATGCGCAATAAGCCCAAATACACCCCATAAGAAGCCCATAATGCCGAGGCCGAATCCTCGCGTGGGTGTTGGAACAATCTCCACGGTATAGAGTGTCAGTGTCGCGAGACCAGCATATTGCAAGAAGCTCACTATGCACTCGAAAGCCAGCGCAGCGTTGCGTGACCTAGAAACTGTGGAGACCAGCATGAACAATCCTGTCAAAACGGCAATTCCGGCGCCTGTGCGCTTGCGGCCAACACCCTTAGCCTCAACAAGGAATGAAGCCACGATTGGACCCGGAATTGCGCAGAGAGAGGTGTACAGATAGCGACTGTATAGGTAACCTCTCGTCACAGTGAGCGCATTAACCTTGCTCACGCCATAGGTGGCCAGGTAATTGCTGATGTAGGTTTGGTAAAGGATAAAGCTGAGACCCATGGCGATCCAGAGAAGGACAAGACTGATCATGCCAATCCCGATATTTCCCAAAGAGGCAAGTAGGGACTGAACTCGGGACTTGGTACGTAATTCTTCTTCTGTTCCCTCAATCGTGGAATCAACTCGCGCAAAGGACGCTTCGGTCAACCAAGTCTGTCGCCCGTTGTAGAGGGCAATATCCTTGATAAGCTGTGTTGCTTCTGCATCGCGACGACGAGCAAGAAGGAACTTAGGGGTCTCATAAAAGGACAGTATGAAACGGCAAAGATAGAGGAACAAAGTGATGCATCCAAAGGTCCACCATACGTAGCGCCATCCCTTGTTGCTGACGTAGTGGCAGGAAGAGCTGCTGCTGGAGGAGGATGATGCGCTACTGGATTGACCCAGAGCGCGAGCTTTTCGACTCATTGCTTGTGAGGTACTGACTTCATCGGGGCCAGTGCCACATGTGTATAAAGCGATGAAGGCCCTATAAATGAACCAGCTTTATTAGCAAGAGACAAATATCAATAGTGCATATTGTGATTCACTTACCATCCAACGGCAGAGGCAACCAACTGGCCTAAGCCCCAGAAAACCCCCTGCAACGAAACCAAAAACTGGTGTGATGCTGGTACAGACTCAAGGAGAGTCATCGCATCAACAGCTTGATTTCCCGCAACGGCGAAACCAACAACAGCTCCCACCACGCAGAGTCCCGTGAATGAGGGCATGCCTGCGCCGACCAATCCACCCATACCCATCAACACGACAGTGCTTGTGAACATCTGCTTCCGACCGAGAGTATCAGACATGAACGGCCATACTATGCCTCCGATGGCGAGGCCGACGAACAAGCTGACGAAGAGATAGTCGGTGTTATTCCCGGTGAAGAAGAATTGGGCCTCGTTACCAGCGGATGGCGCAATGATTATAAATGACATGGTCCAAAACTGTAGTAGTTTCTCTATCAGTGCTCCGTTGGAGGTAAATGGGATCATTGTATCTAGTGAATTAACTCACGCTGTCAAGAAACCACCCCACACCAGTCATCAAAAACAGCAGCCATTGATACTTTCCCATGCCAATATCCAACAAGGCCTGATTAAGTAGTTGAACCTTTGCGGCGAAGGCAGCATCAGTACCTGCATGGCTGTCTGGGGTTGCAATATCAACTCCGAGGAGACTTTTATGCTGCTTCTCGGATTGAAAAACAGTCTTCGATGGCCCTGTCTTCTCCAGATCGTCCACTAGGGTAGACGCAAGCACACTTTGTACTTCGACCCTTCTATGTGGGGTAATTGAGTCGGCCATTTTACCAGTACCAGTCTCAGAAGCAGAGGGGAGCAATGTGGGGAATGTCAAGATCAAGTTAAAAATTCCTTTTTCTCAACGGGCCTGCTACGGTCAGACAGTCATATATATAGACATTCTCGCCAAGATCAGCTCGTTAAATACGCGCTATGATTGATTGCTAGTCGGCACTGTGACAACGAGCAAAGAGACTAACGAGAATGAACGTGGCATATCATAGGTGCATCCTTGTCCCCCACCCGGGACATACCAGAAGGCGGACGAGAAAAGTTCGAAAACCGCACAGTAGCTCGGGGATACCCGCGGAGATGTCGGAAGGTCAAGGCCTCTCAGTCCGGAGAATATCAGATAAGATCTCATGAATAGGCTCACAAGGTGATATAGACCCACCACCTTCCGCGGAGGATTGAAGGAAACACAATATGTATTATCAATCAGAATACCGGCTTTTTCATGTGTAAGGAGTTTTTATCTCTTCCGATTGTGCTCCGAAGGTGTTCACAGCAACACTAGGCTAGCCATAGTAGCATAGGCCGAATGATAGTTTAGCAGATGGGAATCCTTAGCTCGCGGCATAAATTTATATCCGACCCAGCCCCATGATTGGATCAAGCTCGACCCACTAGATACACTGCATTGTAATGTACAACAACATGACAGATAGTCCAAGCATTCATGGTTTTTAGACCCTCGGTCCACCTGGAGCAAGGTCAATAATTATGGTATTAGGTACAATCGCGGCTGGCTTCTGAGCGAGGTGTTTGGAAAGCTTATTGCCTTGCAACCTTCTCCGATAGCTTGGAGGCGTCTTAGCCCTGTACATAGCCGAAGCCACCACATCATGCCAAGATCGGATGAGTTTTCCAATTCGGGCTTAGCTTAGTAGACTCGAAGTGGACATGAGTTCATTGATTCTATCGGCTAGAGCTACAGTATCTAACCAGACGAGCCCGGATATAGCCTGCACGGTGTGCGTACTTTGTATTATGTATCGCAATCTCTTGGTCTAACTTGGACTTCATTTCTGTGGGGAAGGTTACTGGCAAGACGAAGTTAGAGTAAATCATATACATTCAACGAAGACATCAATCCTGGAGAAGAAAAGAAAGAAAAGTCTATCCAGTGAGATGGTTTGTGTGATATCCTTCTCTTGTCATCCCAATTTAACCGTGTTTACCCCCATGGTCAGATCCCCCACTAATTCATACAGCAAATGTTCTCCCAGTTTCCGTCAGTGCATTCAAATGATATGTGGTCCTTGATCAATTCCCCGGTTATTCTGATACATACGACCATAGGGTGTGGAGAACAGGGCTTCCCGTCCGCTCAGCCGTACTTATAAGCCACCTATAATATGCGGTTAATTCTTAAAGCGCCCTGGGCTTTAAAATTGCGTCCAACTTTATCCTAGGGTGAGTGTGCGTGATTTGGGTGAGAAGTCTGGAGACTGGGGTGATAGAGGTAAGAATGGGGTGAGGGCAGGTGAGAATTCTCACCCAGGATCACCCACATGCCTACTTTAACCTAAGACTAGCCCATAAATATGAGTACTGGGTGGCTACCTAGCCTTCTGTTCTTATTTCTCAGAGTCTAGCTATTTTAAAGAAGATGCTCCTTAAAGACTTCCAAAAGGAACTTAAGGAAAGAATTACACGTGCTAAGTCACGTAGCTTCACCCTAAGTATCAAAATAAACGAGAACAAAAAAACAACACTATCTACCTTAAATAGCTCACTCTAGCTACTCTCAAGAAGTTTAACAACACAGAAGAAAACTAGGCGTTATAAGTAATGCTTTTAATAACTAAAAGTCGCGACCCTAAATTTAGTAGATAGAGACTTTCCCGGAACGAAGCAATTAATGCTAATTTTGCTAAGAATAAACCTAATCCTACCCCTGAAATTTATACGAGAGAGCACGGGTATAAACTAGGAATGCCCTTTCAATATTTACTAGCTCGGGTGCTACTACCGGTGCTATGGTAGAAACGAGCGCTTATCTTCACACTAACGAATGTTTATATTGTTGTTTTGTGCCAGTGTCCGATATAGGTCACGTGTATCACGAGACCTTGGTATTTTGACGTGGAGAACGCGCGGGATAAACTTCCCCTCTATAAGCTTTTTGTAAATAGTATTTTAGCCTAATTAAATTGAATCAAGTCTTGCTTCAGCCCTTCACATACAAAAAATTAGGTTCAGGTGGCTGGCATGCCATACCACGAGCCTCATGGTTTAGTATGCGCATGAATCATGCGAGACAAGATCCAGGCCAGATAGACCTTCAAGGGCGTTTCATTTCATGGGGTACTCGGAAGCTATTTTCCATCGCATTCCCCTTTAAAGGAAATTCTAGCACGGGGCTCCGTACTTAAGCCGCATACTCTACTAGGCTATTTCTTGAGGAGCCCTAAGAGGATTTTCTTTGCTTAAAACTATGACGCTAGCTTAGAAGGGTAAGTGTAAGTGATCTAGGTAATAGGTCAAGAGAATGGGATAGCATAGTTCTGTATAGTATTCCACGTAATTAAGTCTGGGGGGCCTTATAGCTTTCAGATCCCTGGTTCTCAAGCTTCTTTGAAGTACAAATTCGCCCCTAAAAACTTCTCTTGAGGGGCTAGTGATCTGACCCAACGCATGATCGTCAGTCTACTTGCGGGCTGGGCAAGCTCAAAAAAGGGTTTATGCCCTTGCACCAAAGCCTGCCAGGCACACCGTGCCATTTCGCTCTTCTGCTGCAAATAGAGGACCTCTCCATACCAATGTAAACAATTGAGCGTGTCTTGATCTGAGATTCCAAAACGCTTCGTCGACCCTCTAAGAGCCTGGAGAAGCAGAGGCTCTGCTTCAGCGTACCTGGCTTGATTATAGTACGTCATGCCAAGCCAGTACGATGAGCACAATGTATCTAGGCTATCTTCTCCAAACCTGGAATTTCGCAGTGAAAATGCTCTGTGGAGGGATGGAATGGCTTGTTCGTACTTTCCTTGGTGGTACATGGCTAGCCCTAGCCAATGACTCGTCGACATATTTGTGTTGTCTTGTCTCCTCGCGAAAGTCGGCCGAAAGGCTTCTTCAGATTCGCGGTATCTCTTCAGATCGAAAAGAGTACAGCCAAGCCAGTAGGCACACTCAATTGTGTCTTCAGATACCGGTCCCAGCGAGTATTCTCGTCTTTCCAATGCATCTTCAAGAATTGGTTAGGCTTCTTTAGAATTTCATTGCTCGTATACGTTGTATCCAATCTAAAAGAGAGCGTGCACTAAATCTTGATCATATCCATCGCTCATCGGTTCCAACTCTTCGAATATATAGCGAAAGACAGACTCGGCCTCCTCGAATTCTCGTTGTTTGGAAAGTGCTAGTCCAAGTGCATGCATAACATTCAGTGTCTTCCTGTTGCTTCCGTGCAGGGTCTCGGCAAACCCATCTACCACTTCTCTGAACAGTTATTCGGCGGCTTTATAGTGGTATAGCTCATATTCATTACGGCCAAGCCAATAGAGAGCATCCAAGGGGTCGGCGTGTGTTGGTCCAAGAGCATTCTTCAATCCACTCGCTGCCTTTTCAAGATGACTTTGGGCAGCATTGTACTCTCCTTGCACGTGCAGCCTTTGACTGAGCTCAGCCATTATGCGGTAATAAGCCTCCTTCTTGGACCAATCTGACTCATGTGGCTTGGGTTTTGGTAGGAGCTGCGGGGAGTTGAGTGGAATGGATATGATGATGGCGGAAACAATCCTTCCTTTCCTTACGCATTCCATTTTCCGTCTCCGGGCCCTTGGAAATTGCTGCCGTCTGGCGGAGCTTTGTCGAAGTAGTGGGGTTAGTTTCCAAATAGATTGTTGTATAGACTTGTGGCTTTCTCGATTTCCAAAATTTTCGGGGAGATGTGAATTTGCGGCGGGGTTTCCACGATTTGAGCTGGTTTCTGCTCTTCGATTGCAGAAAGGGAAAGAACGGTGTCCGGGTGATTTGATCCAAGAACGTCTTTCTGAATTTCTCCCACATGCTGCAATATAGCCAGTCCTTCTTGATGATTTCCTTCTCGACATGTCAAGACTCCAATCCAATAACGGGATTTTAGCGTGGATATATGGTTCGGGCCATATTTCCTTTCTTGAACTTCGAGTACCCATTGGAATAATTGTTTTGCTTGCGAGTATTTGGACATATGGTAGGTAAGAACTCCTAGGCAATGACACGAGTTTCGAGTGTCACAGTGCTCTAATCCAAGTACTTGACTGCGCCCTCTGACCGCCCGTAGAAGCATGAACATGGCTGTCTTAAAGTTGTTCGCGCAGAAAGACTGCACTCCTTGATTATGGAGAACCTGCCATTTGCGTACTTGCAATTGTACAGGGTCATTGTGTGAAGGAGAGTCAATCCGCGTTTCTGGTGTCGACGTTCGTGCTGCAGGAGATTCATTGCCATTATTGGAAAATTTGAAGATCTTTCTCTGCATAGGCTCAATCGTCCCTCGATTTTTTCTGTCGAGGTAGCCTTTGTCTCCGTTATTTGCAAGCCTGCCAGTTCCAGGAGTGGAATGTCAGCCCACACCAGCCACCCGCTTTCTGTGGCTTGCCCTGCAGATAATCTCTTCGATGCGTCCGGGGACAATGCGGCCTTCAAGAAGATTTTGCAATCTCTCTGACAGTGGAGATTTTGGGAAGGGAAGATCTGCGCCCTGTATATACCGTAGCAGGCTGGTAGGTTTGTTTGGGGGGAATGGATAACTGTGGAAAACCATATAAAACGCGATCACACCCAGTGCCCACATATCAACTTGCTCTGTGTATTGAAATACGGCGTCACCGTCACTTTTCCCTGGCGAGTAGAGCATCTGTAACTCGGGAGCAAGGAAAACTGGTGTTCCAACCCATGTCTGAAGGCCGCCGTTCTCGTTGATGCGTTTGCTGAATCCAAAATCGCCGACTTTGACCCACCAATTGGGGCTTGGGCGAAACACAAAGATATTCTACTCTTATAAGTAGCAATTCTGTGATTGTGTGAGAAATCCCTTACCGTAGGCTTGAGGTCTCGGTGAGCGAATCCATTCTCGTGGAGGAGTTTCAGGCCTTCCGCTATCTGGAGTGTGATTTCTCAGGCTTCATCTTCGGGTAATGGTCTCTTGAGATGCGAATCTAGATCGCCGTTTTCCATATACTCCATCACAATGAACACACTATCATCGTTTTAATACCATCCTAGAAACTCGACGAATAGACCTTCGTGCTAAAAACATGATTTGAGCCGTTAAAGCTTGCATTAATCCGCCGGGCTATTGGAATGCAAGTAGTACCTTTCTCTGTGAAAACTTCGCGATAGCTTCTAGTTCTTTGTAATAGTCAACGCCCGCGGAGACGGCCACCTTGTCGATCATTTTCACGGCCTGTAATTCTGCTTGACCATCGCTTGTCAAGCATTTATGCAGAGTAACAGTGCCAAATGACCCACTTCCAAGTCTCTTGACCGCCTGCCAGCTGTCCTTTCGAGGCCTGCGCCGGACATGCCGGATAGAAGAGACCTTGGACTGGGTCGTGAATCGATATATCAATTCGTTACTGAACTCAACTTGAATCCGGCTATCGAGCACCAAGTCCGAAGGGAGATAATCCATTTTGGGCTCTATCTGGGTCACAAGGCCAGTGGGTGAGTTGGAAACCGGGTTAAGGTCTAGGCTGACTGGTGTCTTGGGGTTTAAAGCCCCTTCTGAGAGCGAAGAGTCATCCTCCGCCCCGGCGTGATTGTGGTAGGCGAGGTGCAGCTCTAGTAGTGCGCGATGTGGATCCTTCGAACAGGGTTCTATAACAGGGATCTATTTAGGGCACGATACTACTAGACGAAAAATGCTCTCCAGGCAACATCCTTAGTCTACACGGTCATTCCTTGCTCTGACAGGATCTATGCTAGCCACATCGCTCCCCAAGAGGAGAGAGATTGGATGACTAATGACAAATAAAGCGCGTGAAACAAGATTGACGGAGTCTCATTCAATGTTCTTCACTTTCCAACGATGACAGTTTGCGAGAGTCCCGTTGAGAGATGTACATAGTTATTCGACAGTTTTGTGGAATGGGAGATGTCCCCTTTGAAAAAGGGAGGATGCTGAATCAAGGGCACGGACGGGGAGAATCGTAGAGCTGACAAGGTTCAGATGCGGGCACGGTGCTCAACTATAAAAGGGTGGACCTCTGTATGTTGCGCGTGCCCCTTTTAATAAAAGTCACGTGGCTGCTGTCTACAAAGACAACCGCAAAAATTGTAGTCATTTGTACAAATCCAAGCATGACAATGGAAGATGTTGTAACATTATACTCCTTAGAATGAGCACATACTACCATAGGACTATTCTAGCAATTGACTGCATTTTTTTTAATCATATAGAGCTGATATCATTAGTTACCTGCTATCTCATTATATGTGAACTCACTTCTGTTTATGATCTAATAAATTCCCGGACAGGACTGAGCGTTCACTTAGTACTGTGGTGTGTAAGAATCGAGCCCAAACACACCTATATCCCGGGGGTCATAGTTGGATGGATCAAAGGAGAATCGGTGATGTTCACATTGAGGGGTGTATCTTCCTTTGTCTCTTGTTCTTAGGCTTGATACATCTTTGAAAGTGCATGTTACTCCACATTCTATCGAATGGAAGTTCTTTCTGCAGCACCTTGCTTTTTGTCGAGGTAAATTGCTCAAAACCCATCTAGCATCCGTCTATTAACTATAAATTGATGAAAATCTAGTCCACTATGTTGGTAATGAACATGTCCTATTGATGGAAAATATCTACCTCCGGTTAGGTGCCGGTCCGTTCCGGATATTACTGGTAACATCGCCCATCATGTTGGCGTCATTCAGCAATTGCACAGCAATACGGGCGATGGCACGAGCAACTTTCTCAGTCTGATCGTACGCGTGATCCGTGCCAGCGATGAGAGCGAATGGAGGATCATGGTTGAACGGGCATTGGGCGACAGGTTGCTCACAGATATTGAAGTTAGCGTGCAAAACGGCCTTTTCAACACTCTGCAGAGTGTGATTTCCGTTCTTGGCAAGCACCTGGGCCTGCTGGACCCAGGATGCATCCGTGGCTGCGGGCGGGGTCTTAGAGATGGACCAGTTCTGGGCGCCATATTCGGGGAGTCCGATAGTGTCGATGAAGAGTGGGCCAAGCTTCGGATCGGGCTCGTATGCCGGGTACATGATATCCAGGGAGAAGCTCTTTGTTGGAATCAAGTCCAGCACGAAATCAACGACGCTTTCCATGTCGGTGGTCCAACGAGTGCGTACATCTACAGTAAAGTCCAATTCGGCAATAGTCGTGTTGTCCGGTAGGTAGAATTGGAAGGCTCCATTGGTGGCGTTCAGTGCCTGGAAAGTAGCGATGGATAATGCCATGGCTCCCAGATTGGCCTGCGAGGCGTGACCGGCGTTTCCTGTGAACAGAATCTGGACACCACCGGCGATATTGGGATCCTCGATCAGGGTAAAGTTGGTGCTTGCGAAACCGGGTTGTGCTGTCTTGATAGCGTTGATAGTGTCAGTCACACTTGCGATCGTGGCACCCTGTCCAACGACACCAAGAGCAATGTCAGCCTGGACGACGTTGCAGACAAAAAAGCCTGTATCTTCGATGAGCGCGGCGGTGGAAAACTCGCCAGGGAGCGTGGTGATGTTCGCAAGCGGGACGAGGATGTTGTAAGCATATTTCACGGCCTCAAAGTGGGTGTCCTTGATGACCTTGACAATGATATTCTGGCGGGCTGACATGGGCTGAATAGCATTCGCAATGGTCGGGTGAGACATAAGCCAGACTTGACTGATGTCGAAAATGCCTGCTTGTTCGAGGGTGAACTTGCCTGCAGATTGCTCCTCATCTGGGCATCCGACAACCACAATACGGCCTGGAATGTCATAGTCAATCAACGTCTGGCGAGCCAAACTCGCTGCATAGACACCCTGTAGCCAGATGAGATGATGGCCGCAACTGTGACCCAATTGGGTTCCCATTTCGATTGGCAGAGCATCGAATTCAGACATGAAGCCGACAGTCGGAATCGGTTGATCCCTAGGCCAGTTTGCTGGGAAGTGAGAGAACTCGATCTTCCATGCCGTCGGGAGACTAGGCATAAGATTGGGAAACACCTCCCAGTCCCCTGATCCAGTGTTTTGGAAGTAGTTGACAGTCGAGCTGTGGGCGAAAAATTCACTGCCCCCAAGCTCGGGATTGTTATAGATGTCGCGGGAGATGGTCTCCAGGTCGGGGAAGAACGAGGGCTTCAAACTCAAGAGGTGGGCATCAATATCCGAGATATTGGCGATGGGCTTGGCCAAACAGTGATTAATTAGAATGTTGGCCGAGGCCAGAAGGGACAAGAGATGCCCGTTCGCGATTGATCTGAACACCATGGTGGTAGAGATTGGCCACTCAGATCTGATACACCTGGTTCCGCAACTGAGAACCTCGAGGGAGAGAGCGAGAGCTCATCTCCTTATGTTGCATGTTGCCGACTCGCCATCGGCCATATACAAAGCCCAAGTAGAGTTAGGCTATATCTACTGGCTCAGTTGGGGTCTGTGCGATGATGTGAGATTCGCAACGTCAGCCCTGGTCCTACCTAGATAAGTTATGTATCCGTGCCGTAAATCAGTCTCAATTTAGCTCGCGCCTACCAGAGCTACCTACGGCTGTTACTGACATTGTGCTCTCAGTCTTGGAGGCCCACTTCGTGGGCTGGGTCATACTAGGGACAGTTAACTAGACGATGCTGAGGTGTGGATTAACTTTTGTGGCCAATGACCGCAACTTTTGTCACCACTAGTGGGTCTCGTTAAAATTAGGAACTCGTAGTATAGAGTAAGACAAGACTATGATTCTGCCAACGATGTATGGAGTACGGAGGTTACAGCCGTCGGATTCGGAAGAAAGTCCTACAAGTTCCTAGTTGGGAATAGCTTCGTTTCCCATATTCCTCCCGCCAGCACAATCCCAAGCTGAATCTTGATGGTCATGTCGTCTAATTGGTCATTCTGATGGCCCTAAAATCCATATTTGAAATCGGCCTTGAAGCTTTTGAACAAATCGTCGTAAAGTAGCTCGTCTTTCCACTGGCCGAAAAAGGCATTTTTCTCGAGATGATTCTCTTCTTTTCGAGGTTCAAACGGTGAGAGAAAATGAATCTGATGCTACGAACTGTGCTCATCCCATTTCTGCCCGTCAGAATACACGACTTAGTGCACAATCGGAATTCAATCAAGGGTACTATCAATTCTCTTTCGCTAGCAGGGTATGATGTAGCGTCACTGATAATGAAAGAGATAGCAAAGCGCGAGCCTTTTATAAGTTTAAAAAAAACGAACGGTGAGATGCCAATACCTATCATTTGCGATAAATTCGTGCACTATAGGTGTGCGATTACGAAATTGCGAAATTTTTGGCAATACGGAGCGTGTGATACGGAATATACAGTTAGAGTTCATTCGGATATCAGAATGATCTTTCCATTCCTTCAAAAGATTCAACTTGGCTACCAAGAACATCAATCCACTCAGCGGGTCATCATTTTGTCTGGAACCCAAGGCCCGGCAGTATGTGGACTAATCATGGTATCTCAATGCTCAATGTCATTTCGCATCTCCAATCTCTAGATGTAATCTGCAATAGGGAATGGTATAGATAGCCAGCCCCCTTTGTGTGATAGGCTGATCATATAAGCTCATGATGGCAAATTTTAACCTTGAAGGCCATTTTGAAAGAAGTAATTTGGTAGAAAAAGTCGACCAAGAAGGCCTAGAACCAGACACAAAAGTCGATTTGACTGAAGCTTGTATCGAGACTCCACAAGAGCGGATCGCAATGATGTCTTCTCTCCGTCATCCGCAAAAATTTATGAATAAATAGACTGACTTTAATTGAGCCGGCGTCATTAGGCGTCTGTGAGTTTTTGATCACTGAAAAATTATTGTTGGAAAGCTGGTTAGCTTCTTTACGGAAAACTTTAGCGACAAAGTACATGCCTCCGAGACGGAGCCGCTATTTTTATACTCTGCTCTTCAACTTTATGCTGAAGTTTTTGTCTTAGCTGACAAATACGTCGTTAATAGCCTACTCGCGTTATATGTTGAGAAATATTAGAGGAGGCTTTAGTCTCTATACAATCCTATCGAATTCATTAAATATTTTCCGGAAGTATACGCTTTACCTCTTATATTAATCACAACTTTGAAAGAGGTTATAGCACGCTTTAAGCAGATTAATATTTCAAATTATCTACGGGAGGATGCTGTTTAGAGTGCCTATAATAGTGTTCTCCAAAGCGTGCTAGAATTCATTAAAGATCTTCTCGACTTATATATCTCAGCGCTATTACTTACAAACTGTGAGAGTCATGGATAACACGTACTAATGTTAGCTTGACAAGGGAGATATCGACGATACCGACGTGGCACGACCGCGATTTCTAAGCTTTTTGCTTTTGAAATCGTGCTGACGGTGGCTTTCTGTGGGTGTAGCTCATGATCGGCTCCACGGAAATCCTCTGGGAGATCGCGAGTATCCCATTCCTCCTGGTGGGTAACGATCGATCGATATTGGAACTGTCATCAAATTGGTAGTATATCCTTCACAGCTCGAAGGAAATGTAGTTTAGTGAAACTATTTGAAGAATTTTTTGCCAAACATTTCAAGGTTAAACATATACACGTCTAATAATATGAAAATATGTATACACTATGCACTACGTATATACATTATACAAAGGGGTAGTGGGAGTGATGGAGTAAGCCACCTACATACACTGGCATGCTCCTGTCGTACACAAGACGAGACACCACCCCCAAATATCTAAATGTATGATAGCGTGTCTGCAGCGAGGATGGCTTCAGTTGACATCAAGTGCTTTACCCACTTAGCACGATTATTAATACGTTTCCCTCAAACATTTGAATGTTTATTTTCTTTCCATTCTATTTCCCTTAAATATGGTCTTCCACCAGGGAGACAAAATTAAGAGCTAGGTTGGAGCTTAGAGTGCGCTGTGGAAGGGACACACATTGATTTGAATTAACAGAGACGCTAGTGCGCTATGTAGCCACTACTATCAGGATGAAGACATCTGAACAACATGCCTCATACATCTACATGAAGAATAGAGAGGAATCTATTGGCCTCTTGTTATGCTTCATGATATTGCTGCATATACAAAGTTTTAGACGACTAAAGCCCTTTTAGCGAATTAAATATAGTATATATCCGTTCTTAAAGCTATAATAAAATTTATTTTATCTCTTTATACTATTAAAGCTCTACCTTAAGATAGCTTATTTTATAGGTAACCTCCTCTATTTTAGTCTTTAGATTAGGGGAAGATCTCTTCGCGCGCTATAAATAGGAAGATAGTCTCTTAAGATTAGATAAAGTCTCCCTAAGGTATAGAACTTAATAGTCTATTAGTATAATATCCTTAGAAATAGGCTTAAGGCGCCCGTTTAGATACCGACTTATTATAATAGGTAGAGAATAGGGATTAACTATGGTTAGCGCTTATTAAGTATCTATACTTCTTATGTTTCTACCTATAGGCGGACCTATTATATTCTAGATTAAATACTAATAAATAATCACTATATATATTATTAATATATAGATGTTGTGGAGTTATGTGACGGAAGACCTTCTACCCCTCATTACCTCTAGATCTATCAAGATTGATCTTTAACGATCTCGCATTGAATTACCTACCTAGACAGGAGACTATTTAACACTCCAATCTCTTGGTGTTTCATATGATCTTTTATCATGTTTCCTATGATATAAATACTGCCCTGTTTTCTAGCTAAATTGAATCAAGTTTATCGTCCCTTTTGATCTCTCTTCTAGATCAGTGGTACTCTTCCACAATCGTGGTACTTCTCTTTCTAAGAAGCACGCTCGACCGTTATACTCATTATTGAGTCCTCACACAATCTCGGTTCTTCTATAAGAAACCAAGACCTTTATACTCAGTATTGAGTCCTACCCTTTATGCATACACTATCTTCTTGTGTGCATTACCACGACTTTATGGTCACCGCCTAAAGTCCGACAATCTCTACGTAAACACGAATTTATTTAGCCTTCAAAGCATAGATGAGTGCTCCCTCTTCTTCAGCCTAAATTTCGCCTTATATCTTAGTCTAAAACTTATCCCAAAGGAACATAACTATCTCCTCGAGGTACAGGCTAGGTTTCTTATATAGGTGATCACAGAGGACTTCCATTATAAGGGGTGTCACGATTCGTTTCCGGCCTACTCGGGTTGAAGGGCCATGAAACGCTTCTAAATTATCGTAAGTTTCTACGGATATTTATAATGGTTAGCATACTGCATTCAGCCTGTTCGGCTATTTCAGGTGTCGTGGGAGACTGGCTCTCTATCATATCACGTATGAGGACGAGCTTTGCAGGGGACAGCCTTAACCATATCGCCGAGGAGTAGAAGCAGAGAAGACTTGTAATTGCGATATCTTGGGGGAAGATTTGGTGAGTGACGAGGGGCCCGTTGAGGGAGCGTGTGTATGGCGGTTTCGCGTAAAATACACCCCCGACGGTCTGACAATTGTATTATAAAATACAGGGATATATATAGAAAGCGGTCTGAAAGGTTGCCTAAAATAGCATAATCGGAGCTTACCTATTGCGGATTTAATTTCCGGGAATGAAGTTGCAAGAGTATGGCGGTATAGCTGATTTCGAAAACTACTGTAGTTCTACCTCGCTGACCCCAGGCGAAGAAGCACTGGTGGACCCACTAGTCGGTGTGGTTGCTCCCAAGGCTCTCGCTGCCAGCCCTGCACACGAAGCGACCAGCAAAAGGTCGCTGGGTCGGTCGATTAGGTAGTGATTGATGATGAGACGGTGCGTTCAAGACCATATAGTCTTTGGTTGATCTTTCTAAGGACCTCTAGGACCTTGATCGTTCCCTGAGTGTCACCCTGTTAGGCCTTCTAGGCGTATTTCTTCACATTTTTCAATGAAATCACGAACGAGCCCACTAAATTCGTGGTTGTCGGCCTCAATATAACCGTGAATATCCGGGCAGTTTCTGTCATATCCTCTATATTGCTCAATCGGTCGATCAACCGTACGGTCGGTGCTGGTGGGTAGAATACTGGGGTTTCCCCTGGGGTGAGGTCTCGGAACAGCATTCGCACCATGGAATCGCCTCTTAGGGGGGCACCGGGACCGTGTTTAGATTAATTACTTAGCCATGATGCTCGGGGTCAGACAAGACCGGTATCAATCGATAGCGCTTCAGGCTAAATACAAATTGAGCCCATCTACAAGGCCACATAATCCCTGGATACCGAGATAGACTGAGAAATCGATTTCGCCCAGAGATAGTTGTTTTGCACTCCGCGTAGCAGCATATACTTAGAGCAAGCTACATCGGGCAAGTGAATTCATCATCATCATCATCATCATCATCATCATCAAATTTATGCTATATTCATTGGAATAAAATGATATAGTCGTAGGAATGTTATGAAATGTTTATTATATACTAAGCATAACTATACTCAATACAAGTGTATATTTTCTTATCGAATATTTCGAATGAGTTGGGGGAGAAGAGGTGGGGGGTGGCGGGTTTGATTGGTCTGCGAAATAGCCTTTAAAGAAGCCTCGCGCGGTGGGGATTAGCCTTTGGGGGAGTCATTAACAGCTCCAGCTCTATCTTCTACGCACATGAACAATAAAAAAGTACATGGGCCATCAATAATCAAGGAAATCTATAGACTAGGATATGCTGGACGATTACCAATCCGAACCACCTTCACTCGTTGAAGAAAGCGCTCGGCCTCAGTATTAATTTCTCTATTCATTGTTGATGAAATCATAACGGCAATCTCCGCGATAATGACTGAATTGGAATTAATTTATCATCCCGATTCCTGAGTTGCTGCCAAAGCTTATCTTAGTCGTGTCTCAGTTACTTTTCTTTTATCCACGGCAAGTATTTACTTCACATCTCCACTTCAGGGCCAAAGCTGAGTGCAGATCAAAATACAACTAATCAGAACCCCCAAAAAATCAGCGGAACAAAGAAATTCCCGGCAAGAAATTAAACCCATGATCCTATTCTCAGTCAAGACTGCCAACCGGGACTGCCAAGCGGGATTCTCCAATGGTGTCTGGTTGACAGCTGCCGACGGGCTTCCGAACACTTGCTCCGCGCCCTACATAAAACTATACCCGAATGAGAGATTGCAGAATCCTACGCGCTGTGAGAATGGACGATCAAAGAACTTCTTAAGGTCCAAGGAACGCTAATAGAGTACTTTAGATATTAAGTTTACTTCCTCAAGCAACAATCTAATTCTTAGCCCGTTCAGTGTGCAGTGTTGATAAGGCAATGTAACCTCGGATGGGAATGGGTCCGCTTGACTTCATTCGTCATAAGGGTTATGTGTGGAAGAAAACACCGAATTGCGAAGTATGGCCGTGAATGATGAGATTCCACATGTAATCAGCTGAAGATGAATGAAGATGAAGAGGGGTAGAGACAATTGAAGGTCTTGGAGGGAGCAGGATAAATAGAGCCAGAAATCCCCTCATGAATCTTGAGATTTGGAGCAGAGGATACCAGCATCGGCACAGTCTTCCTAATTCTTTCCACTCCTGTACACCCTCATCATGACTGGCCTTTCCCAGATTGTCATCTGCGCAGCTCTCGCCATCGGAGCGATTGCAGCTCCCGCCACGCGACAGTTCCCCTCTACGTTCACTGTCAACCAAGTTGCCCGCCATGTCGGCAACAAGACAGTCAACATTCCTGCCTCCTATGCTCGTACCTTGCAGAAGTTCAAGGCTACCGTTCCTGAGCGGGTCGCTGCTGCTGCTATCTCCGGCACTGTTGTCGCCACTCCTAGTGATTCCAGCGACGATGAGTATGACTGCTCAGTCACTGTCGGCTCGTCCACTCTCGCCCTGGACTTTGACACCGGGTCTTCTGACCTGTGAGTATTTCTTCTTTTCAAGACTGACAGACTTTGTTCTGCTTCATGAGCTGACCTGTGAATAATTTCCAGCTGGGTTTTCTCCAACAAGCTTTCTTCCTCCGAGAGCGCCGGCCATGCCGTGTATACGCCCTCCAGCAGCGCCAAGCTGCTGAGCGGCTACACCTGGGATATCTCCTATGGTGATGGCAGCTCTGCTGAAGGCATTGTCTACGCCGATAAGGTCACTGTTGGTGGAGCCACCTATACCTCCCAGGCCGTCGAGGCTGCTACCAGTGTGAGCAGCGAGTTCGTCTCCGACACCTCCAATGATGGCCTCTTGGGTTTGGGATTCAGCAGTATCAACACTGTTGAACCCACTGCTCAGAAGACCTTCTTTGATAACATCAAGTCGAGCTTGGCATCGCCTCTCTTTGCTGTTGAGTTGAAGCATAACGCCGCTGGCAGTTATGACTTCGGATTCCTCAACTCCTCCAAGTACACCGGCTCCATCACCTATGTCGATGCCGATAGCTCTCAGGGTTACTGGGGATTTACCGCCTCTGGATATGGAGTCGGTGATTCCGTGACCACCACCACCTCTTGGAGCGCCATTGCTGGTATGTCATCTCGTTCCCCTTCCCGAACCAATAATGTTCCTACTTACCTTTTGTTGATAGATACCGGTACCACCCTTTTGTACCTCCCCACCAAGATTGTCAAGGCCTACTACGCCAAGGTCTCTGGTTCCAGTGACTCCTCATCCGTGGGTGGATGGATCTTCCCTTGCTCTGCTACTCTTCCCGACCTCACCCTCAAGATCGGATCTCATACCGCCACCATCCCCGCTTCTTACCTCAACTATGGCGAGGTCTCCTCCACCGACACCAGTGACTGCTTTGGCGGTGTCCAGGATGACAGTGACATTGGTCTCTCGATCTTTGGAGATGTCTTCCTCAAGACCCAGTATGTGGTCTTTGATGCTTCTGGACCCCAGTTGGGCTTTGCCACCCAAGCTTAGAGTGATTTTAAATGGAGTGATTCTGCAGGATGATGTGATAAATGATATGTAACTATGCATTGGAATAATGATGATCATTATGATGAAAAAGATGAGATGGAGCTAGTTTGTATATACCAATACACTCCCATTTTCGGCACGCCCAGGTTAAGCACACAATTTCATTAGGCACCAAAATTGGCGGACGGACCCACCTTATTGGGGTTTCCCATACAAGGAGGAATCCTGTCTCTAAATAAACAGCATGGAATCCTTTCTGCTGAAGTCGGTGTTCGAACGGACGATAGTTTCTGCAGAAATCCAACGGCAGGATATAGCCATAGTCTATGGTATGTGGTTTATGAAGGGCCGAAGCAGAATTGATTCAATTGTACTTGGCCGTCATGCTGTTTACAACAATCTTGAAAAGAGGAGCGAACTTGTTGCCGTTTGCCAAGGAAGGCCGATGGCGTAAAGCGGCGAGCCGCCTAGAACCGAACGATGGGCGCTAGGTGAGCATCGCCATAGTATGGCTGTTGTATGTTTTTTTCCAGACACTGGAAATCTAACTTGGCGAAATCTACTCCTACAAAACCGTCTGGTAGCAAAATTTTCTCTGAGCTGTACCTACTAGCTTTGCAAAATTCCTCAAGATTACCCCACTGCTCTACGGTAATAATAATCCGAATATCTAAACTAATTGAAGCATCCTGTGTTCTGGGAGCTGAGAAATTCCCGAGGCAGCAGTCTTAACGTCACATATATCACGAATTCAGGGTGAAAGAATACCTCGGGAATAAGCTAAAAAGACGACCGCCAAATAGATTATAAAGAGAAAGTGCAAGGTCGATAACTGGGTCTTAAAACATGACTGGGAAGATGTTCGGAAACACGTTGTAACCTATGTTCTTTTAAGTATATCAGGTTGTAATAGCCCTGTATATGATCCATTGCTCTTATATGGTCTGGATTAATGTCCCAATGGAATTATCATGAAGATCTCTCGCTTTGGTGTCCATTTTGAACTAGCTCGTCTTCGATTTGTGCAGTGCAGTACCTTCTATAACTGTTGAGTTAATACTATAGCCGTTGGTTGTGCCAGATATTCCTATTTAAATTTTACTAACCCCCGTTGCTCCGGATTTTATCTAGCTATGAGAAAAATTCAGATTCTCTCTTAGAGGCTTTCGAGATCAATAATTGCAAAGATGACAGCGGTAACATTGGACGAATAATCCAAGTTCACTGGGTGATACGTCTGAATTATCTTTCAAACACAACTACTAGGTACTTTTGAATATATACGATTAAACTAGACAGACAAGTGAAAATCATTTTAGTTCGAACATATGCTAGAGTACAAAATATTGTAGCCAGAAATGGCCCCTGTGGAGCGGTCACTCCACTAGGCCGAACTCCGTTAAGTAGTCTCCCCAACTTAGTCCACAAAGTGGACTTTCTCCTCCTGAACCTGAATTGAATCAATTTTTGCTCTCTGTTCTATCTCCTTTTAGCTCACTTGCAGTATCGACAGTTAATTCTCTTGAATTGGCCCGTTCCCGACTATTCGAGAACCCTCGACGAGGCTTGCTGGCGGTATCTTCTCCATTTCTCGGTTCATAACTCCGAGTCGCGACTCTCTCTATTCCCAGTCTTTCTTCTCTGCTACTCTTGAAGCACTCTGGGCTGCATAAGCCAATCTTCTGGACAAATTCGAGCCCTGTTGAATGAGAAATCAGAACTTTCTTGGGCCGCCACGTAGCCATGTCTTTGAACTTAATTCGAGACCAGGCTTCATATCATCATGAACTGCATGAACCGCCGGCCTTGAATGTGCCTTTTCTGGTGATCCTTTCCGCAACATTATTAGGGCTTCTTTTGGTATGAGTGCAACATTTGCATCTACATAATCTAGAATATGAAGGCTAATAATTTGTAGGCTGTCTATACCCATGGGAATGTCTTTGCAGTACAGATTGCGACTTTGAAACCTAATACCGGTGTACAATTACCTCTCTCGACACGGTATTTTCGAGGTCTTTCGATTTCCATTTTTCATCGACTGGTCAAAGTTTACCTTATCTCCAGATTCTCGACAAAAGGCCACAATGTATTGGGATGCTTTCTTCTCAACATGATGGCCGAGTTACTACTTTCTTACCTAAAAGTAGCCAACGTACACACCATCCTTGACAAACACTCAACGCTTTCACGTTTCAAACTATTTTTCAGCCTATCGGCTTGGTCTAAGCTCTTCCCAGCGATATTGTTGTATAGCATAGCCTCAAGTTTATGCTTTTACATCCCCGTGTACCTGATCAAGCTGTTAGGTACTGGGGGCGGGGAACTTGAGATCTCTGAGAATATGCAATTTGCCAGTATTGTTGCTACCATTGGAATTCTCTATTTTGGGGCTGTGGTACCTTCATATACTGTTTTCATTCGAGTTGCAGCCTCTCAAGGGGACGAATCTATGGATATCAGGAGCGCCTGGCAAAGCTTCCCTTGGTCAGCGCGGTTACGGTTCTTCAAATTACTTGGAGAAACCCTTGCTTTCGAAACTGGGGTCTGCATAGTCTTGTTTGTCTTTGTACTTGCACATTTTCATCCTGAGCTGCATGATGATGTTTTGCAATTTTTTGTTAAATATGCTGGTTAGTGAGTGCATAATTTGGGCAGTGGAAGGAGCCGTGTTGATACGACAAAAACTTTGGATATTTCCTTTATGATTAATTCTGCACAATTGAGATTTACAATCGATTAATAAATATTTAGCATCCTTTTGTGCTAATTTCAAGTAAGATAACATACACTGTATAGCCATCATGCGTCTCCCCGCAATTGCGGCACTGTTTTGGTTGGCTGTGGAGACCGCGACTTTTTTGCCCGCCGCACCTCCGCTTCTTAAGCTTCACGATCTTGAATTCAACTACCCTTTCAGGATCCTGCCCTTTTCAGATTGAATTTCGGTAAACCTTGCGTGGAAGTACGTGGGACCTAACCTTCAACAGACCGATTGCACCACGACCTCACTACAATCCGACCTCGCCAAAGCTATCTCCGACGATCGCGGTTGCTGCTACCGACTGAATCCCTCATACCTGAACACCGTCGCGATTGCACACGCACTGTTGCAGGAGGTAACTCATCAGCTGCTCTGACTGTCTCATCCACTCTACTTCCACTTCAATATCTGGAACCGAGGCACGCACTCGCACCAGCGCAACAATGCTTTCACTCCCCTTCATTGGCCCGCAAGACGTAAGCCTCATCCCCGATGTCAACCACATCCCAGACTCCTCTAACTGAAAATCACCAGGCCCACGAGCTCTGGTTCGGTGCTCCTCATCACCGACGAAACCTTTCTCCACAACAATCTAGCCCCGACGCCCCAACCCATCACTCGAACCGTCGCAACAATGCCCAAAACCCAGCCAGTCACCGTGGGTTCCTCCCCTCCCGCGCCCCAAACACTACCCTCGCCTCTCTACAAGCTGAAGAGCGCGCCCTACGTGTGCGCAAGAATAATATTGCCTCCTTCGGCTACTCCTGGATCCGGCCCGCCGGCTGCGCCAAGACCATGCTGGGTATGAAAGAAGAAGAGGCCGAGCGCGAGGAGGCGCTTGCAGCGCTGGCTGCGGAACAGGAGGCGGCCGCTGCAGGGGGTCTTGATCCCGATGATGTGGGCATGACAATGGGTGAGGAGGGTGAAGAGGAAGAGGGCATGGAGCGTGATCTGGACGACGATATTCCCGAGGCGGAGGAGGGGCTCGTGGAGGAGGGTGAAGAGGGACTTGAAGAGGATGGATTGGGCGATGAGGAAGGGTATATGGAGCGGGACTTGGATGATGATATTCCCGAGGGATACCCTGAGGATGACTACGAGGACGAATCCGGGTTATACGAGGAAGAGGTCGATGAGGACTTTGACAACCTACCTGATCTCGATGCGGATGTCCCCGAGGCTGCCGGGAGCGAGGACCTCAGTCGTGACTTGGATGATGATATTCCCGACGCAGCTGAAGATGGATCCGAGCAGGAGGGCGAGTGGCAGCATACGGATACGGAGGATGAACTTGATGACGAGGACGAGAATGAAGACCACAACCCCGGGAGTATGACACGCCCGCGCATGGAGAATTTCCGGACTAGCACGCCGAATAGTCGTGGACTGCCCCCTCCGCCGTTTATGCGACGGGATGTCCAGGGCGAGACTGAGGCTCAGCGGCGGTTTATTAATCGCTGGAGTGGAGGTGGTGATGCATTCGACTCGAGCAGTATGATGTTTGAGGAGGATGATCTGCGTGCTTCGATGACTAGCCAGGGTAGTCGGCGTAGTGGCTTTGGTCGACACTATCCTCGCCGGGTTGGTGGTCCAAGGGATAGCCTCAATTGAGGTGGTGTTTGTCCTTGGCTTTGTCTGATATTGCTTGTTTCGTCTTTTTAGCGTCTGCATTAGGCTATGGTGTTTTCTGTGATGGGAGTTTGGAGTCAACATCTCTTATTGAGTTGGCCTAGGCTGTTTTTGAAATGTACGATATTCACGGCATGCATATGCTGATTTTCTCCCTATGGTTTCGGGTTTCTCCAGGGCAGATGAGAATCCAATAGCAGCTAAAGAGCATTACCCTTGAATGCCAAAATAGAACACCGAGCCAAAAGCACACTTGGTGCCATAATACGTCATTAAGACGACTGCCCACATATTCTCGATGTCATACAGAGCCAGGTCTACGAGTGTAGAAGCATTTCATGTGATGCTCAATCCAGTGCACTGGTACAGCAATATTCCAAGCATCCCCAAGCCTTTGAAATTAACAAATAATGATGATGGTAGAGCGAGCTAACTGAATGAAAAGACAGCATATCAGACCATGACAAGAAAAACAGACAGACATAGTGAACGATTCTCTGACCTGTTTACCTCAAGCCCCAACCTTTCCATCAGCACCAGGACCTCCAATCCACATATAACTGCCCCAATTCGACCCGCTATTAAAATGCGTCTCCATATTATATCTTGCCGTATCAGATACGTTTTCCAATTGAGATCCATCATAGCTTTGCGCAGTGCGATTAGGGTCAATATAGAACATGTTATTGATAAACGCCGAATGAGTCTACCCAGTCGACGGCCACTGCCCACTACCCATATCAGTCGTAGTCAAGTCCACATCAGTCTGATATATTTCCCCATACCAGTCGATCTGGTCACTACCTTGCGCAAGGGTCCGAGCCGGATCGTCCACGTTATTGCTGAACAGAGAAGCGGGATAGTATCCGATCCAGCGATCAAGAATCAACACCCACCAATTACCCTGGTGCAGTTGGACTTGAATAGGCAATTCAGTTTGTGAGCCGCCATCAACGCAGAGAGGTGTAAGCACTGTTCCTGGGAAAATCGTATTATCGTACTGCACCCACCCCTTGACATCGGTATTCCAGCCTCCCTTATAGTCTGCAATTTCAGTATAGCCGTTTGTGTTGAAGAAGGTGAAGAGATGGGGCTCGGCGACTTGGGCTGGATAATTGATCCATCCAACCTCGACTGTTTGAACACAGGATGCGGAGGGATGGCCTAGAATGGGAACGTTGTTCTTGATAACCGCCGTTTGGAGCAGTGAGAAATCTGCCAGATTTTGGACGGCGGCTTTGTAGCAACTGACCCCTCCATTGGTGCCGAGGTTATTCACTGACTGGCCTGTACTTGCGTACCAGTGTGGCCATGCAGTTTGGTCTTCTTTTTTGCCTGGAGGCAATGGTGGCTTGCTTAGTCGTTGCACTAGGGTTTGTTTACCACTTATGAGATTCAGGTCTTGTCGCAGGATGGGCACCGTTCCACCGGGGCCTTTCTCGGAACCTGGTTGTTCTAGTAGGAAGAGAGGGCGATTTGTTTTCCAGGACTCGGAGTCGTCTTTGGCATTGGTAGATCGACGGGAAGGTAATGCAGGGAGAGGTGGAGGGGAAGCTACCTCTCCCTGGGACTCGATGGGAATCCAATCAATGATTTGGCCATTGGGCTGGATAGTGGTCTTGACAATATTGAGACTAGCTGTCTTTTTTATGAAGTACTGAGCGGTTTCCACGATATTTTGACCTTGACTATCGACGTCGGGTTCTGCCTCAATGCCAGATTGAGAACTTGTCACAGACATAATTGATGCGGAAGGGAAGAGATAGTTCAATGATTCTAGCGAGAAAGGCCTAGGCTGAGGGTTATAGTGTTTGTTGTTGTTATATTGGAACTGTATTGTGTGTCTAGAGAGGGATTTTATACCCCGGGTGTCTTCTTATGGAGTGTATCACATGTCCATCAACATCCAAGACATCGGAACATAGATTGCCCTCCTGACCACCATTCTCAGGGTTTGACGAGCATCAAATTTAAAGTCCGAGAAAGCATTATACCTAAAAGGTTAATAGTGAAGCGTGGCAGCTAGGCTTGGGGTAGTATAAGTCTCCGATCCGTGCAAAATATCGACCAGATACCACGTTCTGACCGTTTTCCCTGTCTCGGCATCTCCTGAGACTCTTCAACTGACTTGTTCAGGTGCCGCTGTATGTCTTAGAAGACCCTTAAGCCGATCTATCTCGGGTGCTTCTTCACTATTCATCGGCTGTCTCTACGTGAAGAGCTAATCGAAACAACGTTCGCTCCTAGTCAGTATCCTTTTCCTGTATATCTTATGCTTCATCCATGATTGGGGACAGAAGATATTCATGTGCTTGTAATAGTCCTTAACTTCTTATTGCAGGGTCAACTTCTAGCCAGACTTGGAAACGATCACATATACTGATAAAAAGCAGAAAAGATGATAAAACAAGAAATGGATACTCTATTCAAGAGCACTTCCAAAGTGGCCGCTCTATGTGCACAACGCATTACTATGTACTAATACATCCTCGAAAACCAGCAGCCCTGTCTCCATCCCAGTCAGACTTGCCAATCGATGCACAAGCAAAATCAAGATCGGAGCTCTCGCTCATCCAGCGCAGAGACGCGCCTGAACTAGTCCTCAGAATCGAGATTGCATGAAATCAAAGGGCGAATAACAGATCCCAGCCACAAAGCCTGAGAACAAAAGAAGAAAGAGAAAGAGAAAAAGACCCCCAAACGCCGCAGCCAAATGAAAATCATGCAGGTAATAACAAGGTTTGTATGTAGTTGCCCTTCCAAAAGCTCATGGCCAAAAGTCATAGCCAGGACCCTTCGTATCGGCATCTCTCTCCGTATTCCATTATGTCCCCATCGACAAATTAAATAAAGCGCAAAGCTCGAGGGCGTATGTGTATAAAAGTTCTCACGTGCAGTCCCCTAGAACAACCACACATAAAAGAACAAAAAGAACACAGCGGCAAAGAAGCCCAACCAGACTTTCCAGCCGACACCGGTACGCTCCGCCATGCGCAGCATGCGGTTCATGTTCCCGCGGAGCTTTACACGGGTAGACTCAAAGGAATTCTCGAGGGTATTCAGGTATGAAGTATCGCGGATTTCGTCGCCGATGGCTATCGTCATCTAAATCCAGGGAGATCAGTCAATACTTGACTATAGAAACGAAGCTTGTCCACTCTCATATCTGTAGACTGCAGGCGCGGGAAATGCTTACATCTTTCAGCATCTTCACTTTCGCCGTGATACCTTCCACCTCGGCATCATTTTGAGATTCAAGCGATGAGAGCACGGCATCGGAGTAGTGGCCCCTACATTCAACGTTAGACTATATCCTAACCTCCAACAAAGACAACAAAGACAGAGTCCGCTACGACACTGCTCCAAGCTCCCCGGAGACGTACTTCTTATCAGGCGTCGCACTGCGAAAACTCGCGCTGCCGTTACCGTTGGGATAGGCATTGGCTGCGGGCCCGGCATACCCTCCATATCCATATCCACCCGCCGGAGCAGGGGACCTGCTTGCGGGTCGTGAGTCGCCACCACCGTACGAGTCGAATAGAGAGGAGGAAGAGCGGGGATCGCGTTGGCGTGGGAATCTAGCCGGAAGGATGTCTCGTTAGTTACAAGTTCCAGGTCCAAGTTCGAGTGCGCATGAGTTCTGGCCGACTGCGATAAACCAACAAAGGGGAGGGAGTTGGGAGTATACCGTGAAGCCATGACGGATCGTGGTGGTTCAGTGAACCGCGGGGTTGGGTAGGGTCGTCAGATCAGTGTATAGTTTTGATATTGTGTTAATGGTGGAATGGGGACATTGCGCGACGCTGGAGACCAGGTGTCGGCTTTTGGGGCGTGGTGCTTCTTTCGATGCTTGCGGAGCACAAAAACACAGGTGGCCAAATCGTATGGGCGGCCGAGACCGAGCCGGTTGCACGTGATGGGGGTGTTGTTTACTCTTTGTCAACAAGGATTTTTGAATTAATTATTACTTGGTTCATGATCGTTAGAATGGGTTAGTTGGATTGTGTAATTATGCCTTGGACTGGTGGGTACTGTCAGTCAGGTGCGTCACAGATTGTCCGCATCGAGGCAGTTCTACAGATCTAGATTTACTCTCGACAAACACCACACTTGGCAACTCCATACTCAGAAACAGATACATTAATCTGAGCCAGGAAATAAATTTTAAGAAATCAAGCGAGCTTCATTGAGTCATAGTCATCGCTGTACAAGCAGCGCAAGAACCCAATTCTCAACCCTCACATCGGTGAAGCATCATCCCTCCTCCGTAGAGAAGAGACAACCCGAGCAAAAGAAAGGGGAAGAGAAAAGAGAACATGCCCTGAAGACACGACCGAGAGAGCCACCCATCCACCTAAGCGCCGATCCTCCAAAGCCAGTCATTTATCATCAGAGCTTGAGCTTTGTCGCAGTGCGTCACGGCGACCGGATGCGCGCTTAGTCGCGCATCTGGTCGTCATCGTGACCACCCTGGTAGTCCTCGTCGTCGTCTTCGTCCTCCTCCATCTCGTCGGAGTTCTTGTTGCGCACCTCCTCCCAGTTGATGTTCTTACCGCGGGTGCGGCGGCCACCGGAGATGATGTTGTCTTCGGAGATGGGCTCCAGGTTGTCGTCAACTTCCTCGTCGTCTGTAGTAGCTTGTTAGGATTGTGAGAATTGGGGAGGAGGGGTGTTTCGAGGGTGTTGGTGGTATCGCGAAGGGGTTAGGGTGAGGCGCGTTCAGCCATTGGGGGCGTGACGGGAAAGCGCCGGGGTCGAATAGACGGTGACGGTGCTGGGATGTAGGTGGGGGGTAGGAGGGGTTATGTACCGTGGTCAACCTATTGCAACCAGTTAGTCAGAGGTCATCATGGTACGTGGGGATATGATTCCCGTAGTAACGGGTAATGCGCAAGGTAAACATACCATCTCGTCACCGTTATCAGACTCGGAGTCACTGTCCTCCTCCATGCTCAGCTCGGGGTCCTGGGCCTTGCCCTTGCCCTTCTCGGCGAAGGTAGCCTCGGAGGCGGAGGGGTTGTTGATGGTAGCGTGGTCGCCCATGGTGGAAGAGTTGTGGATTTTGAAAGGGAGGGATGGAGAAGGAGTGGATTGGAGGAGAGAGGGAGAGTGGAAAGGGGAGGATTTAAAAGAGACGGTCTGCAAGGTGTAGCTCTCTCCAAACCAAAACAACCCGCAACAGTAAGGGACCCCTCGATCCCGTGATGTGATTCGCCGCTGTGGGGCTGGTGCCCTGAGGCCTCAGGCATGAGTTAATGCCTGGACTCGGCGGTTACTTGCTCATGAACTAGGAGACAGCTAGGTACGAGAGAACTCTGGATAAAGTATAGAAGATTCATCATGTCTCATTTTTAACTATTACATCAACGGCTATCATCATCATTTTCACAACATGGCATCATTCACCATCTTTACAACGCAAAGCACCGCTCAACCGACTCGCTATTATTCCCCCACCAGTTGGGCATCGAGATCTGCTTGCCAGCACCAAAGAAGAAAAAGATAAGCAGCATGTTCAAGTTGAATCCAGCATCGAATGCAGCTGCAACCAGATAATTATAGCGCTTCCACACCTCAAAGTGCTTGCGGTATGCCCAGTACATCACAACGTACCCACCGATAATCGCCGACGTATAGCCAGTGCTGACATTTCCGTAGAACATAGCCAGACCGCCGAAGAAGATACTGACATTCCACAGCTCAATGCGCAACCGCGGGAAGAATCGGTGGAAGATATAGAGAATGGGCGGGATGGCGGCTCCCACGAGGAACGACCAGGGCAGCGGCGCCATCTCGGCTTCAGCGAAAAGTCGCTTCGGTCCTAGAATAGCATACTGGACACCCATCGTGTTGGAATTCCGGAGACTCTGGCCAGTCCATTGGTTGAGAGGATCGGTCTTCTTGCCGGTGATATAGTCACCCTTGGTATCCATGATCCACCGGATGACGGCATAGTTGATAGGAACACCCATGCAGACACCGAATATCTGGGAGAAGAAAATTTCTCGAGGAGGAATGTGCATATAATGGCCGATCTTCTGGTCCTGGAGCATATACTGCGCTCGATACCATGCATCTCCAGCAATGGCGCCATACACGGAGGGTCCACAGGGGTGCTGGTGACCCTCGCCTGCCTTGGTGTGCACCATGTAGCCATACATCAGCTCATTGAATGAGCCCGTCTCGAGCTGGTAGTTGGAGATGGCATAGAGCCATGCGAATGGGATGACGAAGACTGCCGCACTGGAAACAGCCACGAACAAGGTCCAGATCGGAATGAAGAGATATCCACACGCGATGCAAGTGATCAAGATGACGAATCCCGCCAGGAACAGCAAAAAGTACCACCACAGGGGAATCTCCTTGTATTGTCTCTGAATCACATTCAGACGATCGTGATATGCGTGGTGAATACCCTGGTCCTGGGTCTGGTTTCCAGCAGCCTTGGCAGCCTTGGCCGCCTTGCGACTTTCAAATATCTTCTTTAGGTTTGCGCTGACTTGTGAGAAGCCAAATGTCGCGATCCAAGTAATCGCAGCTGGAAGCTTGGCGTAGTCGAAGAAAGTTGCCCACACGTTCTGCATTCCCATGTACATGGGGCCGTAGTGCTCGTAGGCGGTCTGATTGAGGTGATAATCGGGAGTAAGCACCTCTGTCGTCGGATAGGTGGTACCATTCGCCAACATCAAGCTATTGGACATGAGTCCATGTTTGAAAGACCCCATATTTCCCCATTTCGCTGCAGGAATGAGGACCCAACAATTAAAGGCAAAGGCCAGGAACAGGAGAACCTGTGTCCAGAATGGGGTCAACATGATAGAAGAACCGTTCCAGTTGATGTTCGACCAATCCAGGGAGAGGTTGAGGAAGCCCATTCCTCCCAATCCAGACCCGATGAAGTTGGCCACCGGGTTCCGCGGCGCAACCCAGCACAGGAAGGCCAAAGACGAGGTAAAAGGGAAGGCATACTCGGGAAGGAACTGCCATAGTGTCATCCCCAGCAAAGCAAAGAAGAATACCTTCATTTGCCGCCGTGCGAGGCGCGAAGAGGTATCCGTCTTTCGGAACGTCTCAAATAGTGTAGTCTGCATCAGAGCCTGGGGCCAGATGTACTCTGGATCCGGCAGGAGGATGTTTCGTGCCAGCGCAGCAAATGCATATCCAATCCACACAATTGAAAGCATGAAGAAGATAGCCACGGCAGGGTTAATCCGTTCTCCATACCAAAGCTCTGCGAGTACAATCGGGGCATATCCCAGGTTATAGGTTGCACCAGAAGCTGCAGTCACGGTGACCAGCACGTGCTCCTTGATACTCCAGGGTCCCGGGTTCAAGCTAAATCCCCAGCTAGTTCCGGGCACTCGAATGTTCCAAGCGGGAAGTGTTTTAGCCAAGAAATGACCGGCATAGTGACAGGCGATCTGAACGAAGAAAACAGAGTAAGGAGCTTTGGTGGTTCTGAAATAGCTCATCTGGGACAAAAAGGCGCCGGGAATGACGAATAGAGCCGCCAGTACAAAGTAGCGGAAAGTAATGGTCGGCAGTGTCGGGTCGTCCGTCAAGTTGATCAGTTGACGCACTTGCAAGGGCAGCGCAGCGATTTCGGGGTTATCGTGACTCTCTTGCTCAATAGCGGCCGTTTCGCCCTGCACCTTGATCGTCTCCTCATCCACGATGGTGCCGTCCAGCTTATCCTTCGAGGGAGAGGGCATCTCGACATTATCTTCGGCAACCGTTACCGTAGGTTCATCCTCCTGCCCAGCAGCCTGGCGCCTTCGCTTAAACACATCCAGAAGCGCCATTTTGTGCAACAGCTGGAAGAGAGACCTTCTGTCTCAGCTTAGAATTCCAGCACGTGGCGGGGAGGCAAGGGGGGAACAGAAGATAGATTAGGCTATGCAAAGAGCGAGGGTAAGACATTTTCTTTTATAGAATATTTACTCTGTGGATTTTTCCCATGTGGCTTCATGGCGTGCGACCCCAGTGTCTCGTAGTCATTCGGAAAGAGCGAAGATTGCCCGACGGGCATACCGAATCACCGATCGTCCTGGCAGGTGCATATGCAGTCTGGCCAATCGACATGCCGAGTTCGTGGGTCACAACAGATACGATCAAGGCTAATGTGCGGAGTGTTACATTGGCCGCGTGCCCAACAGACCAAGAAAGCTTGAGGAGCTTGGAGAGGATTAAACTCAGATGGCCCAGTCAAAGCTAGCGTGGATGGCGTTATCAGCCCGGAGCGCCCAGGGACGGTTAGTGCCGCGGGCATTTTACCTTAAAGTACAAATCCAGATAAAAGAAACCCGCGAGACTTGGTAAGCTTCGGCGTTGTGGTGATCTGATTGGCATGGCGATTGGGTGTTGGTTTATAGATTGGATTTCTATGTGTCACTGGGAGTTCTGGCTGACACGGAGAAAGGCCGGTGTGGTTTTTTGTAGGTTGCTGTGGGTATACAGAGACTATGTAGTGGAAGATCAGCGGTTGTTTTTGGTTGAATCTTGCTCTTACTGTGCAGGAACTGGGTAGGTGCATGATTCAATTGTATAGTCAATTTACAGTCTTCGGCAGGAGTATCCGAGAGGCTTTGATGTGGCGCTTGGGAGGTCCTAGCCAAGTACCAAACCTGAGGATTAAGAATTTAGGGTCTCGGCAGGGCCGTGTGGCTGTCTTGTGGCCTTATTGCCTTATTGCCTTGGTGCCTTTGTGCCTCATGGCCTTTTTGGCCTTGCTGCCTGAGGCTTGCAGGTCTAAAACTCAATCCCTCCTTCGGCCAAACTTACCTCCGGCGCCGCTCTACCGTTCCGGTTTTGGTGCGCTCCAGCCTACTCGCCAATTTCTGTATACTCGTACCTTTCGCATAGGCGTTATAGATGAAAGGTACATATTATAAGCTCTGTCTAGATATAATTCTACTCAATTTTCCGAGCTTCATATGGAAGGGCACGCCCCGGAGGTAGGTTCGGCCGACGGGCATATAATTTGAGGCTGCTGCACATGAGTCATGAATTCATCATGACGGCGTCAAAGCGGTGACCATACCAATACGCTGAGGATTGGCCCCCTTTCCAGCTGATGGGGGTTACGACTGATTGTGACATACGGGACCAATACACCATGACTCAACGTAACAGTCGAGAGGCACAGAAGTCATCCCACCATCGATTACATCATTCTTTTGCCCCGCCAAAAATTTTGACCAAAAGCATCAACAATGAAAAATGGTCAACCCCCGTCAAAGAGCCAATTGAACCCGGTGTCGAATAATCTCACCCCTTCATGTAGCTTGTCGTAATGTGTAGACCCCACTCGACCCATCTGGAAGGGTCGGCTGGCCTCCAGAAAGGCGTAGACTGGCTGTTGCTGGGGCATCGAAGGTCATGGAACCCGATGGATGCCCATGGAAGGTGCCCCTGCTAGAAGCTTCTGAACAATACACCGCTCACTATATAGCAGGATTTCGCTGCCCACACCTCTTTCTTTTTTTTTCCCTTTCCCAGATTTCACTTTACCTTTTAATCCTCTCTCCTCCTCCTCCCCAAACTTCCTCCTGTACACTACCCACTTCACGAGTTTCCTTTTCTTTACGACCCCCCCCCTTACACACACACATCCTTCACAATGGCCCCCGCTGTCGGTATCGATTTGGGTACCACCTACTCCTGTGTGGGTGTCTTCCGTGATGACCGCATTGAGATCATCGCCAACGACCAGGGTAACCGCACTACCCCCTCGTTCGTTGCCTTCACCGACACCGAGCGTCTCATCGGTGATGCCGCCAAGAACCAGGTCGCCATGAACCCCCACAACACCGTCTTCGATGCCAAGCGTCTGATCGGTCGTCGTTTCGAGGATGCTGAGGTTCAGGCTGATATGAAGCACTGGCCCTTCAAGGTCGTTGAGAAGGCCACCAAGCCTATCATCGAGGTTGAGTTCAAGGGTGAGGCCAAGCAGTTCACCCCCGAGGAGGTCTCTGCCATGATCCTCGTCAAGATGCGTGAGACCGCCGAGGCTTACCTCGGTGGCACCGTCAACAACGCTGTCATCACTGTCCCCGCCTACTTCAACGACTCCCAGCGTCAGGCTACCAAGGACGCCGGTCTCATTGCCGGTCTTAACGTCCTCCGTATCATCAACGAGCCCACTGCCGCCGCTATTGCCTACGGTCTCGACAAGAAGGTCGAGGGTGAACGCAACGTCCTGATCTTCGATCTGGGTGGTGGTACCTTCGATGTGTCTCTCCTCACCATCGAGGAGGGTATCTTCGAGGTCAAGTCCACTGCTGGTGATACTCACTTGGGTGGTGAGGACTTCGACAACCGTCTCGTCAACCACTTCGTCAACGAGTTCAAGCGCAAGCACAAGAAGGACCTGACCACCAACGCTCGTGCTCTCCGCCGTCTCCGCACTGCTTGCGAGCGTGCCAAGCGTACCCTCTCTTCCGCTGCCCAGACCTCCATCGAGATCGACTCCCTGTTCGAGGGCATTGACTTCTACACCTCCATCACCCGTGCCCGTTTCGAGGAGCTCTGCCAGGACCTCTTCCGTTCCACCATGGAGCCCGTTGAGCGTGTCCTCCGTGACGCCAAGATCGACAAGGCCTCCGTCCACGAGATCGTCCTCGTCGGTGGTTCCACCCGTATCCCCAAGATCCAGAAGCTCGTCTCCGACTTCTTCAACAAGGACGCCAACAAGTCCATCAACCCCGATGAGGCCGTTGCCTACGGTGCTGCCGTCCAGGCCGCTATCCTGTCCGGTGACACTTCCTCCAAGTCCACCAACGAGATCCTGCTTCTCGACGTTGCCCCTCTGTCCCTCGGTATCGAGACCGCTGGTGGTGTCATGACCCCTCTGATCAAGCGTAACACCACCATCCCCACCAAGAAGTCCGAGACCTTCTCTACCTACTCCGACAACCAGCCTGGTGTCCTGATCCAGGTCTTCGAGGGTGAGCGTGCCCGCACCAAGGACAACAACCTTCTCGGCAAGTTCGAGCTCACTGGCATTCCCCCGCTCCCCGTGGTGTCCCCCAGATTGAGGTCATCTTCGATCTCGATGCCAACGGTATCATGAACGTCTCCGCCGTCGAGAAGGGCACTGGTAAGACCAACAAGATTACCATCACCAACGACAAGGGCCGTCTGTCCAAGGAGGAGATCGAGCGCATGCTCGCTGAGGCCGAGAAGTACAAGGCCGAGGATGAGGCTGAGGCTGGCCGTATCCAGGCCAAGAACGGTCTCGAGTCCTACGCTTACTCCCTCAAGAACACTCTCTCCGAGGGCAAGCTCCAGATCTCCGACGAGGACAAGAAGAAGGTCGAGGAGAAGATCGATGAGGTCATCTCTTGGCTCGACAACAACCAGACCGCCGAGAAGGACGAGTACGAGTCCCAGCAGAAGGAGCTTGAGGGTGTTGCCAACCCCATCATCTCCGCTGCCTACGGCGGTGCCGCCCCCGGTGGCGCCCCCGGCGCTGCTCCCCGCACCGCTGACGATGTCGAGGAGAAGCCCGAGGAGCTCGACTAAGCGTCTCGCTTTGAGGATCCTTTTTGATTTTCATGGCGCTTGGCTTTTGCCCCTTTTGAAACTTAGTTGACACGACTTCGACCGACTGTTTCGGCTTGGGGATCTGGCTAAGAGCTTTTCTCTTTTTTCACGTCTTGTTTTACGACCTTATGGGATATCGAGTTTTTTCATATTTTTCCGATTGCATAGATACAAGGTTATCTCGGCTGGGGTGAAAAGTCCTGGCGATAACAATCAAAATTTCTTTTTAATTCAAACACTTCCTTGTAAATTTATCCAATTGTAGACTTGAGTAAATCGTAGTGGCCTCGCTGACTTTCGACGATGTGTTGGGGACAGGTCGAACGGAAATGAATGCCTTGGGCAGGTATATAGAATCTGAACTAGCATGTCTTTCTTACTTTTTATGAATCTGACTTGAGTTTGTCTTGACTATAGTCTTGACTATAGCTTTGTGTTTCCAAAGTACATAAACCCTGGAACTGGGCATTGCTTGTTTTCGCTTATCGTAGGAATTGCGAGTGAGGTTGAAAGTCGTCGTCATGGTGGCTGAGTGTGACTCGCCAACCACCAATGATGGCGACTTTAGACTGGCCACAATGTAAATAAGCAATTTAATTTGATCTTGTTTTCAAATCTAAATTTATTTTCCTGGTTTTATGCATATGGAAAGGAACATGGCCAATAGTCAAAAGAGTCCGTGGTATCTTGTCCGCGGGCTCTACTCCGCGGAGAGATATTCCTAAACAGGCCAGTCCCAGTAGATTGAAGTGATTCAACTTCAAAATTTTGGACCAACCTAATAGTATAAAGTCAAAGAGAAAGTATTCAGAATCCTCTATTCTATTCTTCAAGGTACTTTATTTACGTGGCACTCGAGAACTTATCCACAACTATTCTTGTACACAAACCCCACGAGAAGCATCTCTACCTTCTATCCAATATCCATCATGGACACTCCAACACCCACACCCCCCAAAATCGGCGTCATAATCTGTAGCACCAGAAATCCCCGCGTCTGTCCCCAAATCGCCAAATTCGTCCAGGATACAATCCAATCCACGCAACCCAACACCACCACCACCACCACCACCAATCCAACAACCCACCTAATCGACCTAACCACCTGGAACCTCCCCCTATACAACGAACCAGGCATCCCCTCCCAAATCAAAGATACCACCCAATACACACACGCCCATACCCGCGCCTGGAGTGCCGAAATAACCCGCTACGACGCATTCATCTTCGTCACGCCCCAGTATAACTGGGGGTATCCGGCAGCAATCAAGAATGCGCTTGATTATCTTTACCATGAGTGGGCTGGGAAGCCGGCTTTCGTGGTTAGTTATGGGGGTCATGGGGGTGGGAAGGCTAATAGGCAGTTGAGGGGAGGTTTTGGAGGGACTGAGGATGAGGATTGTTGAGAATGGAATTGAGTTGGTGTTTCCTGGGAGAGAGGTTGTGGGGAGGGCGGTTAAGGGTGAAGATATTGGTCTTGGGGGCGGGAGTGGGCGTGGGATTTGGGTGGAGGAGAGGAAGGGGATTGAGGGGGCTTATAGGGAGATTTTGAGCCTTTTGGGGAGTGGTCAAGAGGAGAGTATTTGATATTTGGGGTTGAGGGTTGGTGTGTCCTCGTCAAGTGCTAGTGGATATACTTCTCGGCATGTATAGATCTGTTTTGTGGGGATATTGGTTTCAATGCTTAGCACTAATGTTTTCATATGACAAGATTGGATATTTAGTAGGGAGGAGACAAGTAGAGAGAAGATATGGTTCAAGGAGATTGTCGGCATAGCCAAGTATTTAAACATCTCGAACAGCCATGGTTTACCAATGACACCGGCCTTCTTGATGTAAACTCCGAACTCGATAATTTCAGAAATATCTTTGCAGCAGTTAAACAAGACCCGACGGTACGTTAACGGGGACAGCTCTTCTTATTGTTCTAATAGCTTTGTTTCTGGCATACATCCACGAGGCACGGGTATCGATATATAAAGTCACAATACTATAGCAAAAGCTTCACTCCAACGTATACAGGTATCAATCAATAAATTAATAATTGGCCCATAATCCAACAGCATCTAAACACCAAAACCCCGTATTCCCAATTCCATCCCGAACCAACGGAAATATGTACAGTGTAGTCCGGTCTTTCGATTCAATATCCCCTCCAGCCTGGCCAGCCAGCAAAGGCTATTCCTCTTCAATCTCCTTCCCTTGGCAATAGTTTTTCGGGTATCACTTCATTCAAAGATCTTTAAAGTCTCCATTCCACCACCGCTGCAATCGTCGTTGACCCAGTTGTACGACAGTCCCGTATCCGATCTCCGAGGCTTTCTCTGGGGTCTTTTCGATTTGTTCGCGGCGGATGCGGGAGAGGGATGCTGCGATGCCCATTGTCACGGCGAAGATGGGGTCGCCGATTCTGTTTATTATAGAAGGAGATGTTAGTCATGGTTTGTTTGAGACTGGGAGAGAAGACCGCTTGAGGTTATGCTGGAGAGATGCGGGTTGGAGTTGAGTAGGTATTTTGGGCGGGGTTATGCGGGGTTGTAAGCTGTGGAATATGATGTGTATGAGGACATACTTTGAGAGGAGGTAGACTGTCATCTTGTGTATCTTTGATCTGGATGTGGAGGTATTGGTCTCGAGCTCCAACGTCGCGGTCCGGGTTGGAGATCGAATAGCGGGGTCACGTGATAAGATGCTTGGTGAGCTCCATCATGTCAACAAGATGCCTCGAACACAGTAGATCGTAAATACATTGGACTATCATATTTGTCCGATAGAGATTAATTGCCCAGCAGAGATGGAGGAGTTTTTATTTCTTCTTGACTGTAAACTAGACCCCGTCGCAAATAAACCATATCTATGAGGGAAAAAAAAATACACAAGCGGTCCAGTGAAAGGCAGGCCACGACACAAGAGGCCCACGCCAAAGACAAAGACGCTGGGAAAAGAAAAAAAAGGGGTAGAAAAAAGTAAGGGGTGAAAGAGGAGAGGTGAAAGAGGAGAGTGTCGAAGAACGCCGCGGCTATAAAGAACTCATCAAGTTATCTTGGCCATTTTTATTTGTTTCCCATCTATACAACCTGGCCAAAGGCAGGGATCAGGGTCTGGGCGAGCCAGAAGCTGAAGACCAGCTTGGGACCGGTCATCAGGAGCTTGGGGGTCAGGCCCTTGAAGAAGGCAGGGAAGCCCTCGTTCTTCATCATGTTGGAAACAATCCGGAAGCCGGACTCGGGGTTCTCGAAGTTGCGGTTCTGGATACGGGTCTTGATCACGTCCAGGGGAGCGGAGACGATCAGCGAGGCGCTAGCACCGCACACGGAGGCGACGAAGTTCTGGGACCAGGTGGCGGTGTTGTAGTCCGTGAGGTTGTAGATGTATTCCTTGGCGAAAGCAGAGCCACCGAAGAGCTAAAGTAGGAAGGTGAGCCATTAGTATGTGTTTGAGCGTTAGGACGTAAGAACAGGGAACGTTGACTTACAGCGAAAGAACCGGGGGCGTTACGGGCGGCAGTCCAACCGGCACCACGGTACAGACCCATACCCTCATCGGAGATGATCTTGAACAGACCACGGCCGCGGAAGGCCTCGGGGTTAGTCTGACGCTTAATCTTCAGGACGTCCAGAGGGAGGAGGACGATCTCTCCAATGCCGATCAAACTAGCGCATATCGTCAGCTTCAAACTCGTATATTCGTATAGTCCGTCCCAAGTGTTGTCTCACCTGCCAGCAGTCGCGTGCATGATGGCCTTGCCAGTTCCCTTTCCGAAGGCATTATCGAAGGTAGCACTGTGGTGCTGGGCCAGGTAGTCGCGGGCGAAGGGCTGACCACCGTACTTGTAGATACGCTGGAGGACCTATTTGAAACGCAGTCAGCGGACTGTACGCTTTTCCATCAAGTACAACATATAATCACTAACCTTATAACCAGCGGCGTATCCGAGACCGGGGAACAGGGAGGTGAACTTGCGGCCCACGGTGGCATCGGCGTACTCCTTGAAGACGACCTTGTTGAACTCAGCAGCGGAGGCGATCTAATTCGATGATGATTAGAAACTTTCCACGCGCTCGTATTCGCATTCCGATGCATGCTTACCCGGGTCTGGTTGCTCATCAACCGCTTCGCCGTGGTATCGACCTACAAAGGGGGAGAAACCCAGGTCAGTGTTGCGACAAGACAATGTTCGAGGATCAATTGAGCCGTACGGGGTGGAAGACCATCAACTCGGCGATACCAGCACAACCTAGCAAGTCACATCGTTAGCAATTGGTTCTCGCGTGTGTCAACGGTCCTTTTTTTTAGGAGGCATGTTTTGTTTCTTACCGGAACCGAGGAGACGAGCAGTCGCGGACTCCTTCTTAGGGACGGCGCCAGCACCGACTTGGGCGATAGCAGGAGACATTTTGTGCTTTTTTTTTTGGTGAAGGGTTGAGAGTTAAAGAGACCAGAGACCGAACAAGAGATTCCCCCAGGAACGAGGAAACATGTGCCTGTAAATTTTATCGGAGCGAGTCGGGTGGGGCGCTAGTCCCAATTGGGAGCCGGAGTCGGAGGAGCTCTTCGGGTCGAACTAAACTCTGATGGGCCCATACACTTTATACAGCAGACAAAGTTTGAGATTTCACAAAGATACTGTCTAGTTAATTTTGTCAGTGTTTTATAGATTGTCTAAGAGTATTTCCAGGGTAAAGAACACAAGGAAATTACCCCCAGATCCAGGGGTATGGGAGGAGCTTTGAAAATGGAATTTAGTTAATTTCTTGCCTCTTCATGTTCACGGTTTTGTGATTACATAGTCAAGTTATGGCTAAATGGATTCTATCATATACTCTAGTCATGTATCACTATCTAGGAAAAATCGATATGAAAAAAGGTTTCCACCTCCATGAACGAACCCTCGACCTCCATCTACCATAGAAACTTAATTCGCGTCACCTTGCTCCTTATCCCCTCCAGGGTTCTTATTTTGTATGCTCATCCATGCGGGTGACATGCCTGAGGCAGAAATATGCCATCTACAGGAGGGTCATCGCCCTAAACAGCAACACTGCCAGCAAAGTACCCACCAATAACCCAGTCTGGTTGAATATTCCATATTAATATCTGCGCTCAGATAAGAATTACCATGTCATGGTTGTCTATTTAAATCACCTTGTTGGATATATCGTCACCGAGCCACCGACGTCATAAGCCACAGTAGATCATTATATTAAGTGTCAACGTACGCATCAGGTCTACCAAATCAGTCAGGTTCATAAGGGAATTTTGCTACTATTTATCTCTGAAAGTCTCATCATGAGTTCTTCCAACAACATGACCCCCACCCCGGAAAATGGATATCCTCAAAACAAGAAACAAACTTATTCCGAGTGGGCCAAGGGTGCCTACAATGACCAATACGAGAAATGGATGCCCTGGATCGAAGATCAATACCTGAAGTGGTTTGGAAGGGGTGATAACAAAGCTTCTTATGCGACGAAAGGTAAATTATTGAGTACAGTTGGTAACACTCAAGCAAAAGCTAAGACTATTTCCATAGATACTCTCGCCAAGACAAAGGTCACGGGCATAGACCAAGTTGACAAAATTCAAGACGATACAGCAAACCTTGTCGGAAATCAGATTGGCGACAAGGGACTGTTGAAACCAGTTGGACAATTTGCCTCCAAGGAGGGTGTCAACAGGGCCGAGAGAAATGGTAAGGATGAATCTGGTTCGTACATGGGACCTGTTGCCGGTCTATTCGATAAAGGCAAAGAAGGTGCCAGCAGTGCAGGATCAGGTCTGGCTCGAGGTGCCGAGTCTGTTCAGAACGCAATAGGGAATATCCCTGGTGCCAAGAGTGTTCTACCTGGGAACAGCAAATAGTCGATCTGACTTGAGGACTGTTGGCAGTATAATCATATTTTAGCGACTCTTGTTTTGTTTGTTTATACTTGATAATTCTTCTCTTCTTCTTTTACGTTTTTTTGGGTGATACAGACTGTTTTTGTTCATTGGGAAATGTCTATCACATGGCCTGCCTAGGTTTCTGGAACACGATGACGCCTATCTCCTCTGCTTTCCATTCTGGTCCTTCCGTGTATTTTTATATGGCCAACATTGATTATGGTGTTTAAAGCACAGCCCGAAAGATAACTCTAGCCCTATAAAGGAGGACCCCTAGAGGACCTTTAAAAGATCTTTCAAAAGAGAGGGACTTGAAGCGCACCTAGCTGAACTTTTTGTCGTGCCAGTAACCGGATCCTGAATCTATATTACCAGTATAGGGTGACTGTTAAGAATAATCTTACTTGCAGGGTAGAAGGCCAGTTGACCAGATAAGAATGAAAAGCAGCAAGTCGAATTGTGACAAGACTGTTCTTGAGGGTCTTTCAACATCCCCTTAAGCACTGAACTTATATACGACTAGTCTTCTTGCTCAACAGGAGACTAAGAGTAACTAATTAAAGGACCGTACGCCGGAGCCGAAGGGGGCGTGGCCAGTTGAGGCCCTGCATGCAGGGTGACCCTGATATAGGCAATCAATGACAAAGTCCACGTTTTCTGGGGCCCAATGTTAAGTCTCTAGCGCGAACAATCATTCCAGGTATTCTAGAACCTATTACCAGAGAGGGAAAGGTCATGCTCTGTCTTCACCCGATTGGATGGGACTGTTGTGCTAAAAATCTGCCATACGAGGACTGTAACCAGAGTTGTAGGTATAGCGGAAGCCCAATAGATCCAGAAATGGTTCGAAACTGGCCACCCTGAATCAGCACCGTAATTGAAGAAAGACATGCTGAAAAGTGCGCAGATAAATGTCGGAGGCAGAAAAATGAGGGTCACCTGGATAATTCTTTTCATGGTAGCACTATCCAGTCTCGCGAGACGTGCACTTTCTTGCGCTACAAAGTTGTATTTTTGCTGTATCTCGTTTTGCAATCTCTTTTCCAGCGATGTTGAGCGGTGTCTCATGCTATTGAGATAACTCCGAAGGAATGACAATTGGGAGTGAATATCCTCCCAGGAGTGAGGGATCCGGTCTGTTCCCGACGATTTTGCATCTTTCAGCTCGAGGTAGTCGTGATGATATGCCAGGATGTGCTCTAGTGTCTGGGTGCTGACATTAAGCGTTTCAGCGACGTGAATCGCATGTAGAGCAACATCATGCAAATATTGAAATTTTGCCTGTGGCGTTTTTCGTGGCCCGTCAAGCATGGTCTCCTTGCCCTGCCATAGCTCATTGGTTTTCTCAAGAGGCCTATTTAGGTCCCGTACATACAATAGCGGATTCTTCGAGAGAAACAATCTTTTCGACTAGGTAGATATACACCCAGAACGGACCGCTTGAATAGTCAATTGCTGGACTTACGAATAAGTCAGAAATACGGACATCTGGGTCGAGCATCAGAATTGCAGTGTTTTTGGCCGGGTTGTTTCGCAGCTCTTCCAGAATTAATTCTTGGCCTTGCCAACCATTGACTGGTACCATTAGTCACAGATCAACTTGACCTGCAGTCAGCCTAGCTTGGTTCCATTGCCGTATTAGGAAGCTAGGACAAGCATGACTGCCAACTCCAGTCATTTTGACAACATTGAAAGGTGTAAGTAGAAGATAAATCCAAATCCCTAAATAACTAATGCTAGAATTTATATTTACAGGTGAAAAAGAAAGTGCTTCTAGTCTGTGCGTCCGTAGCGCCAGGGTCAGAAATTTGCTTCGCCCAAAAAAAAGTAGCGTGACGTGGCACCTTAGCACGGTGGCCCATCGTCTTTCTCACATTTAGTGATATATGGGCTCATACGGCGCGTATTCAAGACTTTTCGACGTAATGTTAATAAATAGTACTCAGCTGTCCGAAAAACGGGTTTCCGTGCTTAAACTTGAGTCCTTAAATTAGACTTACAACAGCGAATATAAAAGTCTAGTAAGGAACTTGTACCTTTGCTCGCACATAACCTAGGCCTAGTCAAAATATCGCATGTGGGGTAAGGCATATATCGTAGTCCCATCATCTCATGCATGGTTGAGCACAACCTCCAGAATTGTTAGGATTCTTATACTGCCAGTTAACATTCTTGACATTCGTCGTCTCAGATTCATCTAGAAAGCATACCTAAGCCTTGTATCATCAAAGAAGCGAGACTCATTAAATGTAGTGTGCTGTAGGGCATGTTTTGTACTTCTGATTACACTCTACTGGAATTATAAATAGTACTATACTCTCTACTTAGTCCGAATTCTTTTTAATTGGTTCCTCGATCCTATTAGTTTTCTCTAAGAAATTATCTACAACATTGATAATCATCAATAATGTGCTTGAACTTGTTGTACAGATCAACATAATTCGATCCTACTTAGCTCGTGGACTAGTGGCTGTAATAAGCAGTAACATTGGACCAATATTAAAACACGCTAGAAAAACAAAACAGTATACTTAGCTTGAGCTTCTTTCTTTAGTTTAATAGCTAATACCTATAATAATGTTCACTACAGTAAGTTATGTACACATCTTAGTAGATCAGTCCATGAATTGGGCCCACCACGGGGCTTACGCGGCGACCCACACCAACGCACTAAACAAGCCTTTCCATGATCTTGATTGGGATCACCATGTGGCCCCTATAACGAAAAAGGAGAAGACATAATTTTTTCACAAGATCCGATCTATCCATACGTCACTGGTTCCGGGGGCTGTGCTAAGTGTTTAAATCTGAAATTTCAGGGGGGGACCGAGCGAGACGTTTGTTTCCGTCGATCTCGAAACAAGCATCTCAGTGCCAGTGAAGTGTTTCTTCAACAACACCATGACTTGGCCATCATGCAATTCCACGCTGGAGCATGAAACAAGTAAGTGAGAACAGTAGAAAATCCTCCTCCCGCGATGTTGCTAACCCCCCTTCAGTCCAGGAGGTTGACCTGTGGGATGGCGGCATCACTTTCCACACTCTGTGTGTGATTATTTCGGCCGTTTGTCTTGTTATATCTTCCTTCTTGGCGGGAATTATTATTTTCGGTCATGCTAGACACTACAGCAGACCATCTGAGCAGAGATAGTGAGTACTGTAGTGAGGGTTCGGTCGAGTGCCCGGTTGGTCTAACGATTCGCGCAGCATCATTCGCATTCTGTTTATGATACCCGTTTATACGCTCACATCGTTCTTGTGCATCTACTTTTACAAGTGGTCCGTGTACTTTGAGCTTATCGGCTATTGCTATGAGCCATTTGCCATTGCGTCTTTCTTCACTCTGCTCTGCTCCTATATTGCTCCCGAACTCCATGATCAGAAGGAGTTCTTCCGGCATATCGAGCCTATCAATTGGGTGTGGCCTATTCCATGGATGCAGAAATGTACAGGTGGTCAAAAGGGGATTTGGAGAAAGCCACGAAGTGGACTCACTTGGTTTAATGTATGTGCCACCTTTGGTTTGGGGAACTCGAATGCTCGAGTATTGAGTACAGAGGATACGAGCTAATTACTTTGCAAGGTTATTTGGATATCTGTTTTCCAATACTGCTTCCTACGATTTATTTTGACAATTCTTGCCGTCGCTGCAGAATCTAAGAATCTTTACTGCGAAGACTCTGATAACATCGCATTTGCCCACATCTGGGTAAGATTGCTCCCGATCCAGATTTGTTGGCAACACACAGACCCTAATTACAATTTGATAGGTCCTCATCATTGAATCTATCGCAGTCACTATTGCAATGTACTGCTTGATTCAATTCTATCTTCAAACGAAGAGCGACATCGCTCAGCATCGGCCTTTTATCAAGATCCTTTGCATCAAGCTGGTCATCTTCCTTTCCTTCTGGCAATCGGTGAGTATCACTAACAACTAACCTTGCCTCCTCTCCTTCAGCAACTAATATCATTCATAGACCATCATTGACTTCTTGACCTCGTCCGGCCTGATCAAATCATCCGCCAAAGTCGTTCTTCAAGACTGGAACAATGCTCTTCCATATGTGCTCATTTCCATCGAAATGTGTCTCTTTGCCCTTCTTCACTTCTGGGGTTTCCCCTGGAGCCCATACGTGATTTCACAGGGCCCTGCGGTCGAGGATAGTTCGCAGTACTATCATGGCGGGAAAATGGGCCTCAAAGCACTAGTTGATGCCATGAACCCGTGGGATCTTGTCAAGGCTAATGCACGTGGTCTTCGGTGGTTATTTGTTGGTCGGAAGAAGCGAATGGCTGATCCGAGCTATGATCTCCCGAAGCGTGACACTGGGGTTGATTCTGGAGAGACGTCGTCGCCTAGACCGCAGGAGACGATGGTTTCGGAGGGAGAGTCTTCTGGATTCCGTTGACTCGATTCCATCTAATACATTATCATGAGACAGTTTCATAGAAAGCGCTTTCATTACTAATCTGTGGAAGTTATTCATATTTTTCTGACTCCTATCGTGGAACCAGATCATATTCTTCATATATTCGAATGCCTTATCAATGACCCCCCAGCATAAACAAGCTTATCCCAATAATAACCAACCACCTACTCAGGCAAATCTCTCCTCCAGCCAATTCAAAATATCCTCACCAAATACATCCGGCCGTTCAAGCAAAGCCCAATGCCCCCCCTCCCGAGTAATACTCTTAACATCCGGCAACAGACCAGCATCAATAGGAGGCTTTAATCGATCAGGCCTCCCCACAATATCCCCTTCTCCACCCCAATACAACACAGGCACTCTAATAACCTTATTCTCATCAGACACCTGCCTATCCGCCTCGCCCTGCACGTCAAACGCATACGCCCGATACCAACAACTCGGAGCCTCAAATCCCCCCTCCTTACCAAATCGATCCATAAAATCCTTCTTGTGCTCGGCCGTTGCAAATGGTAGCGTCGGCTGAGTGCGCCCCTCACTAACGAACTTGCGAGCCCCGCCCGGCGCAGTCATCGTGTCGAGCCAGGTACTCGGATCGCCGTATGCCATGCAATACACGGACTCGAGATTCTGGTTCATACACTGGACACCTTCCTCAGTGGTGAAAAAGTACCAGTATTCCAGGATCCCGTAGCCGTATTGTCGGCGGGTCATTTCGTTCATGGCGTCTAGGCTGAAGTGTCCGATCGGTGGCATGTATGCTACATTGATTGTAATCACGCCTGACACGCGAGACGGATGGAAATTGTACAGGCGCTGGGATACACTACTACCCCAGTCGTGACCGGTGGCGATCACGGAGGATAATTGCTCGGCATCGAGGATTTCGATGGCATCTGCTGCGAGCTCCTTCCATGAGTAGGATTTCGGGTCCGTGGGCTTGGAAGTCTCCCCGTAGCCGAGGCAATCGGGGGCTACTATGCCATAGCCCTGCGGCAGAAGGTAGTCGTTGATAAGGCCGGACCAGAGCTGGGCTGAGTCGGGCCAGCCGTGGAAGAGGATGATTGATGGCTTGGAATTGCGGGCGGGGGAAAAATAATATGTGTACGTGAAGCCGCGGGAGACTGTGATGGTCTTCTTGGTGAGGGTGGAGAGGTTCATGGTTTTTGGAGTGGTAGTCTTTTTTAACGACGGACGTCCGTAGGTTCAATTTAATGCAGAAAGAGATTCGAAGGACTATGAAGACAAAATTCTGTCAGCATGCCTCGGAGGGGTCGAATGGCCTTGTTTATGGAGTATACTCCGTTAATCCCCCGATTGCGTGGGTTATAGTGGGGGCCATTTAGTTTATTCGGGCCGAGACTGGCGCTCTAGAGTCTATGAGAATTAGTGCATTGCGCTTGTTCACGAATGCAAACTAAGCTTATATCAAGGTGTTGGCTACGAAGACTACAGACCCCAGTCGAGCCTCATACGGACCAGGATCTACTCAAAAACAGACGTAAATTGCGAGCTTGAAAGACTAGCCCTCGATTTCCATTTACTTTCATGTAGAAAAGCCAGCAGGCAAACCCAGCCTAGCAAAGATGAAGCAGAAGATGTGCGTAACACCGAACGAACGCCATATGACCTAAAAACGCAAGAAAAGGACGTCCCGCAAGAATTATCCTCGGTCGCCAATACCACTTGGACTCTTCGGGAGTTGTGACCCATCACGTAGTCAAGACAGGAGAGAATCGGAGCCAAGTTGTAAGGTGAGCAAAAGAGACACGTCGGGCCTTTAAAGGTCGCCAAAGGTATTCTCGCCGGAGTATCTAAAAATGTCAAGTCGTTAGCAGGGTGTTCGCGCTTGCTGGTGGGAATCTCTACAGCTCAAGGCAACAGCTGATGGAAATAGTGGAAAGAAACATACGTGATATACAAGAAACCATCCTCGTCCTTGTGCTCTTCGTAGATGCTGCTCATGAGTGCAGCGGTGGGTGGCAGGACCTCATCGACGAAGATGAAGATAGCCTTCTCCGGGGAGAGCTTGATGCGCTTGCGGATCACGTAGACGAACTGACCGACGGTGAGATCGGCTGGAACGAGGTACTTCTTCTTGTCGATGGTAGCAATATCCGACTTCTCGACCTTTTCGCAGATGACCTGTGATACACGGAACCCGTTAGCTACCGGAAGGAGCGGTGAGGGGGACGATAAGGCGGTGGATGAGGCTCTAGGCAAGCTCGACGACACCAGTCTCGCGAGCAACTCGAAATCATCATCAGAAAGGGTTGACACTTACTGGGATCCGGTCGGCGTACTTCTGGCGAATACGCTCGGCCTCAGCCTTGCGCTTCTCGAAGGGGTGCTCGTCCTTGAACTTGGAACGCATGGTGGTAGCTTGATAAGCTGATAAGTAAAGCGGGTCTTGGGTGTGGAGCGAGATGAGGAGAGGAACGGGAGGGTGGTTGGAAAAAGAGGATGGGTTCAGGAGTAGAAGAGGGTGTGGAAAGTAGCTGTTGCTAGATGAGGTTCGGGATTCTGGTGAGGAAGATCGATGATCGATGAGTGAAGGAAGTGAAGAGGGGGGACGATGACAAAAGGCAACCCCCGCTGACGTTACCGTAAAGATACCATCACACGAGGCGGTGAGTCACGGGCCAGCCTCACGTGGACCTGGTCACTCGCCAGTGGGCGTGCGACTTGTTTGCTCTTACAATTTACATATATCGTGTAACTACCTATTTTCATAGAGGAAAGTCCCGTTCGTAAAATTCTACGAGAATATACAATTCAAGTATCGTTAAGTTGAAGTGCTTGATCGACTTGGTTCTGCCGAAACATACTCCACCGCTATCTTCCTGACACTACTAATGCTCGAAAAGGACTCGGAGTACACTCTTAACGGAATATACCGGTCGGATATGGAATTCCTAGTCAGGAATAGTGAACATCTGGTGATTACTAGCTCTAGGCCCCGACAATACTACTTGGCTATATATCTAGTCTACCGAAACTGGTTTAGCGTCTTGAGTGTGCCTATTATATACTTGTGACTCTCCCTCTTAGAATGTTCGATTAATATAGAGTTTCCTTCTCCCCAGGACGTTGTTTTCAGCGTGTTACCCCAGATTTGAGCTATGAAAATCACCATAAGGAACTAGTTGTAGAAGCTAAAAAAAAGCTGGATTACAGCCAAAGCTGTCAGCCTCATCCCCAACTCAATGCCTGGGTAGGGAAGATTGCCTGGGCCTCTCGGGACTTTAAGTGGATCACATTATTACACTTTAACTGTAACTTTATAAGTATTTTCACATTGAAATATTCTTGCTTGTAGCGTAAAACATCTGGAAAGGTTTTCTTTATTGTGTTGATGAAATTCACAAACACCCCTTGCCACCCTTGGTATCTCGAGCCAACGTCGGACCCGGAGTAGATAGTGAAAGAATCGAATTACTCTTTCTTAAAATAACTGATACTCTAGAGGATGGCAATGGAACTGAATGCTCTTGCCAAAGCTTTACTGCATATCTCATGCTAGTCGTAAAGGTCGACTCTACGGCGAGTTTCAAGTATGCCTTGCAAGTGATGAACGGCCACGTATTGGATTGTTTATGGCCCTTTTTCTCGGCTTCTGCAGCACTAGAAATAGGATTTGCAATGGAATAAATGGTAACTAATGAGTATCTTTCGTTGCTGCATGGTAAATTTATATGGTAGTAGATGATAGATCGATAGACTCTGCTAAAGTAAGATAGATGAACAGATGCAGGTACGAGATAATCGTGTTAGTACATAAACGTAAAGTTGTAAATTCCATTCACGTTCGCTGGCCAAAATTAGTGATAACTGAAAAGCCTCCTCTTAAAAATCTTACTATCTGCACATGAGGTCATCAAGCTCTTCCCCGCAATTTCTTAACTTCGGGGCCCCAGACGCCCTGACTCTGACTAATAAAAGGTAATCTTGGGCCCTGAAAAAGATAGCCATGACTGGTGTGGCAGTGGCTTCGTCGAATGCGGATTTGATCCTAACCTCCTGGCTAGAAAGTAGCCTGTTCAATCCTGTGGATCATGGGCCTCTTCTTGACGTTATCCCAGTAGTCTCCCTCTCTCGGCTTACCGGAATCCTTTTCCACTACGGAGTGCTGTAGAATCTTCATGAAATCTCGCCCAGTCTTCACCATCCGCTTGGCTGAAGCACCGAGTCAAACACTTATTATTTTCCCTGCTGATCAGACCCGCGAAGTGGACTATGTGGGTTCTTATGATCATTCAAAGAGAAAATTTTTCTCATCGACGAGAATTTGATATATAATCTACTCCTTAGAACCCGCCAATCAGAAACTGATAATCCAGTTCGCCTTGGGCTGGCAACCCACCAATCACGAAGCTCAGGCCACGGCTGCTCCCGTCGGGTGCCATCGAGTTTTGTGTGGCCTCGCCCTTTTTTGACATGTCCGTAGCTTCCGTCGAGGGGATAAATAGGGTCAATCAGGTAGTTCAATGCTGCCAAATTGAAGGTAATAAAGCTATCGTGCACGCTATGTAGGGCGATACAGTACTACTAACTGCCAGGATCCATGGGTTACCATGACATACCTGCCATTCCTTTTCATTGGGATCCTGAACGGCACGAAAAGTGGATCCTAGCCAAGAGCTAGGACCAGTCAATAATAAGGAAGTGGTCGATTTACAAAAGTCCTTCCAGAAGGCTTGGAAATGAGTAATAAGGGCTCTTCCCTCAAAATGACCAGAGCTCAGAAATCTAGAATTGACCTCCTCCCTTGCTTCTTGTAAATGCCTCCGAGCCGAGTGCTCGGGTTAACTCGTTCATTGTCTCTCCCTTCTTTTCCCCTCAATCGAGAAGAGAAAGAGATTCGACAAAGGATTCGTGCCTGACGAGCACTCTACACTATTTGTTTCTTTACGATTTGATTGTCAATTTATTTGATCTTATAGAGAGGAAAAGAAGCTCGTATGAGCTACCCATATTTCTTTCCACCCCCTTTCCCCTCCTACCAAAAAGTTATTTGGTTGTGGTTTGTATTTAGGGCTCGAATCCCCACCGGTCAGCGCATCTACAAATCCCGCCCGTTCATTGGCGGCATCTCAAACCGAAGCAAAAGCGTCGCACTGGCAATTAATCGCGACTATGTTCAACCACCCTCGTAGTCGAGTAATTTTTTGCTATAGCCTAAGTTACAGACTGCGTCCATGACCGGCAAAAGACCAGGAAAACAACCACCCAAATCACCGGGGGAGGGTGCGTCCGCGCAAAATGAAGTATCGACGGCGCTGCCAGAGCCGCATAGTGCCCCTGCAACGCCCAACCGGCCTTCTGTTCAGGATAGATCGTCGACGTGGGGAGCTTCGAGGACCTCCAACTCAACGCCCGCTCTAGCATCCTCGCAAAGTGCGCAGAATGCGTCCAATGCTAAAGTGGCGATTCCACGCCAGCCGCCAAATAATCATGCTCCGCGCTACAATCGACGGGTCCCGCGGGCTTGTGAGTCGTGTAGACAGCGGAAAACGAAATGCAGCGGCGATACCCCCGTATGTCGACAATGTCGTGAGCTGAGAGTCAACTGTCATTATCCCGTGGGTTGGAGGGAAAAGATGAAAAAGTGGGCGAATTCGAACCAATCCGCTTATCCTCGTGGTTGGCAAAAACTATAAAAAAAAGAACTGCAATCGATTAACTAATGGGGGATGAATCTTCACAACAGGGATGTGGACAAGCTTAATGCTGAGATTCAAGACTATGAAAACTTCGTCATTGCCTTACGCAGTACTACCGAACCTCGTACGGCCGAATGGATTAAAAGCTTGCTGGACAAGGTGTGTTAGCTTCTCTATATGGTTTCTCGTCTGTGGGCTACTAACCCTTGATGTTTGTCTCTCAAAAGCATGGATTAAAAGGAGATCATTACTTCGACAATACTCAATCTCGTCTGTCGACGCCCCAGAATGAGATGGACGCCGATGAAAGGTCACCTCTCTCATCTATTGGCTCGCTAGAGGCTATTGATCGAGTAGAGGAGGATCTGAATCGGACAGAACATACTCGAGCTACGGGATTTATGGGTAAAAGCTCGGAAATCTCTTGGATGCAACGGGTTCAAAGAGAAGCCGAGCAACGGGCTCAAGGGTATGCTGGAATTATGGAATCTAATCAGGATAAGAACGAAGAAGGACGAGACGGATTCTCACTTCATGCACTAAATTACCATCTGGACGATCTCGATATCTCCGTCTCCGAACCAGTGGAACGATACGACATGCCCCCTCGACATCTGGCTGATCGGCTTTTCGACGACTATCTAGATACGGTACACCCTTTCTTTCCTATCATCAGCAAACCACTCTTCCGCGCTCAATACCAGACCTTTTTCGACAGCTTTACTAGGCCCAATGCTCCTCGGCCGGGTGACAAGTGGCTTGCCATTTTGAATATTATCTTTGCAATTGCGGCCAAGCATGCCCACCTCATCAATGCTCCGTGGCGAGGGGTTTGTGATGATCATTTGGTGTATATGACCCGGGCTCGATTGCTCAGTCTCAACTCGGAGGTCCTGTTCAGTCATCCAGACCTTCAACAAGTTCAAGTTGAGAGCTTGATTGCATTCTACCTGCTTGCATCGGATCAAATCAACAGGTGTGTATACTAACCTCGTTTACTGTTTATACCACGAACAACCTCTAATGATGGAAAGGGCATGGAGAATCTCTGCTCTGGCGGTTCGATCTGCCATCACCCTCGGAATCAACCTGAAGAACAACAGCTCCGTTACCCCCAACATCTCCAAGGAAGCTCGGTACCGAGTTTGGTGGTGTCTCTACTCCTTCGAACACATGCTAGGCATTATGACCGGCCGAGCTATCTATACTCTCGACGGCGGATACGCAACCCCCTTACCCCTTCCCTTCGAAGAAGAACAATTACAAGAAGATCCCACGGCCATCGAAATGCTGAATAGCCCGGCTCTGAGAGACGAGCTGATTAACAACGTCATGTCGAGCACCGTGATCCGACAAGCGGGTGGCCGGGAAGATGCTCAAAAATCCAGACCTCGAGACCAAACGTGGCTCAGAAAACTGCCATCCAATTTTGGACTTTGCTACCTCTATCATTGTGATTTGACAATAATTACTCAAGAGATTGTCAACAAGGTCTACTCGACCAATTGTGTCTCGCTGACATGGTCAGAGATTGAGGCTCGACTCGATGAACTACGCGCTCGCATCGACGCCTGGCAGTCAAGCCTTCCAACGGTGATTGACTTTACCAGTGATGAGGCCGACGACACTCCCGATCAACTTCGCTGCAAATTGATCCTCGCATTTCATTACTATAGCGCGCGGATCACTCTTGGACGACCCTGCCTTTGCCGACGCGATGCACGCCAGCAAAATTCCCAACAAACCTTTAGCCATATGATGGCTCTCATCACCCTCGACTCGGCCTCTCGCTTACTTGGGCTCCTCCCCGACGAACCAGACGTCCCTCAACTCTTCAAAATCTGCCCATGGTGGTGCGTCCTCCGCTATCTCATGCAGGCCACCACAGTCATCCTTCTCGAACTGTCTTTCGGTAGCGTCCATATACCAGAGGACGAAGATCGGTTCGTCAGACTAGCCAAAAAGTCAATACGCTGGTTTCACGCCATGTCAGATCGCAGTATTGGTTCCCGACGGGCCTGGCAACTCTGTGATTCCAGTTTCCGGAAACTAGCCAGCGGCATGAAATACACGACTGACGATCTCCCCTCCCATCCACGACCGCAAGAGCGCTTCGCCACCGAGCATAACATCCCTTCCAATATCTCCTCCTTCCACCATGGAGGACACTCCTCCAACGATTATTTCACGCTTCGCCCCGAAGACATGAATCCCTTCTTACACCGTCCCGCCCCCGTACAAGATGGCGACGTCTGGACGAATTACTTCAACCTACCCACTCCCGATCTGATGTGGCCGCTTTCAGGTCCGGGTGAAATCACTGAAGATTCTTATTTCCCTTATGACCCTCTCAGTGAAGAGTTTATCCGGTCTTTCTTTCCTTCCTCGGACGAGGAGAATAGAGGACCGCGATGACACGCCCGGGCGAGATTGAGAAAGGAACGCAAACGACTATCCTTTTCTTGCATTTTTTCGGCATTTCCATCATACATGGGTCGCTAGCGATTCTCATTGCTCTCACATCATCAGCGTGCCTTTATGCTTGTTTTCGAAAAAGTCACTCTTAGCGCATTAGCATAGTCTTCGAATGAGGATCGCATTTGCATAGCCAATTATTTAAACTTCAAATTTTCTATCTGTATTCATTTCCTATTAGGTCTTCTCTTGTAGCATCTTCGTTTCGATCATTCGAGCGTAAAAATAAAAGAGTTCATCAAGTGCATACTCTGCATAGAGTCGGATCAGCCAATCACAGCTCCCGAAAAGCCGCGGCTTATCTGTGCTGCAAACAGTGCAAACACGCCCTCGGATTGCCTGATGCTCGTGCCACCAAGTTCCATGATCGCGATCGACTTTCCTCGGGGACTCTCGGACGTCCATTTATCTTCTTAAAGTATTCCGTTCGGAGGACCTGCACTGAAACTGTGACGGCTGGCTCAATTGCTCCCCTGAATCCCGTCCTGGTCGTGCGCCCATCCAATCACCTTGCCGAACATGGCTTCGCGATCATTCATGCCTCTGCGGAGGTCATTTGCTCAGATCTCGTCCCGAACTGCTCGAGCAGCTGGTCGCAATGCGGGCAGCTCTGCCCGTGGATATACCACTGAGAGCTCGTCTCGTGGGAAGCAGCAATTCACCGTGTGGAGGCCCTACCTGCGTCTCGCAGTTGGCGTGCCGTTCATCGGAATGATTATTTACTCTATGGTAAGCACTGCACCTCCATGAGACCAATTGGCCATGCTCATATATGCTAATAATCATTCCAGGCCACCGGCGAAGTCACCGATCTCGACGCCCCATCCATCGCCGAGCTAGACGCAGCTCTGAAGCAATCCTCCCAAATCACCGAGTCCTCCCCGATGCGCCTGCGAATGGAAAAGCTCATCAAGGAGCAACAGCAAAAGATCATCGCAGAACTGGCCAGGATAGACGGAAAGGAGTTTAAGCAAGATACCTGGACCCGACCCAACGGCGGTGGCGGCATTTCATGCGTCCTGCAAGACGGAAACGTCTTCGAGAAAGCCGGTGTCAACGTCTCCGTCGTGTACGGCGAACTGCCCCGCCCGGCTATTGAAAAGATGCGCGCAGACCACAAGTCCTTCGTCGGCGCGGATGTCGATTCTCTGAGCTTCTTTGCGGCGGGTCTCTCGCTCGTGCTGCACCCGCATAACCCCATGGCTCCGACTGTGCATCTGAACTACCGTTACTTCGAGACCTCCGATCCTAAGGATCCTATCAATGGTGATAAGAACTGGTGGTTCGGTGGTGGTACGGATTTAACCCCGTCCTACCTTTTCCCCGAGGATGCGCAGCATTTCCACAAGACTATCAAGGATACCTGTGATCGCCACGATCCTACTTATTACCCCAAGTTCAAGGCCTGGTGCGACAAGTACTTCTACATTCCCCACCGTGGTGAATGCCGTGGCGTTGGCGGTATCTTCTTCGACGATCTAGATGCCAATTTCCTCCAAACATCCGCTGGTTCTTCGTCCAACCCGCAGGAAACCCTGTTCTCTTTCGTTTCGGACGGCCTGGCCTCTTTCCTCCCCTCTTACGTGCCTATCATCGAGAAGCGCAAGGATATGTCGTATACTCCTGAGCAGAAGCAGTGGCAACAGCTGCGTCGTGGCCGGTATGTCGAGTTTAACCTCGTTTATGACCGCGGTACTAGCTTCGGTCTACGCACTCCTAATGCTCGTGTTGAGAGTATTTTGATGAGTCTGCCTCGCACGGCTAGCTGGGCGTATATGGATCCCGTCTCGGGTACTCGTACTGAGAGTATGCTGGTTGATGAGGATGATCTTGGCGAGGATAAGACTAGTGAGAAGGAGATTATGGATGTGCTGAAGCACCCTCGACAGTGGGCTTGATAGGGGCGCCATTCGTTGAGGGTTGGTTTGGCATGTCTTTTTCCATCTCTTCTCCCTTCTTCAAAATTTTCTTATATACTGTATCATTGTCGCATGATTGGGAAGGTTGAGGTCTCTATGTACATTACTCAAAAATAATATTTGCCGAAATGCTGCATCTTTCGGGCTTCTTTTCATATTGGACTTATAATCGCATGTTTCTGATATAAGATTTGATGTGGGTATAACGCTGAGGGGATTTGAAAGATCGAACGGTTTGTCTTGAATCACAAGTAGTGCTCTGCAATCTCGAATCCTCAAAGCACAATGTATGCAATGAAAACAAAAAGCGTAAAGAGCGAAACCAACAAATTTATACAGGGAATCACAGCCTTTCTTTCCAATAAAGAAAATAGCCAGGAATATCAACAGTCAAAAATGAACATTCTATATGCAGCTAAAAGCATACAACTCGAAGGATATAAGGGCGATTCGATCTAAGGGTAATAAACAAAAAGAAGTAAGATCAAACGCGGATCACCGTAGAAAAGTAGACCAAACTAGGCGTGACTCGCAAGTAGGCTTATTGACCAGCAACCACACTACGCTGCTTAGCCAACCAGCCACGCGGATCAGTCATGTTTGCGCCTTGTCGGTATCGTGAGATGGTCATGTTGTTATTCTGCCATCGGCTCTGGAGGTGATACCAGGCTGAGCTTACGAGGCTAAGCTCTCGGGCTTGGTCGTCGATGATTTTCTGGAGCTCCATCTGTGAAAAGAGTTAGAATGTAGGAACAGTAGGTAGGTGTAGGTTGGGGACGTACTTCACGCTCTCTGGAGATGCCATCATCCAGATTCTCCTCGTAGTTCTTCATGCTCTCCCGAAGAGACTTGATAAGCTCATTTTGCTGTTGAATATACTGCACGGTGAAACAATGTTAGCACGCGTTCTTCGAGTCACACCATCGGTGGTAATTACCTCTGCACGCTGAGCAAGTCGCTCGATATTCTTCTCTAGCACACCAGCACACTGCTTCAGGAGCTCAAAGCTCGACTTCTGCGGCACCTCGCCACCCTCGCTGTTCACGATTTCGAATTCGCCCAACAGCATCTGCATCTCGTTCATCACTTCCTGATCCTCGGCGCTGATCTCGTTCTGCTTGGTTTCGAGCATCTTGCGCAGCTCTTCACGCTCGGAGCACACTTCGCGCACCAGAGTTTGGCTAGCATCGACTTCGGCCTCCAAGTGATGTACGTTTTGGGTCAGATTGTCCCATTCGCTGCGTAGCTTGGCAAGTTCGGCCGAGTTGTGCTCTTCAAGTTCGCGGAGGAGATCGGAGTTTTCAGTAGAGAAGAGTGAGACTGTCATTGAGGTTAGCGATTTGATATGTTTGGCGATTCGAAAGATGTCTGGACTTACTCTGAGTTTGGGAATCTGCGAGGTCCTTCTTCGTGGTTTCCAGGGTGTCTTGAATTTCAGCAATCTTCTTCAATGCCCCAGTATAATTTTCGTATAGCTTCCAATACTCGTCGCTATTTGATAATCAGTATATCTGTGGGTATCTAGGCAGTATGTTTGCAAATACCTTTGGGTGGAATTGGCACATGCAACTTCCACGGATGTATTGAAGTTTTCAGAGAAAATGTCGGGCGCTTCGGGCTACTCAGGGTTAGCAGCTTTCCTCTTTTCAGATAGACGTTCAGAATACATACAGCTGTCGATGGCGCTTTCAACGATTCCATCTCTCGCTTCAAGTCCTCGTTTTCGGATTTCCTATATCCAAGTCAGTAAAACCACCAATTTCACGCCTGTCAGGGAAGCATACAACTGTGATTCTCTCATGCCAATTGCCTCAAAGTCCTTATTCAAAGTCCCCTGCATTTTGGGAGTCTCGGAACCCGGCGATTGGCTGCCAGGAAGACCATCCAACTCTCCCAGACGTTCGCGTAGCTCACTAATCAACGCGTCGTCCCTTTCGTGCTGCTCATCGGCACTCTGAAGCCGCTCCGTAAGCGCATGGTTATTGAACTCGAGTTGCTTCTTGAGGTTTTGAATCTCATTGCACTCTTGTTCAATACGTGGCAACAGCTTGCGGTACTCCTCTAGCTCGACTTCACGCTCTGAAGACCACCGTTGCTGTGAATCCGACTCCTTCAGCTGCTGCTGAATGTCTTTGATCTGGTTCTTGAGAGTCTGATTCTCCTTTTCAAAGTCCTGGCTGGCTTGGAGCTTTTGGCGATACTTTTCTGCTGCGTTTGCTTTCCGCGCCAATTGCTCTTTCTCGGTGCGTAGCTCGTCATAGTCGTCCTGCAGTTTCTGGTGACGCTGGTTCTTGACCTTTAATGATTCCACGGTCATGCGAAGACTGTCGATCTCGTCCTGGGCAGCACTCAATTTGGCCTCTTGCGACGCGATCAGATCATCTTGCTGGCGGGTCTTGCTTTCCAGCGCCTTGGCATTGAATCCTAGGTCACCCTTTCCAGACTTCAAGGTGACCAAACGATCCTCAGTCGATGCCAGACGGTTCTGGAGTGTATCGTTGTTCTCCTGAAGACGCGCCAGCCGGTTGTGCAGGTCCTCCAAAGCCTTCTCGAGCTCCTTCTTCTCGTGTGTCAGACGATCATTCTCCGCGATCACCTTTCCGACGCGTTCCTCGAACTGCAGCTCCAAATCCACGGGGTGATCTGTCTTCGCAGACTCCTCCGGGAGATCATCGACTCCGTCCAAAGGTTCATGTTGACCATTATGCGCCTCCTCAATGATATCCTTGAGTCCCTCCTGAGTCGGGGTCGTGAGTGACTGGAGGGTCTGTACGTAAGTCCCGGCGTTCGGAGAGCTGATGGCGGCGATCAGAAGCAATTTCAGCAACTTGTTGGTTTCCTTGATCGATGCTTTCTCTGCGACGGCTTCGAGATCGGGTGACGGGTCGAGACCGGAGGGGAGGGTATCATCGTTCTGGTGTCGGATGTAACTGAGCAGGAGCTTGTGAATGTGCTTCAAGTTCTGCCATTTAGCGACCCAATGGTCGGCAGGGTTGCGTTCAGGGATCTCATCGAGGAAGTATTGCGGGTCGATATCTTGGAGGATCTCCCATAGGATAATGCCGTCGGTCAATTCGTCCGTTCCTCGGAGTGTTTTGCCCAAGGAGAAGCTGTTGATCCATTCCAAGAGAACCTTGGTCACGGTGTGTTCCTGGGCCATGGCGAATGATCGTGGTTCAATAGAATGATGGAAGGAATGAAAGAGCGAACAAGCTTAAACACAGCATTCCCCAGACCGCGCAGACACAGGCACAAGCATGGACACAGGAAGAGGTGGCCTGGGGGGGGGGGAAGTTGCGGATCCACGCGATCGCGTTTCGGGGGCCCCGAGAGTCACTAGCGGGGGGATGATCGTCCCCGTCCTTACGTACGAAGTATACAGGCTATTTTTACATCGACTGGGAGTTTAAAGCGATTACAACCATTCATGTACTGATCATGTATAGAAATTATCATAAAAAAACTCAAATAGTTGACCCATTTCATATATTACAATAGATCCCCGCAACGTAAACAGAACCCCCATTTGATCCCTCGCAGGTTGCCCAATTCCTGGTTATCAGTCAAAACCCAGATTCCCTTCAGCAGAGACTCCAGTTCCATAAAAGCCCACAATCCTCCGAATAATTGATTGCCTGTACTCCAATATTCCATAGTGTGCGCCTCATTGATTTGCATCATCGTAGATGGCCGGTCTCCGACCGACGTTCGTCACACGTGCCTCAGAACCAGCTGCGGTGGGAGAGAATCCGTAAAGATCTCCTAGATATCATGTGTATTGCACCACTTTAGTACGAGTGCTCCTGGCCGACATAGTCGCCGTTCACGCTCACAATCTTGTCCTCCTCGATGGTGGGCTTGTAGGCGGCATCCTGGGTCGAGAGGGTCCGGAGAGCATTCACGGGGGCTTCGGCTGCGAAACCACTGGATCATACAGTTAGTTGATATTCAGGTATTCTCCAAGTAATGGAAGCGATCATACGGGAAGAGATCTATAGAGCGAAATGGTCAGCCTCGGTTGTCGCATCAATCAGAAGGGAAAGCACTTAGAACTTACGGTATTCATGGGTGATGATGCCCCCCTAGATAGATCAGTCAGTCAGCAAGGCTGGAATAATGCAGGTTAGATATGCAAATATGCAAGGCCTACCGCAGCCACCAGAGAGTCCTTGGCCTGGTCAATCACCCGAGCAGGTGTATCGTTGGGGAAAGTCACGATAACGGACTTGAGGGACTTGGCAGCCAGCGCCAAGGGCAGAAGAGTCAGAAGAGCAGTAAACAAGAACTTCATTGTAGTTTGTTAGTATGAAGGAGTATAGTGTGATAAAGTAGGAGTGGTTTAGAGGTTGTGAAAGATGGGAAAGATGTCGGGCGACACAAGAGACACTGAGACCGAGGATCTGCGTCATTGCAGGGTCAGGTGACCTGCGGAGTGTGGATTGCGGACTTCAGCCCAGCAATCCCTTCGTCAACCTCTTTGTCCATCTTCAACTCTCTCGTCTTCTCTCTCTTCTCTTCCTCTGCCTCGGCCTTTTCTTCTTGATTTTAACCAGCATTGTCTGCCATTCAGCCTTTTCATTTTTCTCTTCCAGCATCGTGTGGATTCGCCCAGGCTCCTAACCTCTCCCATCCCCCCCTCGGGTTCCTCGTTGACGTGAAGGAAAGCACATACAGTTCGCAGGGTTGCAGGGTCTTGCAGGATTGAAGGACAGGCGCGTTTGTTGTTGTCTCAAGTCTCGCAAAGATAGCTAGCAAGCATTTTACAAGTTTCGACTTCGTTTTTTTTTTCTATCCATCTCGTGTTGATCGTCCAAGCAGGTGGCCCTGGGACAAGAGGACGCAGACTAAGAAGAAAAGAAAAACCAAATCCTGTGATAGCAATACAGGATCAGAAGCTACCTAATATTTATTGTGAAAGAGGAGGAATTGCACAAGGATCAATAAGAAAAAACACAAAGTGCACAGGGAAGAAAGTACAGGAAGAACAGAAGCCTGAGGAAGATTGAAGCCATATCGAAGAGAAAAAAAAACATATCAGGCACCAGTGGTTGTTGACTACTCCACGGACTATACATTTTCCCGGGAGCTACTTGGAACTTACACCTCCAGATCTTTTGCTTCAACTTGTTCATTCCCTATCCTCCTTCCCTCTCTAGCTGAACCCTTCCCCGTGGACACTGAACATCCTCCGCCGCCATGTCTGGGCTGGTCTCCGATGAGGTCGCCGAGGACTACAAGAGTTCCTTGGAGGATCTCACGGGCAATGACCGATTCCAGATCAGCAATCTGACCGTCATAGCCAAGGAGAACACCGAACACGCCATGGCCATCTCCCGAGTGCTGGAGAATCACATTCGATCAGTAGGTGCTCTTTTTTTTATCTTGTCTTTGCATTTGCCTTTGCCTCGCTGGCAAATTGTCCTCGTAGACTGGACTCTCTAACCGCCTCTGTAGACACCTCCACAGCAGAAGCTACCGGCACTGTATGTAGTCGACTCGATCGTCAAAAATGTGGGAACGCCTTACACACTGTTCCTTGGGCGCAACATGTATACGACCTTTATGAACGCGTACACTTTGGTCGATGCTCAGACTCGCCGCAAGTTGGATGAGATGCTGAAGACCTGGAAGGAGCCCGTCCCCGGTTCATTGGACACTCGCCCAGTCTTCCCGCCTGAAATCACTCGCAGTATTGAGAGTGCCCTCATCAAGGCACGGACGGCTGCTTTGCAGCAGGAACAGGCTCGAGGCAATCGCGATATTCTCAATCGTGGCCGCGGTACGCCACCGGGCATGTCTCGACCAGCCAACAATCACCACGGTACTAATGGCCATGGATATGGCACACCCGTAAGATATTCTCCCAGTCATCGTATCAGTTTAATCAAACTCACTAACGACATCGCTTCTAGACACCACCTCAAGGTCCCCGTCCAGGTTCTGAACTAGATGCTCTCAATCGAGACCTAGAAGCCTGCATCCTCTCAGCACGCAGTGATTTCGCGGCCGCTCCCTTTGATCCCACATCACAGCAACGTCTAAAGGCACTTCTTGACCTGCAGACAATCATGCGGAACCAACAGCTCACCCCAGATCAGCTGAGGCTTGTTCGCGATCAGCTCTCTGCCTTCAGACCGGCTCAGGCAGTTCAGAACCCTGCGCCAACTGCTCCTCCTCCTGCCGCTGCTCCAGTTCCTCCTCCAGCTCCGGTCCCTACTCCTCCAAGTCAACCTGTATCCCAACCTCTGCAGAATCTCTTAAACTCAAGAACCCTGGCAGAACTCATTAAGAATACTGCTATCCGTCAACAACCCACTCCTCCACCGGTTAACCCTAATGCCATGCCTACAATGCCTCAGATGCCACAGATGCCACAGATGCCACAGATGTCATCTGCCAGCCATACGCCGCAACCCGAAAACCCGCTGATTGCAGCTCTCCGATCCCGTGGTATTCTACCTCCCGCATCGGCCCCTCCAGCCATGGGGTCTACGGGCCAGCCATCAACTGGAGATGCGCTGCCTTTCCTCATGCCTGGTGGAATGCGGTCTACACCTCCCGCTCCCACTCCGCCAGTATCGATGCCAGTTTCGTCTACAGTTCCCATGACCACCGCATCCATGAAAATGTAAGATCATCCCTACGAGAGTATCTCTTTTGCCTTGCTAATCGTCCCGGTTTAGTCCCCGAATCGCTCTTGTGGCCTCTCTCTATGAAGCCAAGTCCAATCGATGTGGAACCTGTGGACGCCGCTTCCCGACTACCCAGGAGGGCAAAGAGCAGAAAGCGCGACACTTGGATTGGCACTTTAAGACTAACCAGCGCATGTCGGAGGCTTCCAAGCGTGCTCAGACCCGCAGCTGGTACGTCGATGAAAGGGTATGTATTATCTCAATCTCAACACTGTGATTCTGATTCTCCTTTGATCTTACAAAGTACTAACTTGTTCTTACAGGATTGGATCAAATCCCGTGAAGTTGATGATGACCAGCCTGTGGCCGATACAGATGCCACCACTGAAGGAGGCGCTGGTGCAGAGGGCAATGCCGCAAAGCAGGGTCCGCCCAAGGCATGGATCCGGGCTCCCAACGATGCCACACTCCGCAATACCCCTTGCCCCATCTGCCAGGAAAAGTTTGAATCAACCTGGTCGGAAGATGTGCAGGATTGGATCTGGCAAGATGCCATCAAGGTTGGTAGCCGTGTCTACCATGCCAGCTGTTATGCCGAAGTCACCAAGGACGGCCCTGCACCTCGTAGCTCAACGCCGCAAGCACGTACTGGCACACCCGACTCCGTGCTGGGTAAACGTAAGGCAGAGGGTACTGATTCCCCTGGTGGCAAGACCCGCATCAAGACGGAGGCATGAAGAAGATATGTAAAATAGTTGCAATCACACCGTGAATAATTCAAATCGTGTAGTATCATGACGTTGCTTTCTCTTGCTTTGTGCCCCGCTCGGCGTATCTCCGTGGGGGGGGTTCTTCTCCACTCATACAGTTCAGACTACTTAAACCCCCGTTTTGTTTCCGGAACGGACCCTGTTTTTTAGTCTTTATAAACAAGAACTCCTTCCGTGGGTTTTCTCCTATCCATCTACTACTTTCAAGTATCACAATCTCATCATGGCACACACTATTCGTTGGGGTATCATGGGTATGTCATCTCTCCTTCTAATCTCAAAACTAAACACTAATTCAATTCTATAGCCACTGGCTGGATCGCAAACAGTATGCTTCCACCCTAACTATACCCCCAACTCTGACCATCAGAGCAAACCCAAATCAAAGAACCAATATCCTAACAATCATAACTCTACAGCATTCGTCCGCGATCTCCTCAAAGACCCCAAAGCCCGCGACGCCTCAGACATCGCCCACCAAATTGTCGCCGTCGCATCCTCCTCCTCCAAAGACAAAGCAACCCAATTCATCACCACCCTCTCAATCCCAGACCCCTGCACGGCCTACTCCACCTACGAAGACCTCGTTGCAGATCCCACCGTCGACGTAATCTACGTCGCAACCCCGCACTCGCACCACTTCCAGAACGTCATGCTCGCCCTGAACGCGGGCAAGAATGTGCTCTGCGAAAAGGCGTTTACGGTTAATGCGGCGCAGACTAAGATTCTGTGTGAGACTGCCAGGGAGAAGGGTCTTTTCTTGATGGAGGCTGTTTGGACACGGTATTTCCCGTTGAGTGTGCAGGTTAGGGAGATTATTCGGAGCGGGGAGATTGGGGAGGTGTTGAGGACGGTGGCGGATACCAGTTTTGGTGATGATGTGGAGGAGAAGTGGGGGACGACGCATCGGATGGTGAATCCTGATTTGGCGGGTGGTGCTTTGTTGGATTGTAAGTGCCGTCCTCTATACAGAGATGATATTCAGATATCCAGATATCTCATGCTAACGCCCTCTCCAGTGGGAATCTACTCCCTAACCTGGGTCTTCCAAACCCTCTACCACACCCTCCCCAAAGACCAACGCAAACCCCCAACAGTCACCTCCCAAATGACCCCCTACCACCTAACAGGCGCCGACGAATCCACAACCATCCTCCTAACCTTCCCAACCAGCACACCCACCAACACCGGCCACCCACGTGCCTCTCACGGCATCGCAATGACCAACATCCGCGTCGCGGCCGACCCAGACGAACAGGGTACTTCGGGCCCCAACATTCGTATCCAGGGTACCAAAGGCGAGATTCAGGTATTTGGGAATCCGTTCCGGCCGACGCGGTATCGCGTTATTCCTGTTAAGGGCAAGGGACAGGTGAGAGAGGTGGAGTGTGCGTTTCCGGATGGGGGGCATGGGATGTTTTGGGAGGCGGATGAGGTGGCGAGGTGTTTGAGGGATGGGAGGTTGGAGAGTGAGGGGATGCCTTGGGAGGAGAGTATTGTTATTATGGAGGTTATGGATGAGGTTAGACGGCAGGGCGGGTTGGTGTATCCGGCTAAGATTGAGTCGACGGAGTATCCGGTGCAGTTGTAAGTGGAGGGATAGTGTAGATAGATGGAGACAAATGGATATGACTGTCAATACATATGGTTGTCTTTATGCTTGGTACTTTGTGGTGGTTGGAGTGGTTACTCGGTTTTGTATAAGGCACCCAGTAGTGATATAGATGATAGAGTAGAGGTAGGTGGTATATCTGAGACAATCTCTCACGCCCTTTTACTTTCAGCCATTAATCCGAGTATAAAAAGTCTGCGAAGATACTATGATACTATAAGTAATTCGTTGTTATGTTACGGATCGGTCATTGCCGGTGATATTGATTGGTACCAGAACAAGTACACATACTATACATGACCTTGAGAGACAATTATTCTGCGTCTATATGCGAACGGTATCACCAGTCCCTCGCTCCTCGTATGCTCTCCCACCAACCCAATACAAAAGAAAATAAGAGAAACAAAAACAAAACAAGGGCGAGCATACGAGAGCGAAGCCCGACTGGTAACTCATCCACCCCCAGTCAGCCTCTTTTGACCGACACGTTTGGCGCTTTCGGAAATGGCACTGCCTTTTTTGACTGCGTCCCAAGCGCAAAAAGAAACTTTCCTCCCAAGTGAGACTCCCAGTTTCTTTACTGGGTCTTGAAGACACCAAGAAGGCTCTTCCACACCTGACCAGGCTCCTGGCTGGCGTCAATGCCGCGCCAGATACCGGTCTTCTTGTAGTACTCGCAGACGGGAGAGGTCTGGGCGTGGTAGGTGGCCAGACGCTTGGTGAGGGTCTCGGCGTTGTCATCGGAACGCTGGATCAGAGGCTCGCCGGTGACATCGTCAACCATGTCCTTCTTGGGGGGGTTGAAGATCTTGTGGTACGAGCGGCCAGAGGCAGGGTGCACCAGACGGCCGGTGATACGGGCCACGAGCAGGGCATCGTCGATCTGCAGCTCAATGGCGTGCTGGAGAGGGAGCTTGCGCGAGGCAAGCATGTCGTCCAAGCGCTCAGCCTGGGCAACGGTACGAGGGAAACCGTCCAGGATGAAACTAGTCATTAAATTGCATGTCAGTGCCAGATTCCCTTGACAATGGTTGGTTGCTATCCGCGAGAAAAGCAGAAAGCGAGGATGTCTCCTACCCGTTCTTGCACTCGGTGTTGTTGTCCAACTCGCTCTTGATCATGTTAACCATGATCTCGTCGCTGACGAGACCACCCTGGTCCATGATCTTCTTAGCTGCCTTGCCGAGCTCGGTCTTCTTCGCGACCTGTGACCGCAGCATGTCTCCGGTAGCCTAATTCAGGAAGAGGAGATATCAGCAAACAATGCGCACTCATTGAGACCATATCTGCAGGGCGGCTACTTACCAGGTGGCACGCGCAGTACTTGTCCTTGATGTTCGGGGCCTGAGTACCCTTGCCTGTAGAATTGAAGAAAAAAATCGCATTAACACAGCTCATTCGGTTTAATTGCGATGTTCCAAGACCATACCAGCACCGGGAGGTCCCATCAAAATGACGCGGATCTGCTCCGTCACGGACTTGGGCTTGCTGCCAGTCAGGCGGCTCTCGAGCTCGACAACGCGGGCCTCCAGCTTGCCGATGGTGTCCTTCAGACCGGAAACGACGTCGTCGGTAATTGGTGCCATTGTGAAATGTGAGGTGGAGGGGAGAGGGCTCGTAGAGTCGTGAAATTGAAGACGGGTGGAAGGGAAAGGCTTGAGGACGGAGAGACGGAGAAATGGAAGGGAAGGAAACTTAGCGCCCGAGGTTCGGAGCAGCAACTTGCGGGCGACACTACTTTTGCCGGAAATGCATCTGACGGACCGAAAGTATGTATGTGTATAGAGAAAATAGAATGAATAAACTCAATTCATCTGGATTATTTGAATTCCAATCTTTTTTATTTCTCTATGTAATTTTAATTACTAAAATTCTACTAAATGCCATTTCAACTGTTCCCCAACCGACAAAGTGGCCTGAAACTGGGAATTGCAACAGGCACGGCTTACCTAAGCTCACCAGCCTCAATGGCGCAGTTGGTGTGGCTCGTGCCAGAAGCTCTCGGAGCATCATCGTTCCTGTTCCCCAAGTTGAAAGCAACACACCCTTCAACCTCATCGATCTCCATTCTTTCAACCCCACAGTCTTCTTCTCCCGTTGATAGTTGCTTTTCTAAGCTCGTAAATCTATCACTGACCTTCTTGTGCCCTCCACACCGCCACCATGCCTGCCACCACGGCGGACACGCTATCCCTCGTCAACCGCTCCGTCACGGTTGCCCCGTTAGTCCTGCTCTCCGTCGCCGATCATTATGGGCGCACAGCCAAGGGTACTCGGAAACGTGTAGTTGGTGTACTGCTGGGTGAGAACTCTGGCAACAATGTGCGCGTATCCAACAGCTTTGCAGGTATGTCTTCGAGCTCTCTATTTGCTGTCAACAAGTTGGTCCCGCAGATGAGGCTGACGAGATCTGGTTTCTCCCGCATCTAGTTCCGTTCGAGGAGGATGAGAAGGACCCCTCAGTTTGGTTCTTGGATCACAATTTCGTCGAGTCGATGAGGGACATGTTCAAGAAGATCAATGCTCGTGAGAAGCTGGTTGGCTGGTATCACTCCGGCCCGAAGCTGCGCGCTTCCGATCTCGAGATCAACGAGCTCTTCAAGAAATACACCCCGAACCCCTTGTTGGTTATTGTCGATGTACAGCCGAAGGAGGTCGGCGTGCCCACGGATGCCTACTTTGCCGTGGATGAGATTAAGGATGTAAGTTGATCGTTGTGGATGGGGCTGAAGCGGGTGCTATGACAACATGAAACTAATCTAGGGTTCACTTCTACTATATAGGACGGAACCACAACCTCCAGAACTTTCGTACACACACCATCGATAATCGAGGCCGAGGAGGCCGAGGAGATTGGCGTGGAGCACTTGCTCCGAGACATCAGAGACGTCGCCGTCGGCACGCTTTCCACCCGTATCACGTCACAGCTGCAGTCATTGCAAGGATTGCACCTCCGGCTGCGCGATATTGGCCAATATCTCCAGAAGGTCCTCGACCACGAACTCCCCGTCAACCACGCCATCCTGGGTAACCTCCAAGACGTCTTCAACCTCCTCCCCAACCTGTCTACCCCATCAGCCACACAACGGATCAGTGGCCAGGAGACACAAATCGAGAACAGCGAACTGGCTCGGGCGATGAGTGTGAAGACTAATGACCAGTTGATGGCTATCTACATCAGCAGTCTGATCCGCGCTATTACGGCATTCCACGACCTGATCGAGAACAAGATCCAGAACCGACAGCAGCAGGAGGAAAGTGACTCGAAGCGGGAGCAGGAGATCAACGCGGCCAAGGGTGAGAAGGATGGAAAGAAGGCTGGCTCGTCGAATGGCGAGCAAAAGGAGGAGCAGGACAGCTCTGACAAGAGCAAGAAGAAGAGCTAAGAGTGAGGCTTCTCTTCTAATTGTTCTTTTGGAACCAACGTTGTTCTTCCTTTTTCCCTCCGCTTGGAGGAATCAATGCCCACCGAGATATGTTATGACCGCTTTAGAACTGCATCTGCTTGGCAGTGTATAGTACGGAATAATCAAGGATATGACCTGGTGGCTGTTGACATCTCTCTTCACCGCCACTGCAGTTTGCTTTGGCGTCGCCCTGTTCCGCCCGTAATTGCCGTAATAAATAGAAGATCAACCCCTTCCTCGCAGGACTCATGCATGCACTAGTAGACTTGTGGATTCGGCCTGCAGTATGGGCTGGCTGACGGTGGAATAGTCATGGCGTGTGGCGTCGTAGAACAGTTCATCCCCAAGCACCTCGTCAGCTCTTGCTCGAACCAGCGGAGCAAAAAGCTAATCCCTGAGGTTCAAAATATCCGATAGGCCAGGACTTCACCTGCAAGGATGGATGTCGTCAAAATTCAACATCACAGATCCGAAATCAACCACCCCATCCCGCACACCAGCCAGCCATTTCCTCCATCGAAACACCCCGACCTGCATCTGCATCCCCTCCGCCCGAGAACAAGGGACACCGCGCAAACAACACGCAGGCGAGAATATGCTTGCATGCTGGCGGCGAAGCCCGGTCCGTGGTACAAGTCAACGTCCCACCGAAGGGGTAGACTGCAGATCCATCGTCCCGGTCACGCAGCATTGCAGAGTCGGATGGGGGCTCTGCAGGAGCGTTGGGGTTGGAAATTGAGGACTGGCGGGAGTCTAGATTGCGGAATGCGGAGAGGATGAAGGTGGGACAGGTACAATTCCAGGCATTGAGGCGGACTTCGTAGACTTTTTGTGGTTGGTGGGAGGTGTGTGGAGTTGTTGATAATGTTGATGTTGATGATGCTCCTGCGGAGGCGATGGGGTGTACAGGGGCTGACGAGGCGGATGTAACTAAGAATAGGAATAGGTCTTCGTCAAGAGTATTCTCGGTTGTATCATCGAGTATGTTTTGATAGACCGTTTTTAATTCGTGTCGTATCTCTTCGTTCCCCGCGGACGCCGTTTGGTCCTGGGTAGGTGCCGATGGTACGGCATTGGTTTTGTCCCCGCGCACCCCAATCCGCTGCACGAGCCTCCGATCTAGGATGTCCAGGGCTGGAAGGAGATCGTTGGGGAAGAGACAGTGTAATGTGAGTAGGAGAGGCTTTACTTTGGCGAGTTGAAGTGCCGGGAGTCTTGATAGTGCGTTTTGTGGCTGCTTCGGTTGGTGTGTGATTTGTGTCCTAGGCGGATCGAGTTCAGCTGTGGGTAGCTCTGGTTGGAAGCTGGACAGCTCGGATATTAGCTGGTCAATAAAGCCTGCTGAACTTGGGAGGTTGTATAGAGATGAGTTGAGATCCATGGCTTGGGGTTGAGGTTGAGTGTGGTAAGAGGGAGACGTGCCAAGCGGGTCGGAAGAGACGAAGATTGAGTGAGCAGGTCAGCTCTATACTAACCATAACCTGATACTCTCATGTTAAATGTCTTATGAGTAGATTTCAATTATTTGAAAGGTCTAATAGTTATTAGTCAAGATTTTAAATTGATGATCCAATCTAGGAAATTCAAATTCAGTATGAAATTCACAAAATATATAACGAGACATAGCCACCTCTATACTCCATAAAATCCAAGATCAGTCAACACAACTCCAATAAAAAACAGGAAACAGAAAGTCAAATCCGTCCGATCTTCACTCCCGAACACTCTTCTTCGCGCCAGTATTAACTTTGGCGATCCGGCCAGACTTGCGAGTTGACTCTTCTGGATGTCGCTTCTCCTTCTTAGCCGGCTTGGGGGACGACTTCTTGATCTCCCCCCCAATTGACTTCTTAGTCTTCACTTCAGTCGACTCCTTGGTGCTCTTCCCCACAGTCGGCTTCGTAGCTACCTTGATCGGCTTTGGAATAACCGCATCAGAAACAGGCTCAATATAAGCCGTTCGTCTAGTGATAGACCGTGGTCCCCCAGAGTTTCCCATCAAGTCATTCCAGAGCATCCCCTTAATATGTACATTCAAGGTCGTCACTCCGCTAAGAGTAGTGAATTTTATCTCCAGATTACCACACTGTTTCTGTTGCAGCTCGATTTCGGTCTCGTCGTTCTGTTGCGCAACCTTGGGTTGTGAAGTATCGGTCATCATGATATCTTGAGGACTATCATTCTTGGGAGGGGATGTATCGATCATCGCGACATCCGGAGGGCTTTGGTTCGTGTTGCGGTTCCTGGCACCTCCGCCTGCAATGAGGCTATTTGATGGTCCAACAACGCTGTATTGAATGTTTTGAAGAGACTCTTTCAAGCTGATAGAAGGACCCCGGGTCACCAGGGGAAGTCGGCGATACTCAAAGAGGTACGCAGTCTCCCGGACGGGCTTGGAACCTGCCATCGCCTCGAAGGACCCCCAGGTGCTGAGCTTCGTGTCATCGGCAAGTGTCCAAGTTCCATCCTGACTCTTGACGACGGCCATATAATGACCTGCGTTCGGAGTCTCCGACTGATGTAGCAGCACGGATGAAAGCGCATACTTGACGTCCTTTCTGATATCACCAAGCTCAGGAGCAAGCCATTCTTTCCGGAACACCAACTCTTCCGGAAATTCAATTTCATCTTGGATCTTGAATAATTCGGTTTCTCCAGAATCCTCATCACGCTCTCCAATTCGATTGAGAAGGACCAGGAGAACTTCTGGTAGCTCGGTAATCACTAACTGTTCCTGCAGAGTTTCTCCCCGGCAGACAGTGCATACTCCTTCGATATCATCTTTGGCAAAAGAATTCTCAAGTGTCTCCTCAAGCTTCTGGGTCTGTGCCTGAGAATTTTCATCATCGGTGAAGTAAGATGTCAAGAAATCAAAAGAATCGATGTTGGGTGTATTAGCACCACAGCCGTTGACACCTGAGCATGTCCTTTTATTGACAACCTCAATGGAGAAGATATCTCCCAAAGAATCATTGCTAGAAGCGAGTGTTATCTTCATAAGAACCAAATTAGATGAAAACAAAGCTGCCTTGTACAAATACTCACATCGAGTTTGTTAGAACTTCAGCCTGAAGTTGCTTGACCAACTCCGAGATAAACTCGAGAGCATCCTGTTGCCCAATACCATCCGCACCGTTCTCACGCTCCAGAGTGGTCCAATCCTCAATAAAAGCTTGCCAAAATTCGTCCAAGGCAGAATAAAACTTGGTATTGTCCGGTCTCGGACTCCAGAATGCGTTAATCAGATTCTTGAGCAGACACAGTTTGCAGTTGGCGTCCTCCTCGTCAGATTCATCATCCTGATTTTCATTTAAACAGGCACCGTCTGAATCGATGTGCGAATTTATCGCCAGTTCCGCCCAGTTCAAGAATATGGGTAGGTGAAAGAGCATTTGCAGGGTCGCATTTCGATAGCATGTTGTTCCGTCGGAATTGTTGAAGCCCCGGAGAGTCTTGATGGTTACCCAACGATTCCCCCATTGAGGACTGGGAACGTGTTCCTGTATTCATTAAAATTGGAACTATTGTACGGGGAGATGGACGGCCTTACCGAATCGTTTGATGGGGCCATCTTGGTTGAAATCAAGGGATCAAGGGACAGGTGATTTTTCAAAGCGAATTTCTTGGAAATAGTTACTGACTTGGAAGGCAAAGGATTTAGAAACAGAAACTGCGAAGGTGGGATTGAATACTCGATTTATCTTGTTTCCAAGCAAGAGTTGCTCTCATATTTTGCATGGCTATCTCTTTGTTCTTTGATTTTCGAGTACTACGGATTTGGGGGCTTTGGACTGGGAATGGGGAAGGACTCGAAATTGGCTATTCATTGTTACCAGGAATAAACCAGCTCAAAGAAAGACACGGGGCTTTGGGCTATGCACAAATCATAACTGATCACTATGTCGAGGCGCAGTATAGCAGTAGTTTTCTTTGATGATCGTGTCTTTCACACAAGGAATACATCTTCCACGGATTATATTAGCGCGCGTGGATAATGTGCTGAAAGAAATCCTAAGTCCTAGACCGGAGGAGACTTTCGGCAAAGAAAAAGATAGAGAATCCCATGTAGAGTAAATAGGACTGTTCCTCGCCGGGCGAGAAGACGCCCTAATGTTGTTTCAAGGAGCTGGCTCTTGTCCACAGCGTAGCGCTGCCAAGCCGCACGAAGTGATAGTATACGGCTCTATGGCTTCAAAGTGCAGGCAAAGAAACAAACGTCCGACATGAAAGGTTTCGAGGTCACAAGAGCTGTTTCATGGGCAGATTATGTGGATCGGAATCGATCAAAGAGAGGATGCATCGGCCGAAGCCAAGGACGGGGGATATACTCTTTCTTTCTTTGTATGTTCTTCCATATCTAGTATTCACTATAGAATTCTACATAGGATTTCATCAAGCAATCTAGTAGTATTCCCATTGTACATCGAGGCTGTACTACCAACTACCTCCAATCGCATAAAATCCAGCATGGCATTGAGTCGTTTAATTTTCACCGGTACCTGAAAGGCACCGAACCATGAATCCATTCAGGCACTACCAAAACCGGTTCTTTGCCCCACGTCAACCCAACAACCCAACTAACTCTGTATAGAGTATAGAGTACGACCCTATCAACCTTTCAACGTGATCTATCGCCTGTCAATTCTTCCAACCTCTCCTTCCCCTGCAATTTCACGCCCTCTATTGCCCAGCCCGTGGCGGAGGCGTTGTGGTTGTCAGATCCCGAACTGTGGGTTGACACACTCCCGTGAATAAAGATCAACGGGGGACTCCGCAATGGTCCAGAAGCATTGTATTCCCCTTGACACGAATGAACCCACCAGGTCTAGACTTTCCTCTTGCTCTATCCCATTCTTCAAAATTCGCAAGGCTCTCGGGAGGGCTTGGATTATAGTCTCGTTTTCGTTTCTCCGATCGTTTCGATTTGGAAGGAGTCTCGACCAAGTGCTTTGAAGCTCTTGAATCGGGCCAATCCACACGACTCCAGACGGGATGGATGACTTGTGAGGCGTCAACTGTCAGTCGTTGTGATGATCGACCGTGCTGATACTTAAATGGGCATGTGGCGAAACGGTCTGGCAGGTTATCCAGCAAACCAACGGTCAAACCTATAGTTAGTCATTCATACTTCATCCTGGTAACTACGTAGTATTGTGCGTAGGTCATCTTTGTGGATGGCAGGCAGATGTACCAGGACTTTACAGTTGTACCGTCAGCCCGGTCGTTACCATGAACCGGTTCTTGGTTCTCGTTGCTTGTTTCCTAGTTCTTGGTTCCTCAACGCCTTTACCAGGACTAACTTTACCTGCGAAGGCCATGATCAGTAATTACGATCACTACTACTCTATTCGACCTCATACGAAACTTTAGTTTGTGAGTGGTGAAAAGTTCGGAGTTATTATCCATAGGGCCACCATCACTCCACTTCAAACGAGGCCAAGCCGCCCTAATCCCGTCTATACTCTGTCTATTCATTCATAGATTCTCCTTTTCTTATGTGAGCGTAAACAAAATACCACAATGTAAGATCTAGCGCCAGATCTTGATGAGTTCATCAGCCAAAGAACAAGTACAACAAGTACACCTACACAATAACTACGCAGGAAGAGGGGAAATAACGAGTGGCCAGGTCATTTCCCCACAAGGCAGAAGGGGTGTTTCAGGTGAAGCCCCTCCCTAAAATCACCTAAGTGGAGCGCAGCCTGACGAAAAAAAAACAATCATTACATGCAACCCGGCACGAATTGATTGGCTGCTCGCAGCAAGTTCGATCGAAATGCGAGATCCGGCCGAGTCCTTGGATCCTGTTGCCCGAGAGTGGGACACTACACTGTACTAAGTGCTGGTGTGTGTGTGATGATGTACAGCTGTGGGCTTGCGCTACGGAGTCTTCCCGCGATGCGAATCGTCTTATAGGCTACTAGTCTTGAGGGGCCTTGGAGCGCATAAGTGTAATCTGAATGCATGCATGCCGAGCTACAGGACTCACTACGACGATAGCGATTCAAAACTTCTTGCCCGCTATTTCCCGGGAGGGCAAAAAGTGCGTCTTTGCCGCCGCGGCTCCGTTGGTTGCATCGTGTAGTTTATTTAGGGTCTTCGTTTTGGGTATTTGATGATGATGTGGTGTGTCTGGGGTTGATTGTTTGTTATTCTCCGAGACGAGGCTCTTCTGCAGGCGCTATGATGTATGCTCGATGCTATATCACTATCTCATTATTTCTTGGGCGATGTTATCTACCATAGTACATAACTAGCCTTGCTGTATTGTATCTAGACTTTTGACTAAGGTTTGCCGTAAAGCTAAAGCTTCGAGCTTCGTCACTACAGCTGGAGCTGGAGCTGAAGCTGGGCGAGATCCGGGCGAGCAACTCAGCCGACAACTATACTCGACTCTCTCTAGTCCTCCTCTTGGGCCCCCCCATTGAGCACAGTCAACCTATAGCCCTGACCTACGACGGGTGCTCCATAAAGGAAAATTACTCTGCGGAATAAGAGGAGAATCCTCGAGCCCTCAATAACTGACACAATGTTTTACTTCGCTCCCCAGTTTCCCATCCACTCCTTCTAGCCTGCACATTCTATCCTATAAGATCAATCCACATACAGTACAACCCAACACACACTCTATAATTATCACTCCGTACTTCCTCTCCCGTACTATTGCCCATGACAGCAGCGTTCCTCGCGTCTACCGAAGATCCACCGTTGCGCACTGCCCCATGAAAACGGTTTGGGCGCCACTTTTTTTCAGCTCTGCCACTTGCATGCCTTTGATCAAAAGTGGACCCTTCCCCCCCCCGTCGTTCTCGTCGGCCCTTCCGAGAAACACCCCTTCGGTGTATGGAGTTTGGAGTAATTTCTTTTTTGATTTTTTAATTTTAATTTGCTTTTTTGTTCCCTTCCCTGTTTGTCTTGTCCTCGTGTCCCAGCTAGTGGGAACGAACTGTACCCTAGTTTTAGGGATATTATTGTTACCCGATCTATTGGAATGAATTACGCGAGATTGCAATGTTGTATATTTCCATGGAACCAATGACGGGAATTAGAGCATGGTAGAGAGTGTGTGTTTTATTTCTCGTTCTAATGGACTCTCTCGGCAATACTGGTGATCGGGATAGATTAAATGGTCCGTTTATCCTGATTACTTACAGTAGTGTGCTTTGTTAGCCGTGAAACGCGAAATTGAATGTCGGAAAATTATCCTTTAAAAAAAAAATCAAAACTGGGCATTCCATCTACGCTCTTCAGTCCCAAGTGGATGATGAGTCGGACATTTTGCGGGCAATCACTGGGTAAAATAAATATAGAATGATGGCCCAATCGTTGAATTCGACTCTCACTATTCAATTTCCCTGGGGCCGTTTTCTCTCAGGTTTGGCTCGGCTGGCTACCACTTAAGTCATAGTCCCGCGATGATCCAACGTTTAGTCCGCGCTTCCCTGTCGCTTTGGCCCCACTCTCCACCGTTGAAGCGTTGTGGCCATGCGAGGCTTGCAGGATGGTTTGTAGAGTCCTGTGGTAGCGGGTATGAGCCAACCAGTTATGATCTGCTCGTCGATTAAATGACGGTGAGGCTGTTGCCTCGTTAGTGGCCGTGCCACTTTGGCTTGGAAAGGGTCGCATTTGGAACTTGGGGCATATATCTCCGACTATCTTGCTATTCTGTAGTTGCGTCTGCACCGCTCTGATTCCATGCTATACATAGCTAGCTCTTTTCCGCAGTCGAGGGATCATCCCTACTGTCTTGCATGACTTTCACCCCTCGCCTCAATCGCACTTTACCCTGAAGCGATAGGCGATAGACGGGATCGTCACGGATCGTCCTCGCTTCGGAGCCGGGATGGAGTACTGCGAGCTGTGGGGGTCTCTTTCTCCTCCATCGCACCATATTATCGTCATCGCGATAGATGCCGAACGGCATTGGACTGAAGTCTAGCAGAGGGGACCCGCGCGAAGCGGACCTTGCCCTTAGACGAGTAGTAGCTGTACGATCATTTCTCGATTAAGTAGTAGTCAGGAATAGTAACATGGAAATATCTCCGATAATGATGTAGTGAGTTGACTTTCGAGAGGTCTCGCGGGTTCAAATGATAATCGACATTCAAGACATTGTTATTGTTATTATTTGGAGATATCAACAACCTACAGGACCACTCTTTTGTACGGTTGACAGGTTGCATGCTGATCCGCGGCGCATGGACTTGACGGGTGTTTCAGGCAACCCGCTCGGATCGGCTCCCAGCTTTCATCATTTTATAATATTGGATTCGGTGAGGGAGTCACTCTACCTATGTAGAGGGGAGGAGTGACGGTACAGAGTGTAGCATAAGATAGCTCGACGAGTCAGTCTAGAGTGTGGATCGCCTCCATTATGACAATATGAACTACATTTCCATAAGTAATCTTCATCCATGGAAAGTAACCGCATAATACAAGTTTACAATCCCGGGGGCTTGCTCGGCACCAAGCATCTGCGGTAAGCAAGAAGAGAGAAGAACTCGTGTTCGAGCCGACTTGAAGAAATGCAACAGAAACCCCCGAAAAACGCAAAGCCTTGGCTAGGACCTC